ATGCAGAAGAGTAGATAAATCGGCTGCAGACACGTTAAAACTGTGGGTAAAGAAGAGGCCTGTGTAAAGGGATGATTTGGTCAAGTTGAAAAGCTGAGCTCATATTTTTTTGTTGTATTCTTGTTGATTTTCTTGTCACCTCCTCAGTCTCAGTTGCCTGGCAACTGCTCCCAGCCAAAAAAGTAGCTCAGCACATAAAAAACAAACCTCATAAGACCATAAGATGATACGTTGTTTTTACACTTTGGTTTTATGTACAGATTAAACAAATAAAATGTTAATTAGTGAGCTTTGGAGGAATTGGTGGGCATAGTCAAGCTAGCTTGCTCTGCCTGTTTCCAGTCTTTGTGCTAAGCTAAGCTAGCTGACTGCTTGTTGTGGCATCGTCTTTACAGTACAGACATGAAAGTAGTATGAATCTTCACAATTTTAAGGGTATTTGTACTTTACTTGGGTTTTTCTATTTTGTGCTACTTTAGATAACTTTAAAATTTGCAGTGACTCAGGCTCTGTAGGAGGTCAGTAAAGGGTCTGAGGGTCCTCCTAAATCATTGGTAGGTTTTAAAGAACATCTTTAGTCACTTAAAATTCAGCCTCCCTTATTAAAGGCTTCAGGCCTGAGGCAAATAATTAACCTCTACTTTTGCAATTATTCTCAGTCAGCAAAGGAAGCATTGAAAGGCTGAGAGGGAACTAGACATGCATCATAATTAATGTCGCACCCACTGTTTTCAAACGTCAGTCGCACACTGGCAGTGATTTGTGGTGCCTTGAATGATCTCTTGATTCTGAAAAGGGTTTCATTTTCTCATTACGTCAAGAAGCCACCAGATCTGAGCAGCTGTCCATCCAAACTAAACAGACCAAATGCAAAAAAATATATATTACCTTTTTAGTGAGTAATAACACATTAAAGTAGGTAAAAGGCAAAGAAACCCACCAGGGAGATTCAGATTAGAGTGATACAAACATTCACTGTAGAGAAACACAGACCTTGTGTGCTGAATATTACCAAGAGTGGTTTATCGCCACCTTAAGAGGTGAAACTTGGCTCAGTTTAACCTCTGAGTATGTGATGTTCCACACACAAGCAGATTTATGGTATTTAAACACATTTATAAGACAGGTCTGACTCTTTTCTATGCAATATGCTCAATAAAGTTTAAACAATAGATAGATGGATGGATACATGAGGTATAAATAAAGTGAGTTTACTGTATATAGGACACAGGTTGTACACAGTCTGTGTACATGTCAGTGAAGATACTGGATATATAAGATAAAGTGTTAATATAGGAATACCTTATGAGAATGTTGATTCAGTTTCTCATTTTGTTGTCTTATTCTTTAAGTCCAATCAGCAGTTTAATCAGAGATCTTTTGATTAAAACCTTATGGTTATTATAGAGGCTGTGAATTACATTTTGGTTTAATTTCATAGTGTCTAAAGCTAAAAAGGCGTCATCACTCTCTGGTAGCAGCAATATTCAACATGTGAATAAACATGGCATCACTTTAAAGGGTTGTAACACAACTTATTCAAAGGTCTTGACACTAAAGTTTTGTAAAACCCACATTACATATTTACCTTAATCAGGAACATCAGATGAAAAGACTTGACATTTGGAGATTTTTAGTATATGTCATATGACAATTATATTAAACTCAACCCATGACTAATGTAGTGTTTTAATGACTTTAAATAGAAAATACCACTAGTTTCCAAAACACCGCTCATGTGACTCACTGACTCAGTGAACAAGTGTTTCACTCGAACATCTCAATTCACAGGATTGTTTCGACAACAAAGGAGACAGCTGCCCACTGAGTTTGATGTACTGTTTGCCTCCCAGCGTCAGACTGAAAGATACCATTATTACTGTGGGTTAATACGTACCAGAATGTAATGAAACTATCTTTAGGCTTCTCTCAGCTTTCATGTGGTCTGTAAGGATTTATAGGAGTCAGCAAATGAAGAGGAGGATGAAGAGATGTCTAAACCAGAGAAGGGTAATCTGCCTTTCAAACGTCATCTGAAGAGTATTACATAATTTCTTCAGGAGTGAGACTTGGGCACAGTGGGTAAGGTTACAATGAGCAGATTGACAGGAAATCAATCAGTGAAGGAAAACTAATACAAAAAGGAAACAGGCAGGAAAAACCAGAAACAGGCAGGTACACGAGAACCAGGCTGGACCACAGACTGTTAATCAGCACATACTAGAATACAGACCAAGTGGCTGATTAGGACAAATAAGGGGCATGTGTGCTGGCAGGTAAGAATCAGGTAAGTGTGAACTGACAGGAGCCGACTGAGGACAGGTAGGGAATGAAATGACATGGATAATGTCTGGAAAAATAAAGAAATCAGTGATTAAGCCATCGCTTCGACATCCAGAGGAGCATTTAGTCTTTCCCCTGCATTTAATGATTTTAACATGATTAACCATCCCTGCAGTTCCTCTTTAGCTCTATAGAGCTTTAAAGCTTGTATAGTTTTATTTTTTTGTCTAAATGTACTGTTTTGGTTCAGCGTCACTGCTCTCATGGCATCATTTCCACCCACAGCAGGAAGCTGTTTTCCACATAAAAGATTTAAAAAGCAGCTGACAGACATAGTTAGCAACTAGCTGATGAACATAGCAGCGTTTCACAGCTAAAGAGCCACATTTCCCCTCAGGTGTTGGTAGAGGCCTAAAAGTGATTGAATACTGGACTTAACATCTCATCAGGTGGCCAAAAACTCAACTTCAAAGCTAATGTTGCTCGATGTCTGCTGGATGAGAAAATAACTGTTTGCTATCAAAATTAGTTATAGTAAGTTTAAACCTGATTTATGTCCACTAAGGGCAGCAGAAACAAGATGACATATTCATCACCTGTTAAGATGATATACTATCTTGTAAGCAAACCACCTACTGTACTAGCAGTTCGTACTGATTAGGACAATATGTAGCATGTAGTATGCGAACCAAAGCAAAATCTGTAATATGCCAAAAACATCTCCAGTATGTATCCACCAGTCTACCTCGTCTACTGTATGCCACGATTCTTCATTAAATTCACTTCTGAGAATGTTTAAGGCGAGAAATCAACCATGTAGATTTAAAATATTGGAAGTTTTAAAAAAGTGATACAGGCGAATGGAAAATTAGTTGTTTTTGGAGTTGAGAGACCAGTGACGCTCGCAGACCACAGTCACACAAACCACTGCAGCCAACACAGCAGACGACTTCAGCAACAGTGGCAGAGGAGAGAGGAGAGAGTACAGACAGGCCCACAACTGTCCTTTTAATTTAAAATTTTAAAATTTCAACATTTAGAGTGAAGTAATGTAACAAAACGCCAGTGAATCTGGTTCCTTCCAGTCATCACCTAGGTGTTACCCATCTCTCAGGTAATCATAAAAATCCACATCTATAACTTCCATCTCTTTTTTTAGAGCATAATGTGATGCTATACAGTCGTGGTGGTTCACTTTGTCTTCAAAAACCAGAAACCAGAATGAGTTTGGTCTAGCACACAGCAACATATATTGATTTAACAGCTTCATACTGCTGGGAAAAGCATCATCGATAGTATGTAGTAGGTGGTTCTGAATGCAGCCTTTATCTTTGCTGCCGAGCAGGTTCGAACAGTGGGTTTATAAAGCTTATAGATCATTTAAAAACAGCTGGGTGTCTGTTACCAACCCTGATGAGAATGGTGAGAGTGAACCAGTCCTGTGTTGGTGACTGGGAGAGACCAGGGTCATCATGGGATGTTGTTTCTGCCTGCTGATGTTGACAGATCAGATGACCACATACAGAGGACAGTCAAGGACAGTATGATGTGGTGTCTGTGGTTTTCCATCTGCTGTTAATAGTGGTTGTGCTATATGACTAGTTTGGCCTGTTGCGGTGGCCCTGTTTAATAATGAAATTGATGGTTACAGTTTCTAGTTCAGCACACTGAGTGTCACCTCCATGTGAAGTCAATATTCAGTGACATTGGAGCTGTTGAGTCATTTGAAACGGTTGCCATTTTTCCTTTATCAGGAATGTCGGTGTGATGAAGAGACGAATTCCTTAGAAACAGTCAGCAGTGTGTGTGTGTGTGTGTGTGTGTGTGTGTGTGTGTGCGTGCGTGCGGGTGGGTGGGTGTGTGTGTAAGGCAAGAAATTACTCAACAGTGTTAACCAACAGACTCTCAGTTCCACAGAGACATCATTTAGACAACATCTGTCTAAAGTTTGCATCATCATCAGCATAAACTGTGGGTGGTGGGTTGCAAATTCCACCCACTAGTCCTATCTGAGGTCCTGACTCAGACATTTGGTAATGATTGATTAATGTGTGTGACTTATTACAAAACCTCTACATTTCAAGAAACGTCTTATTCCAAAAAGATCAAAGGTCCAGGTTTCAAATCCTCAAGTGGGCAAGGTGGTGAGTGTTTTCAATTCCTGACACAACCTGCCTGGACCCCATTCACTGCCGCTCGTGGCTGTATTTGTTCTGTTTTCTGTTTACATTCTCACTTTCACTTCACCTATTCTCACTTTAAAGTCTAACACACACAGTTTATCAATGTCGTGATAACTGTTTGGAGATTAAGATTGTAAAGGGCTTAATGTGAAAACAGCATAATTAAGTAAAAGTAAAAGCTTTTTGGAGAATATTTTTTCACAAGAAAGGGTCTATATAGTGTAAAGGAAAACTAAATAACATATATTTTTAAGAAATAGAAATAAAAATGTTCACCAAATCCTAAACTACCATTGGGTGTAAAATAGGGAAGGTACGCAACGAATCACAAAACAACAAATTGGATGAAATCAGATCAGCTGAATGTGGTTCACCTAATAATTTAACGATAAAAACAAAATTAAATCAGCATCAGTGTAATTATTATGAGGTCATAATGTGATGTAACAGTATGGCCAAACACATTAATCTTCTCAGTATTGCTACTCTCAATGTCCTGTAAAAATATTTATTTAATTTGAGAATGAAGCCAAATGAAGTTACTATTTTTATGAATTTTATTTGTTAAATCAATGTTACATTCATGTGGGAATAGTTTTAAATGTTTTGCCTCTTTACTCTCTTCTCACATCAAACCAGGAGGTGCTGAAACATCCAGTTGTACTAATAAAGAATAAATGCTCTTACTGACTGAAGGCAGCACGACCCACTGAACTCATGCTTCTCATGAGGAACTGAACATTCAGAAAGGTTTCAGCAGAGAGCTGCACCGGCAATGTACACAAAGTTACACACACATACTTCTAGTATGATGCCTCTGACCCTGCAGTGAGTTAATACTGCCCCCCTGTGGTCTATTGAGACACATGGTAACAACAGGCCAAAGGAGGACATGAGTCAGGGATAGTCAAGTTCTATCACACTACATTTACTTAAAAGGTCTTCCTGTCATTAGAAACACAATGTTGAGATTTTCAGCCACTAGATGGAAGTCTTTATCCACCCGCCCCTTTACTGAGCTGCAGAAAAGTAACAAGCTTAACTACAACCTAAATTAATGAAGTTTCCCATAAAAAATGCTTGTACGTAAACATCACACCAAAACCAATCACGGCATTGATCATCGACTACAAGTCAGTGAACAGCAAGAGAAAGATCAAGGAGGCCGTCCACATCTTACACTGCCAGTAGGAGGACCTTGAGTTAAGATTTTAGCTTTACTGCCTATTAGAGCTACAAGGTAAACTCAATGTAAAGTTTTTGATGATTGATACCAGAAACAAAATCATAATCTAGTGTAGTCTGAACAAATTAAGTCTTTAAAGGGGTGAGGCTGGTGTTTTTATACATTGTCCTTATTGTCAACAAATCCCATTAAAATCCAAAACCAACACTGTGTTATTCTCTGAATACTTACTGGCTTCCCTACTCACTCTGTGGCACTCAGACCCTAAACTCATTTGCTCCTAGTGAAGATGTAAATCTTGTAAAACAAAAATCTAAAATATATAGTTACATTTATTTAAAGGATAGCTAATTTCCAGCAGCTGGGCATTGTAGTTTTTAATAAACGTTACTCAAAAAAAGAGCTGATTTCATAATGTTAGACATTAATACTACAGAGGACCTATTACTGCTACCAAACTCAATGAATCAAGATGTAGTATGTAGTCTTATACAGAAATTGGTGACATAGACATTGTTTCTGACAACGAGCATTCAGACGACAAGCGATCCTGCCCCTTTTGTGTGGTGATGTAGTTGAGGAGGTCGATCGCCGTCACAACGCCAAACACCATCTGCTTCTGGCAAGATGACCCATCAGCCTTATCTGGAAAGAGACAGTAGACTGTGGTAGGAGCAGGATGGACAAAAACAAGGTGCTAACAAGGTGGGCACAGTGAAATATGTTGTTTTCTTTCTGGCTGAGAGTTAGATGAAAAGATCAATACCATTAATACTTTTGTATTAAATATAAGCCCCAACTGCCAAAAAAGGTGCAGAGAGAGCAAGCAAAAGAGGGAGAGACATTGATCGGTTCCTTGTTTGAAATGGTGGATTTCACTGGTGACAAACAACTGAATGACAAAACTGCTAAAATTATGTATTTAGTGTCCTGCTGGGTAGGAAATTTGACACTAATTCTATTGAGCAATGTGTTATATCTGGAAAATATAGAGATCTTTTTGTTAGTACCATTACAGTGTAGCTACAGCAACGATGATCCTGTCCTATAACTTAAAATGAGTAAATTGCGTCTCAAATGTGTCCTACCAGAAATAATATTACATTATAATGAAAATATTGTTTTTAAGCACAGATAAGGACTCATTTCATTATGGGTGAGTTAAAGCAGGAGACTGGGAATAAGTCAGTCAGTTATCAGTTAATTAAAAATTTAAATTATTTTTTAAGCCAAAATTTCCAAACATTTCCTTCCTACAGCTTCTTACATGTGAAGATTTGTTGTATTTCTTTGACTTGTGTGATTGTAATTTGAATATTTTGGACTGTTGTTTGACATGTTGTGCAATATACAATAGTGAGTTTTATCACATTGACAGCCTGGAACAGTCTACTGTCAACTTCTTCTGTTCAGCTGGGGATGTTTGTTGCCTCTCTCTCCTCATTTCCTGACATATGTCACATATGTACTATCTCCAATCAAATAAATGCAAAAGGCTATAACAAAATATATTATCTTACACTGGGTGTGATCATGCACCACCAGGGCAAAGTGGTCTGTTTCGAGGATGTGGGACAGCGTTCCCAGGTTGTCTGTCATGTGCACCTGAAGTGTACGGAGATTAGACGAGCATGTAAATAATGAATACATAATGTATAATGTGCATATGCTGTCCATGTGGCCGTCCACTCCACATGTTTCTACTGACTGACCTGTTTGAAAGGCTTGCAGAGCACCTTGATGACAGCATCTGAGGGTTTGACCTTCCCAGCCGACACAGAGGACAGGATGATTCCCAGAGTCACCATCCCCAGGATCCCACTGTGAAAGCACACATACACACACCTTCACCTGCTGGTCCTCTATTAGAAATGACACAGGTGACAGTGATGTACAATAGGAGTGTAACACAAAAGATACTGATTGTATCTGGATATCTGTGAATACCAGAAGTGGCACACACCAAAGGTTGTTAGAAATTGTGTAGTCTGCTTCATGTTCTGCATTTAATTATTTTCTACCGCCATTTGTTCTACCAACAAAATATTAAAAATAGCACATTATGTACAATTAAACAGATAATAACAGGATTTGAATTTGAACTTCCAAAATAGTCTAAACTGAGTATAAGAAAAACTGTGTAACTGTTAATGAACAGTGGAAGTTAACCAATGTTTTAACACAATTTGGCCATATTATCTGTCTTATCTTATCTGAGATTGCATGCAATTGAAGGAGGTCCAGATGAATGTGATGTAGGTCTGAAGCATCTATGAAATGAAGAAAGCTGTTAACAATAATCTGAAAAGCTCTGCTGGCTCTTTGCATACACTTTTGAGACAGTCCCTAACTTCAGCTCCTTTAGTTTCCTGTCGTCTGTCAAGGAGCCAGGCTTCAATATTGGGCCATGAGGTAAAAATAACACCTGTGGAACATCTGTTGACCTTTATCTTCACAACAAATTTGGTAAAACCAGATGAAACGTTCTTGAGATGATCTTGGCAGAATATTGAACATAAGCCAACGCAAGTCCCCCCCTCCCCCTTAATGGAAAGTCCCGCTGCTGCTTTGGTTACTAGCAGTTCCTGTTTGCTCTGTCTGGATGAGTTTGATACTGAAGATGTACTAATGTACAGAAATTCTGGAGGAGATATACCCTGACTCATCAACGACCGGAGCCTGGTCCAACGCTTTCTCCTGAAGGATCTCAATGGTTTTCTGGCAGGACACAGAGGGTAACACAGTGAGGGGGGCAGTAAGGTGCAGACACTGGACAGTCATCTTCCACCACCTTAAAGAGAGAGTGAAACAAATGAGTTATTTAACACTAATCTGTGGTTTGGATTAGCTGCCCTGTTAAACCCACAGAATGTAATTTCTGCTGTTGTGTCTCAGACAACAGCAGACATAGTTTGATGACGTTGTGAAGTAGCATTGGATCATGGGAGTTGTCTTCATTGTTAAACAACCACCCCTGCCAATAAAAAAATATTTGACTATCTATCTAACGATCTATTTGACGTGACTCAGGCAGGAATAATGTTCACAGATGAGGTAAATGTAATGTTAATATGTAACATTTTAATGTTACACATTATACCTTTAAACCCTCATGGTTGACTCTCACCAGGGTTTGAGATCCAGCGGAGCCTCTGGGCTGAGGAAGCCCTTCTCACACATCCACTTGTCACTCAGGAACTTCGACCTAAAGGTAAAACAGACAGCAATGAGTTTGAACAGATAACAAAGCATATTAGAGGTCGCTCTGATTGCTGACACATTTTCACCACCCAGAGTTTTAGTCATGCTTGCGACAAAAATGTGTCAGTGTCTAGATGTTCTGTTATTTATGGATTTACCCTAGAAAAATTGACTATTGAATATTTTTTTACATGAAGAAAAGGCGCTGTGTAGTTTTGATTTGCTGAGCTGCTGCAAATTATATCTGCAGATTAGCCTGTGATAACACTGAGGACATGGTAAATTTGATAGCAATGGATCAATAATACACTGTAGAAACAATGAAAGTAAGGGTCCAAGAGTTTGATAAATCTGTCTCTTACATGTAGTTGCGGACGGAGTCGGCCAGGATGACGACACAGCGCTGTCCCTCCTCAAGCTGCTGAGCCATCTTCACTGCTGCTGCCATGGCTGAGCCAGAGCTCCCGCCTGCAGTAAAACAGGTATAATTAGAGGAAAATAATAAAGGTGTTAAATACCTCGATATGAGGAGTGCAATAAAATTTACAATAGCAAAAAAACCTGAACAATATCACCGGTGATATAACTGACCGCACAGAAGACCCTCCTCTCTGATGAGCTTGCGTGACATGGAGAAGGTCTCCATATCAGTTGACTTATACCACATGTCAACAAGCTGCATAGATTTGAAGGGAAGAGGGCAGAGGGCAGTAATTAAAGTTACGTCACAAAATACATGATTATTGTTTAGTTTCAAGAAAGCAAATGCAGACATTCACAAGCACACTTACAGATCTGTCCAACACTGTGGGGATAAAGTCGTATCCGATGCCCTCCACTTCAAAAGAAGTCTTCTTTTCACCCTTTTCTTTTGACTCAATCAGAATGGAGCCCTCAGGGTCCACAGCTACTATCTAAAACAAATGAGACAGCAGTGTTAACACTGGAAACACTGCAGCATACATGAGTACACTTCCAGTAACTTAGTAGTGTTTGAATGAGCATGTTCATGGCTCCACTGATGCAGTCAGGAATGGTGACGTTGGAGTCCGGTATCTGCTCGATGATTGCAGGGATGTAGAGTTTAAACCTCCTCTTCTTCATCCTCCGTTTAACCCCCGCTCTGCAGCCTCACCGTCTCCTCAGCTCATCCGGTATGGAGGGTCTCTCTCCAGTCAGGATGCTCGGGTACCTCAGGGCGATCATCTGGTCGCGGGTGTAAACAATGCGACTCCCCGTCGCCATGGAGACCAGCGTAAACAAAAAACAAAAAGTGCTCAAAAACGCCAAAAAAGTATTTAGCCGACGTGAACAAAGTAAGAAAGTAAGAAAACAGTTCAAAATAGCAAAAAACACACTGAAAACACACTAAAACTACAACAATGATAGGAGCTGCCATGACAGGCTGCCGTTGTCGCCGGCGCCATTTCATGGTATCTCAAAAATCTCAGCTGAAAGGACAGAGCTGATATACAGTGTAAGTTGCAGGTCTGACCCAGAGGTGCAGAAACTGTCATTTTCTGTAATCTTGGAATACATGTTAACAATTATCTCAGCCTTGAACTCAGGAAGGGAGAAAAAGAGTAGCCAGTCTTTCATAGGCAGCAAGTTTCTCACACAGAAATGTATTATGTATCATCATTGTTAAATGTATCATACAATTGGTCATCATTGTTATTCAGCTCATTGGTGCACTGGGAAGAAAAATACATTGTCTTATAATAAAATGCACAATAATACATGACTACAGGAAACATACAAGAAATGACAATTTAGTATGTGAGCGGAATACCTTTTTTTAATTATTGAAAATATCCTAAATCATACGTGACCGCATCTGTACATCACATGTTCTCCATTCAAATCTCACTTTAATCATGTCCATAGATTTTACCAAATTAATACACATTCAGAGAGTTTCACAATAGAGCGTGCGTCTTACCTTGACATTGGGGCACCTCTCCTTCAACTTCCGAGCAACACCAGTAAGTGTACCGCCTGTGCCAGCTCCGGCCACCAACATGTCCAGTTTACCTGAAAGGAAAAAGCATGTTTTCTTTTCTAATCTGCAAAAGGAGATTCAGTAGTAACACTGAATATAAACATAACTTTTGTTTGTTTACCATGAAACTCCACAGGGCACCTTTACATATGACGACTAATATTTTAATTTGTCCAAGACTAGCAGTTGTTTTCAACCCTTTAGGCAGTGGACCCATATTTATAAGGTGTAGTCTCTGGGATCTCGGTCTGATAGGCTTTAGTTATTCCATAATAGGCACATTAACAGAGGAGAGTGTGAAAATATTTTAATAGTGAAATTAAAATATTCTCATTTTTCTGGGAACACCCTGGAACACCCTCAATACCTTTTGACACAGAAGGTTGGTCCACACAAGCAAACAAATCCAGTGGGGAAAGGCAAAGGCAGAGTCAAAAACAGGCAGTACTCCAAAAACCAGAATGAAGGGGTCTGGAGGAGGGACTCAAGGGAAGTGGCCGGGAAGCTAAACATGCAGGTGACCGCAGAAAGATGACCAGGAGGTCGGGCTGAAGAGTGGAGCAGCTCTGGATGAGACCATGGATGTTGGCGACATTGGGAAAGCTGTTCTGGAGGATTACCAAACCGGTGGAGCCGCTGTGGAGGACAGGCAGGGTGATGACCGGGCAGGGTGATGACCAGACTGGTGGAAACACTCCAGAGGCCTGAAAAACACAAGGAGGCCAGAGACGGAGGCAAAGGCAGAACACTTTTGGTGGCCGGTGACGAAGGTAGTGGGACCCCTCCAGGAGGGCAGGACCAGTCAGTGGTGGCTGGAGTGCAGGAAGAAGATCCAGTTGAATCAGGGAAACAGAAGCTGCTGCTTATCCACAAGAGACTGCTGCAGCTCAGGAACTGGGGTTAGTCATGGTGCAGAAACCAGAGGATGTTGTGGTGCAAGGACTGGAGATTGCTGCAGCTCAGCAGAAACAGGGGTCGGTGGAACCGCAGACAAGGGACGAAGAGAATACGTTGGCGGTCTACAGGAATGGGTGTTAGCCGGACCACCATTGTGGAACCAGAAACTGATGTCAGCTCAGCAGTGCTGGGCAGCAGCGAGGCCAAGTAGCTCAGTCTGTAGGGACTTGGCTTGGGGACCAGAGGGTTCCACCAGTTCCACCTCCTGTACAATGCCGAGTTGCCCTTGAGCAAGACACCTAACCCCTAACTGCTCCTGGAGCTCATCACTCTTTCTATATTCTTTCCCCTCCAAGAGCACCAGTGGCTGTCGAAGACACCAGAATTTGAATTTAAAATGACTGAATCTCACATACAGTAGATATTATTTGCTATCGCTGTTTTAGGACCTTTTCTGATTTGTTTTATTTTATTTTTCAAGTTTTTTATTATAAGTTTCAATTGTCTACCTTTTCATATTTAGAATGATGTAACTTATTTCCTTATCTCTATATCTATATACACAATCTTGTTTTTTTTTATACTGTGTGAAGTTAAGTCTTCATTATTGTTTTTTTATGGACAAAGACAAAAAGAAATATAATCTTTAGCACAAACCATCACACTGCTCCAGTATCTCCTCGGCTGTGGTATCATAGTGAGCCAGAGGATTGCTGGCATTACGGTATTGGTCGAGGATGTGTGAGTTGGGGATCTCGTTCTTTAGACGCCAAGCCATTCCTACATGAGAGTCTGGTGAATCAAAAGCTGCAGAAGAAGGTGTGCGCACTATTTCTGCCCCGAGAGCTCTCAACACATCGACCTAAAAACACACAGGAACATCAGGCTTCAAATAAAGGTCCATTGTTTTGGATTTAGTGGCATCTAGCAGTAAAATAATAAAAACACACCTATAATATATTTCACTGCTGCCAGTAGATCATCCTAACTGTTACACACTGAGACCAACTGTCCCATAATGAACTGATGAAGAGTTGTGATCAATAAAAGAGCTGTGTACCTTCTCCATGCTCATCTTCTCGGGCATGGTGATAATGCATCGGTAGCCTTTTACTGCTGCGGTCAGCGCAAGGCCAATACCTGCAGGCAGCCAGAGAAGGAGGATTTAGGTAATATTGTGTTCAGATGATGAAATCTGTATGTTTCCTTAGAAGGTACCCGTGTTGCCAGAGGTGGGCTCGATGATGGTGTCTCCTGGTTTGAGGATCCCGGCTCTCTCAGCATCTTCTACCATCCGCAGGGCGATCCTGTCTTTCACGCTGCCTCCTGCATTGAAGAACTCGCATTTGGCCACTAAACAGAGTCACAGATGAGAAAATACTGTTTACAGCACAATCAAGTTCAATTAAAATTAAGTAGAATCTTAAAAACAAAACCTGTCTAGTGGTTGCCAGCCTTTTCCTAACGGACCCCTTTTCTATCTTTTATCAAACTGGTGACCACTGACTTGGACGACCTGACATATTTTATAGATATTTCATATTATATTAAAATCTGCACAATTAACCAAAATAGTGAACTCAGTAACTGCAAGAAGTGTGTTTAAAACTAGTGATTTAGAAACATTTTGAGGAAATTATTCCCTTTTTAGGAAACTTTTTCTAAAATTTGAATAGGCTTCTTTTTTGATAAATCAGTGTTTCTTTGTTCCTGACGTTGTGACGGCCATTGTTCTATCAGATAATTTACTTACATATAGATTTCTTCACACAAGTGAACCAAAGAAATAGGCCTAATGTGTATATTTTTTAATGTTTTCCAACATCCCTTAAAATCAACACCTCGCGACCCTCAGTGAAGCTCTGCCGAGACATAATGGGGATCCCGACCCCCAGGTTGGGAACTGCATACACATCTGTGGTGTAAATCACTTGTCCTGTGTTCCCCTTTGAGAAAAAAATTAATCAGAAACCACTTTTTCACAGAAGACGAAGTAGATGATGATGCACCAACCACCAACACAGCTGCCAAAAACTACAAATTCGGGGCGACTACAATTAAACCCGGAGTGAACTCGAGACTAATCCCTGTCACGTGAAAACCGTCTAAGTATCGAGTGTAAGGTCCTTGGTCTCATTAAGCCAGAACTTCCCTTTCATCAGTTTAAGGGAGTGCAAAAGAGCTTTTTTTCTTAGGAGGCTTAAACTGATTCCTCTGACAGGTTTCATCCTCTCTGAACCCACAAGGGCTGCCAGGACAAGGTGGTGCAGCTGAGGAAATACTGTACTGAAATCAAATAATTAATAGTCGCAGCAGCCTGAACGTTTTCAAGTTTCCTTTTAATTGTGGCTGTGCTTTGTTCTGCCAGCTAAAAGAACAAGTCTTTCATTTTCAGCAGTCACACATAAGGGCACGAGCTACATGATACCTAAATGTTTCCTTTCTTGACCGCAGCCTCTTCTTCTTAAGCCAACAGGGAAACAAACCTCGATGAGAGAAATGATAGCTCTTCCACTTGCACGTATCAGTTTAATATGTTTGTCTGCACGCCTTATTCCCTGAAAGAAGTCTTTATTAGCCTAGCCAAAGACAGTATACCAGCTAAGGCTGCAATGTCTAATCAGCTGCTGCTGAGTTACAATCACATCCAGCCAACACTTTTTTCTGTCCCACTGGACACTGAAACTTCTCGACTTTCTGGCCGTTCCAGGAAGGAGAACAAAAATGTTGTTGTTAGGAGTTAGTGTCTACATTTTACTCTCCAGCCCTCCTTCATCTTCACTGAACAGTTAACATTAGCATTATTGTGGGACAGCTAGTCTGGCCTCTGCACGACCTGTAAGAGTTACAAAGAGAACAAACAGTGTGCAGCGCAGGACTCACGACTCCATGTACAATTATTTCCATACATACAAGACAAATCAAATACAATACAAATCCATAGTTTAGAAGTACTACTCTCATGATGTTTTGTACAAATATTTTATATAACTAGAAACCATATATAGATAGTTGCAGGGATTATATGAAAGCTTTTACTTACAAATATCACACTTGAGTCCAAACTCCTTTGGGATTTTGTTCAAACGAACCAGAGGTGTGTGTCCAATTTTCCCAAGGATGTTGGGCAGGATGCTGGAGGTATTGGTGCTGTGACGGACAGACGAGAAAATACCACATCAGCTGTCTGTCCACAATTCGGTGGATATAGGATCATGCCACATCCAACGGGCTGACAATTAACCCTTCCCTCAGCAGTCATGTGACCTCGTTAATGTCAGATCTCCAGCTATGACCTGTCACAACCACTGCTAGGAACAAAGCATTTCTCACTCCACTGCTTTTACATTATCAGCCGTTTAATACAAATTAAACATCCTAAAAACACAAGTATGCATGCATATACAGTATGCTATTGGGTACATGGAGAGTTAATTCAAGGTGATATTTTCCTGTTATTAACAATTTTGTTGGAAAGTCACAAATCATGTTTGGTGTTTTAGCTCCTGATCCTTCTCATTTACATGTCTGTATCCACCTGTCTCATAATCTGTCTCTGCTTACCCTTCACATCTGAATTAATTCATTGATGAGCACTGATTTATCTGCCGAGCTTTCATTAACGTGACTCTCACCATGCTGGGTGGCTATGAGGTGACTCTGAAAGAGGTGCACCCAGCCTCCAGGTACACCTGCTGGGTAAATCAGGGCGGATCCAGTTCCTCTGATCAGCACTCACTTCTCTCTCACCACTCTCATTGGTTGATTCATCCTGAACCTTCACACAGTCCCGGTCTCCATTTGCAGACTTTTGACCCAGAGCGATATCTGCATTTATCGTGTAAGTTGTGTGTGGACAAAGAGAAGGAACATCTCCCAGATATGTTTGCTCAGAAAGCATGGCTCACCTGCGGGGAGGTGGGACAGGTGTTACAATCACACAGGCACATAAACAAAACCTTTCTAACAGGAATGAATACACAGCTTGAATCTGGGTAAACATTTCATGAATTATACATCTGAGGGTTGTTGGTCTGTTCAAGAAGTCAATTAGTTTTTAACAGATTTTAGGAAAACACAATAAAGCAGCTATTTCCAGTTAACTACTGCAAGTGGCTGTAGACAACGTTCCCTTTGTTTGAAAAAGCAAAAAAAAAAAAAAAAGGATGATTTAACTGATGATTGATGAAATGATTAAACCCAACAGCCCTTTCTAAACACATCATTGCCATATGACCACCTTATAAAGTTGTTATGGCGACAGCGTCAACATCCAGTAGGCTTTTGGGATGATTTTGGGTGAATATGATTTACAGTAATGAGAGGAAAAGAGATTAAATTTATGTCACTCAGAATTGTCACTTAAATATCATAAAGGCTTTGCTCTTACTGTCATTGCCTCAGATTTAATATCCTTGATATGGTGCCTTTTGATTAAAAACAAATATTGAACAGAATCAAAACATTGTGTTTGTTTGATGTCCTGCAGACAGGTTATATTTAATAAGATCAGGATGTGCTGGACGTTTAATCTGACGACTATCTGGTTCAAACGTTATGCTAAAGGCTCATTTAACACATTCATTTTTGCTGCAATCGTCTGACAGTAACAGGTAAAAAGTCCAGTGGTCTTTTTTTTGTCTTTGTGCTGGATTTGTTATCATTAGCAGATTGCATTCAACATGTAGCAGGACGAAGTATCAGAAAGGTTCATCTTTTAAAGTATCAAAGATATCAGAGAGCTGCTGCTATGCAAAATTAGTGGTGCTATTTGACTGAGGAGGTTCATACACTAGGGTCTTGTGCCTGATCTGTTTTAAACCAGGAGACATAACAGACCATTTTCACACCAGATATTTTGAGTTGTACAGTAGGAAAAGCACCAATAGCATCAAGTGAGCCAGAGCACAATGCACACTGCAACTGAAACAGCTAAATGGAAATCAGCCATCATTTTATTATTTACACTTCTTCTACACAATCTATAGTCGATTGATCAGTTAGTTGGTCAGCAGAAAATACTCAGCAACTATTTTATTAATAGTTTAATCATCTTTAAGTAAAACATGGTCAAAACTCACCAATTCCAGCTTCTAAAATATGAATATTTGATGCTTTTCTTATTCCTCTGTCTTCTTCTAGACACCAGCAACTGATTCTACACTGACTGAGCTTTGACCAGCAGACAGACCAGAGCATTTATCTGAGTGTGGCGGGGTGGGTGGGTGTTCCTCAGATAAACCACTGAGATCACCAATGGTGCAAGAGTGGTTTTTAGCTCCTTAACTTCAGTAAAAGCTGCAACTACACAGTATACAAATATTCCATCTGGTGTATATATGACTAGGATTATTATTACTGATGCATTTAATGAATGAGCTGCCTATTTAAACCAGGTATTTTATTTATTCTGGGGTAGAAAATAACATTTACTTAAGTTCTGTACTTTGGTACAACGTTGAAGGTACTTGTATTTATATACTTATTACTATACTACTACGTCTACTACAGTTTAATGTAGTTTATATTCCACTATATTTATTTGACAACTTTAGTAACCAGTCACTTTATATTTTACATAAAAAACCACGGTGAGCTTATAAAACACAATTAAAGTAAAGATTCTAACGTTTTTGGCATCTATAAGCAGTGTCTAGTTAGGACCCCTGTCAAATTTCAAATGGATATCAGTGGGTTTAATTTCAGTAACTGTCTGTGGCCAAATAAGGTAGAATTATTCAATATTTAATAAAAAAAGAATTAGAGGAAAGTCCAAATAAATGAATACAAATTTAGGCTGGAGCTTATTTTCTTTCTTATTTTCTACTTCCCTACCTTATCTTTGTCTGATGACCCCTTCCATTGATCCACTGTGGGGGTCTGTACTGGTACTTTTACTTCTTCTACTACAGCTCATAATGCATTATGTCCCCTTTCAGAATCTTTAACTGGATTCTTATTACAGATGCATTTTGATGTAGCTGGTGACGGCAGAGCTCATTTTAAACCACTCTATACTGTTCGGTTGGGTGGCAAAGAGCTAGTTATATGAGTATTTTCTTTATTTAGAAAGTATTAATTACTCCTAGTGCTTTGTTTTATTTTGTAAGAACTAGGCAGCCCTTAAGGATATAGGACCAGCATGCATCTGCAAGTGTTTTTACCAGAGCAAGAGAGGCATGATTGCTTTGATCTTTGTTAGCTTGCTTTCTATGGCGGCAATGGACTTTCTCGTCCTTACAGTTCATTACCATGGTGCATCAATGGGCTTTTGATTTCAAATTAGTATTGGTACAGCTGTAAGATCCATATAGTGGAGTTAAAACAACAATATTTACCTCTGAAATGGAGAGGTAAATATCTGAAGTGAAGCACAAGAGACTCAAAAATTAGCAATACTTAAGTGCACTTAATTACTTAAAACGATCTGGCATTATTAACCCTCTCAATTTATCAAAACTTTTATTTAGTGAACAAATAACAGTTTACAAGTTTATTTAGCCGTTGTTTCACTTTCATATCTTCTTATGGCATTAATGCAAATGTATATTCATGTATTTAAATGATTTAAGTTTATTTTAGGTTATTAATCACAATAGCCACAGGAGAATTTCTGTTGTAAGTCTCTTTGAGAAGTGAAACCTTGAATCACATGAGGTGTGTAAAAGTAAAAAGCTGTAGACAATCACAATCCAATCTTGTCCATTGCAGGTGAACAAGAAAATACAGCAGTGCCAAGACCAACAGAAATTTATCTTTTTGTTGCTTTCTGTTTTAAGAGACTGTGAGAGTAGAGTCCAGGAACTGTTATCTGTATCTGATGTTATTAGGGAGTTTTTCCTTTTCTTTTGACAGTGAACTTCAGTCTGAAATTACCTGAATAAGACACTACACGTTAGGCTTAACAATCAATAGTGTGTACATTTAGTTCTCACTGTATTCCATCAGGAGGAGGCAGCCCAAGATTAAGAAGTGCTGCCATCACAACTTGTAATAACAAGAGAGATTCATGAGTCAGTCACGTTAAGTAAAAATGTTAAATTTAATGAGGTGAAAGTCATTTTCAGAAATCAAGGACAAACAAGTTCATCAATGCTGTCACAGCTTCAAAATCAGGTACCTTTCAGTTAGTCCTAGAGTGGACCTGGAAGGGTACAAACTTAAAAAAAGACTGGGGATGGATACGGGGAGGGAAGGACAAGTAGTCATGGCTTGTGGTTCAGAATCGCCCTGAACGCTCTCTGTCTCTGGAGCGACGTCTCTCGTGGTCACGGCCACCACCACCGCCGCCGCCGCCGCCGCCGCCTCCTCCTCCACCTCCTCCTCCTCCTCCTCCTCGACCTCTGTCCCTTGAGCGAGATCGCCTCTCTCTCGATCGAGACCGGGACCTATGACGGCTGTGGAAGTGAAGGAGGAGCGATTATGAATTGCTATAAAACAACTACACAGGTTGGTTTACTGAAGTGCCTGAATGTAAAGGTAATATGTATGTTAGTACCTCTTCCTCCGACGCCCATAGAGCTCTCTCCTCAGTTCACGCGAGATGGGCTTCAGATGCATGAAGTTGCAGAAGCCACCACGAGTGCATTCCCTATGGAGAGAGGGCAACTCGGAGCAGTTAGAGCAAAGAAATGTAAGACAGTATTGCAGAAGAATTAGACAGTAACAAACACCATTCAGTCCATATTTACAACAGCGGTAATGCAACTGAGGGCATCAAAACACAACTAATAGCAAGTCTTACATAGTGTTGCTTTAAAACAAAGTGCGACTTACTGTATAAACAGATAACAACAGAGACTTTGAACAAAAGGTTTAGGTTGGAACCTACAAATCACTAAAGATATGATAACAGGCAGTGTTTGAGGAGGAGACAATAAATATTACTGTAGTTTTATGGCTTTATTGCCCTCCCATAATCTGTTACTGGCTTACATTTCATCTAATTAATTGTAAATCTGTGCTATATGTTTCGAAACCTCCATGTTGTATGTTTAATGCAAATGAGAGTTAGAGGTAAAGTTAATAAGCTCTATCCTATCACATAGCACTCACCCCATTTCATATTGGCGACAGCAGGCTTCTCTGAAGTCTGTGACGGGAGAGAGCTCAGCATGGATGGGCTGTCCATTAAACCACCGATTATTCAGGTCTATCACGGCCTTCTCCGCATCTTCTTCGTAACGGAACTACAATGACCATGAGGAGACAGACAGAGGGTAGGTGAAGGCAAAAGTCACCGGCTGTGGGTCCAAACTAAAAACCGTATCATTACAGTTCTGGTAACATTGGTTGCTTTTAGACGTGACACCCACCTTGACATACACATTTCCTACTAGGTGGTCCCCGAGGTTGTCGCATACGTTCATTTCCTCCACCTCTCCGTACTTCTCTTCCATCTCTGTGAAGACCTCCTGCAAGGATGGGAGAGAAAAATGTGATATCATGGTTTTTTTTTTTTTTTTAATCTTCTCATCTAATTCTCCACCAGAAAGCGAATAAGCACTAATGTCAAACTGTTCTTTTAACTGTATAACAACACCTTCAACTTTTGATAATCTTTTTGTGACGTGTATTATTCCACTGATTAACTTAACAGACAGTATTTATAAGAATTTGTTAAATGTCCCAGTTATCATCATGTCATCAACAGTTACATACGATACAGTTTTAGCTGATTATGAGGAAGGATTCTTGAATTATTTTCTCAAAAGAAGTTCAAATGTACCAGCAGCAGACTGATGAGGTCGGGTTATGATCATGATACCAGAAGTTTTAACTTTGAAACAATACTAGTATAAGGAAACGATACTCAAGACATCTTTTGATGCTACTGCAAAAAGGGGAAAAAAGTCCTAGGCACACAAAACAGTGCGGTTTCTTTTTTGAAGTAACAACCTGCACACAGCGCTGGTACATAAAAAGTTATTTAACATATACAAACAAGTATCAGAAAGTATCAAAGTATCAATATTTTTGACAACCTTGGGTCAGTGTTAGTGTGAAGCAGACCCGCTCTACATGAGTATATTCAGAATGGCATGAATTACCTCAAAAAACTCATCATAGTGCTCCTGCATCTCCATGTCACTGATGGCACCTAGTGGTTATAAGAGAGAATAACAGGACAATAAAAACAAACATCGATAGACCATTTAGAATTTCTGAAAATAATTCTGTGTGGCACACATTTGTCTCTTCAAAACATAACTGGGGGTGATGGAAGAAAGAAAACACATGGGTGTATGATCAGAGAAGACATTTCTGAGGGTCATAGGATCAAACACTTACAGGTCAGGCCATCAGCAGACTGGGCACTATTTTGAGGGTTCCGGTAAATGTTCAGGAGGGCAATTGTCTGAAACAAAACAAATTCATTTTGTTTTGATTAGGGTATTGAACCTGCTTTTTGGTAATGAACAAAATGAGTCAAAAACAGCAAAATACCAATACTTACAAAAAAAACCTTAGAGTACACAAGTACACAATTCAGATTTCAAATGAAACAAGACAAAGATATAATAAAAATATATTGTGCAGCCCTGTGCTCACTACTGCCCTACTATTTTAATGATAGATAATAAGTTCTGTCTCGAAGCCACCTCCTACCCCACCGTGTTTTCATCACTATATTTGTCATTGTATACCATCTGTTGGTCTCTATGATGTAACATGGTACACAACAAAAAGCCTGTCTGCACTGATATAGTATTTTCTAAGGAAACAATAAAGTACATACAAATTGCAGGCAATGTGTGTTCAGTGCTTAGTTTTTGTACATATTACTGGGATGCAATCTCTGAGTGTCATCCCTTTGTCTGTCTGGTATTAGAAGAACTCAAAGATAGCTTTGATATATGACTACAATGTTTAAATCAAGTACATTTTATTTTTAAAGCCCTAACACTTGGAGATATTGGCTTTGCCCCTTTCAGACCTAAATCTCCCCATAATTTTCATTTGACTTAAGAAAAACACAACTTCCCCTTATCTATGTGAGGACATTTTGGAACAAACAAAAATAATGATCTTACCTGGCTGAATGTCGGCTTATTGTGTAATCTGGAACAGCGGTCGCCATGTCGGCAGGCACCAATTTTAAAATAAAAAGAACAGTTGACCCTGCGACAAAAGGAAAAACATAAGGTTAACATTAAAACATAAAATTCTCTCAGAGTTGTCATTATGTTTGAGGAAACAAAGAAAACTGCTCGGGCGGACAAAACTGTTCTCATGGGACTTTAAAACCTACATCTTGCTGTATGCAAATTCTTTCTCCAGATAGTGACAATTATCTCCTCACACCACAAACACAAAAAGTACATTTTCCAACATGGCTCCAATGCGATGAGTTATGGGATCCTCTGCACTGCTGGGTGTGAACTCTGACAGACTCACAAACATTTATATTAAGTTTTTGTAGCTGCTTGTGATTACAATGAACTTTCAGAACGTTGGCTTCTTTTGTCTCGGATATATTTATATATCTATATTGTGCCTTCTTATTGCCGATACCTTGTCCTGGTGCCCACTAATATTTTGCTAGAACAGCAACCAACCACTATTTTCAACATCGATTAATCTGCTGATTCTTTTCTCGGTTAATCTGATTATTCTTTTTGTCTATAAAATGTCAGAAAATAGCTGAGGTGGTATCTTTAAATTGAGTGTTTTAGGCCAAAACTCTTAACTATCACATGTAACAAGAACATCACATAATAAACATCTGGAACCATTATTTTGACTTGGAAAATGACCGAAACAATACATCAATTACAATTAGTAATCAATTAATTGACTATTTGTTTAATGTGACTATCACAATTTATACCATTTTACCTAAATAGTTGCCTTGAACCAGACAGAAACAGATCCATTATTTAAATAGGGGTTCTACCAATTCAAACGACTTTAATAAGGTAAATACACCGTCTGCTCAGGTAGTTAGTTTTAAAAGTTTATAGTGTCTGCGTTTTTAATTCACAATGTATATTTTAATCAGGGTACGGGATAAACTGTCGCCTAGCAACAGCTGCCGTTATGAACAGAAGAAAGACGGGTGCTAGCAGCGGACATCTGGAATAAAACGGGTTTCAACGTGAGTGTGTAAAGAGTGTATCGACGGTACGGTACGCGTTGAGCTGCGACTACACATCTGCTCTCATTCATTAACGTTACTGTGATTTATCGTATCCATACGATAAGTAACACGTATGAGACTGAAGGGGTTGGGAAGCAATGTGCCTGCTCGTTCATACAGTGAGAGGCTCCGGTAGTGTCTCCGTGTGTTTCCCGCTGTAACAAAGACTTCTCCGGGTTTCACAGAGTAACTGGCGGCAGCTAACTCGAAGCTAGCTGGTAGTTAATGTACCACTTTAACTCGAGCTTCATTCGTAAAGCAAATGTATCTAAATTAAGTAAAAGTAGCTCGTTATGACTGTGTTTTTTTTTTATTCCAGACCATGCCAGCTCTGTTCCGCTCCCAGTCGCTGTAGGAGGGTAACAGTGGCGGCGCGGTATTCACGTTAGCTAGCTGGCTAGCATTAGCTGTGAGTTGCTAAAGCCAGTGTAACGTTACCAGATACAGACTGTGAACACCACTCTACACAGAGCTGCCAGTCAAAGCGGACTTTAGATGAAATAGTTAAGAAAAACGTGTTTAACAATCAATTAAATGAACGTTTAGTACTTACTTATCTTTCTCTGTCCCAAAAATGGACGCCAGGTACTCTGCCATCTTGGCTCGCCTGTGATCAACCCGCAGCAACAATGAGGGCACTTCCGTCCCACCGCCTTCATAATAAATGTGAGGGCTCTATCAAACCTGCACTCATTGTATTAACATGTAACAGTTCATTAAACAAACTCAGGTAATCCAGTGTAGCTGTTACCCTTTTGAAGCGTATAGCCTGTATAACACTAGTTGTATATTGAACTGTATTTGTTTTAGAGTCAGTAGTTTGCTGCTGTCACAATACCTCTGTTAGCCTATTATATCCTCATATTATCATTTATACTATAGTGAAGAAATACTAAGGCCCTCAAAGTCAGCCCACCCTTGTACAGTGTAAATACTTACTGCTAGGGTGTGCATCATTTAAACTGTATTTATTTAAGGGACAAAAGTTAAAGTTAATTGTGATACTTTCAAGTGACTACAATATTAATCTATGGAAATGAGTCTGTGTCTGTATCTTCCTCCAGCTATGATTAAACCCATAAAGTTACAAGAGAAAACTGGTAAGTGGCTGATTTTCAGTGTTTTATGTGGAGATTCTGGGGCTTAAATGTTAAAGTACTTTTCAAATATCTCCGTCTGTCTTTTTGCGTTACTTTAAAAACTACCGCCTTTATTTTGAAGAAAACACATCCAAACCGGAAATATTCCACAATTCCGGTCATTTCCGTCTGGACCACGACTTTCGAAATAAGAGTGGCTTTCATACATTACACTACTTACAGTCAGAGAGTACATCAATTATATTTGAACACCCATGAAAATATAAATGAGGATGTCTAACTGCTACTTAAACATAAGTATGTAGTAAGTGTATCACTATACTACTATAATATCAGTGCAACAGCTTTAAATATCTCCAAAACAGTCGGTCAAATCATGCAGTAATCATTAGTTACAACTTGTTCAAGGTAAAATAATCACTTAGGCTCTACTATCCATTCAATGTAGAGGCCTGTTGTATGGGAGTTCAAAACAATGTACTAATAGACCGTTTACATTTTCTATTAATAATAATTTTTAATAATAGTGTTGTATGTTATACTGAGAAGAACACTGAGCTAACTTCATCCTGAGTACTTGGGCATGAATTATACACAGTTCCATAAAAACCAAAGGGTCTTTAGAGCTCCGTACAATATTCTATCTTTTTATATATACTCTTTATTATGATTAATAAAACAAAATACAAACACTAGTAATCCCCAGGAACAACATTTTGACAGTCATGATAATGAATCATGTCTCCAAACCATTTGTCAAATGATTAGAGCCAAAAACAAGTCCACTCTGATTGCATTGAGATAAGTTTATTTAGTAAACTTGACACTTTTGTGGATTTAATTGAGAACTTTCAGTCAAGAGTAAGAAACATGACTCAATTATTTACAAAATTACATCACATCTACATACTGTAGACAGATTATATTTAATAGCCAATTAACAGAAATATAACAGGACAAAATACCTAAATTTCAATAAGTTCAGGAGTCAGAATACTGTATATCAAGTGTAATGAAGAGCCTGGTGGTGGACAGGCAATGCTTGTTTTGTCATTGTAAACAATATGTGTCTGCTACCAGTCTGGAAGAATCAAAGTGACCAACCATAATAATGTACATTCATAATAATAATAACATAACCTTTACCCAACACATTTAAATACAAAAAACCTGAGCACTGCAAACCTAGGCTGGCTTAAGAACTGGACAAAGGGCAACTGCCCCACACCTAGGCCCCCCACCAGGTTGTCTGTGTGGCAATTACTGAAATGGAACTGCCCCAAGGTGGCCCTGTGTTTTTACTTGGTATTGGGGTTTTGTAGAGTGGGCTTGTGTCAAAATGCAGGTTCAATACCTTTATTGTGTTATGCTTACATGGTGCATATTCTTAAATAAAGAAAAGCTATCTGGGTTCTAGGACTCAAAATGTGACAACAAAATGTGTTGGGAGAACTATGTAGGGGGAGGCTGAATAGGGACACACAGGATATTTTTGCCCCAGGGTCCCCTAGCAGGCTAATCCCACCTATGTTGCAAATATTTAAAATAGCTGATTGTAGTAGAATATAGTTGAACTGCTGGGTTAGTTTCACAGACCCTTCTCAAGGCTATCGGTTCACTTAAACAGCTTGTAGGAAAATTTAAAGGAAGGAAATTTAAAAAACAAAATGAACTGGATTATGAATAGAGGATACACAGCATATTAGATACGTGGCCATATTAATGGGAATATGATTGTGAAAGAACTGGAGTCTGTGTAATCAATTTAAATGGATGACTACCATGACTGTAAAGCTGATGGGAAACCATGAAGGCCTATTTTATCAAAACACCTATTTAATCTGCTGGACTCACAGTTGCACTGAGGACACGATTCAAAATTATGATAAAGTCCATCAAGTCCAGTCTGAAATAAAAGACAAGACTCGCAGGAATCTAGATCTTTTGTAATTTCATAGAAGTTTTAGGGTAACTGTCTTTCCAGTTAGTCTCCGCCCCTCCTCTGAGTCTGTGTTGACCAAAAACTTGCATGATACGACTCGAGAGTGTGTGAATTTGGGCTGCTTGTCTACCACAGTTGAACACATTTCAACATCTCTCAAGGCCCGAGTTTCAAGAGGTATGGATATTTCGGAGATAAGTGTGCTTGTTCTGAAGAAAGTGTACACAGTTGTGGTCGTGTTAAGGGGCCTGGTTTTTTTTTTATCGTGCTTGGACTCTTCCCGCTATTTTGTAGCTCACTAGCTAGCTAGCTAGCTGTTGTCGATTCCTGTTTATGTGAGTGGGCAGCGGCCGCCTACCTTTCAGCAATAAAAACACACTCTGAACATTAACTAGACAACTTACAGCTAAAGCTAGACTACCGCTGGCTACCACGACCGGGGGCGACTGCTCTCGGTGCTTTCTTGTTGTCTGAAAAACAGAAATAAAGTTAGTGTTTCGTATGACAACATCGGATATACCCGTTCAGTGTTAGCTGGGTTGCTAACAGTAGAGGCGAGCGGAGAGGCTGCCGCGGCGCTGCTCACAAACAACACACAGTATGTATACATCCAGAGACCATACAGCCGCGGTGGAGTCCATACTTCTCTGTATAGCTGCAGTTTGTGTGTAACCGGGCGACATTTCGGTTTCTAAGCGACACCGCAGTCGCTCTTTGGTGGCAGTTTTCCTCTGAAGCTCGTATCGTATTTATCACGGCTGCTCTCGGAAGTCTTGCAGCGCTGTAAACCTTTAGCCAGGATTTCCGGCTCCTTTCCATTTGCCCTATGCTGTTTTGTTTCCGTTTATTCTATTTCCGTTTTAAAAGTTTTCTTCGTGCAGAGTTAAAGTGTGATATTACGGAGAGTTGATGCCGTTATGACGCGCAGAGCGTTCGGAGGATATTTTAACCGTTCTTTAGCACGCGGGGACCAACGGTTGAGTGATGGGCTGCCTCCCCTCGCGGTGCATTCGCGTGCAAAATTGCAGCTAACTTGCTCCGCTGTTAGACCAGCTCCAGCGCATCGACACGTGTAACCCGCCGTGTAAATCTGAGTTTTCTGTGTTTTACAAACGTGTGTTTGTGATGCGTGTTTACGTGGGAGCACTATTTTTGTTAACTAATGGCCTATCAGTTGGCCTTTAGACGCCAAAGCCTCGCCCTCGAGTTGGCTAACGTTAGCAGTTGGAGCAGTCAGTGAACTGTCCCAGACGGCCAATGAGGAGTCGAGGCTGAAAGGCCTTTATGATAGAAAGCCCCAAACTGCTGCTTCATATTTACATCATGCACCCATAACCCACTGACACACATTCTACACACAGTAGCCGAAATATTCTCTATTGTTCAGACTCACTTATTCACACTTTTGGATGCTTTTTAGTTGTTTGTGCTTCCTGTAACAGAATAATAAATGAAGAATAGTTCGTTTTCTGAATGAGCTGTTGTGTGTCTGTGCTCTTTTGTGAAGTAATAGGGTTTTTGATGGCATTATGAAAAGAAGGGCAGCAAAAATAAGTAGTTTAATAGATTTTTTGAGGAAGAAGTGTCATTTCAGATGCGATCATTTCCTGGATTAATACAGGAAATGAGTATTTTTTTGACTGTTGGTCAAACAAAACAAGAAATGATGATGTGGCTTTTGGTCTTTGAAAAGAATGATACTTTTTATTGTGTATATAAAATGTATTGTCAAACTATGAGTATTATTTGCTTTACCTAAACGTTAACTACCTTACCTTAACTAAAAGGCCTGTTTTAAGTTGACAGAGTTAGTGCTGGGGTTGGACACAGTGATTTAAACACATCTACAACTAACAATTTATGGCTGTGACTAACATTTATTAGTTAAGAATCATTATTGTTTAATCTACTGTTAAATTTTTATTATGTAAGTTAAAATTTCCCATCACAGGGCATCCCAGTAGGTCACCCGATAGAGTGCATAACACATATCAAAACTGCGTTCTTACCACAGCGCTCTGGGTTTATTTTCCAGAAGGCATTTTGATTGATAAATTACAAACAATAACATTAACAGTGTATTTGTTTTAAGTCTTGTTAATACATTGTAATGTGTATGAATTACAGTTAAGCAGCTCTCTCATTACTTTCCTACAGCTTGGCTCGCTCTGCATAAAACACAATGGCTAAAAGTGAACCAGAAGAGATGATAGAGATCGAGATCGATGAACGGGAGAAACAGGCGTGCCTGGAGGAAGGGTAAGCAAGGTGGTGGTCATTTGAAGTGCACACTGTCACACATGGAGCAACTATACATTTATACTTTTTTCCCCCTTGCTTCTATTACTTCTAGTGTTGAGGAGCATACCATCACTGCATCAGATTTGATTCAACAAGACATCGACATCAATGAGCCCATTGGCAATCTGAAGAAACTTTTGGAGCCCCGTATCCAGATGTCACTGGATCAATATGAGATCTGCTTGCAGGACATTCAGGTAACAATATACATAAATTGAACCTTTCAAGATCTCTGTGTTATTCTGTAATTTTGTTGCCAAAAAACAGAATTCAACTTTGTAATGTGGGTCTGATAGACATCCTTTGATCTGCAAAAAGATGTTCGGTTGTGTCTGTCTTCACCTCTGATTCAGCTTATCTGTTGTGTTTTTCTTTTTAGCTTCACCCTGATCACAGCCTCTTTGATCAGGGAGTAAAGACAGACGGCACAGTGCAGCTCAGCCTGCAGATTATAACCAAACCAGGTACTGATGAGAGGCTTCACACATCAGGAAATATACAGACATGTATTGCTGTTTGTGTCCAAATTCAGAGTTGCACCCTCACAACACACCAACCTCACTCAGTCGTGTTTTTTCCCCTCTTCCAGGTGAAGAGAAGTTGAACATTTTGGAAATTGTGAAGCCAGTAGAAACAGTAGAGGTGGTGATTGATCCAGATGCAGCAGGAGAGGAGGGAGCTCTGGTGGAGGAGGGCCAGCTCATTGCTGTGGAGCGATCTGGCTTGTCTGATGAGACATCAGAGCAGGTTACACGCTGGGCTGCAGCACTTGAAGGCTACCGCAAAGAGCAGGTTCGCCTGGGAATACCGTATGGTGAGGAACACTTTAATAAAAGACATTACTATAGGGAAAACTACCCTAAAATTATGTGGTGATAAATAAACATGGTTGTTAATGTACAAGGTTTCTCTCTCTCTCTCTCTCTCTCTCTCTCTCTCTCTCTCTCTCTCTCTCTCCACAGACCCTCTGCTCTGGACAGCTGACCAGGTGATCCACTGGGCTGTGTGGGTAATGAAGGAGTTTAACATCGATGAGATGGAAATAGGCAGCATTCACATCCCAGGTCGAGATCTTTGTGCATTCAACCAGGAAGAGTTCCTTCAGAAAGTGCCCAATGGAGAGATCCTCTGGAGTCACCTGGAACTTCTGCGCAAATGTAAGTCAGATAGAGTTGTTTTAGGTTTTAGAGTGTATGTCTGCAGTTTGTACACAAAAGTGTGTTTCAAAGAGTTGACAGAGTTAAAAATGAAGACCCTAATCCATTGTATTTATTTCAGATGTGTTGGCAAGCCAGGACCAGTCTGGAGGGGACGCTACTGTCACCATTGACCAACGTAAGTTTTTATTAAATTGAGGGGAAATTAATGTTAATGAACATTTTTACAAAATCTGAAAATGTCCGTTGCTCTAGATAAGTCCTTTCAAGTTTCTCCAACATTCTTGGACAATGGAACTGTACTCAAATGTTTGCAATCTGCAGCTTCGCCACCAGATGTCAGTGGTCCTTTAAATCAAATCAAAGTTCATCTCTATCTGTTCCATCTCCAGCTGTGCAGATAATCCCAGCTCAAGTGAGCACACCCACAGCCATAAAGGTATTGAAGCAGAGCCGAGGCCCTAGAGCTCCCCGCATTTCAGGAGGAGAGGAGCGCAGCTCGCCTGGCAACCGCACAGGTAGTACTCACTACAAACAAAGACTCTGTGTGAGTGTTTTGTTTTTGTTTTTGATTATTTGACACTGACTGCTGTGTTTCCCTGTGCTAGGCAACAACGGGCAGATCCAGCTGTGGCAGTTCCTGCTGGAGCTGCTGACAGACAAGGATGCCAGAGACTGCATTTCCTGGGTGGGCGAGGAGGGCGAGTTCAAACTCAACCAGCCGGAACTTGTGGCGCAGAAATGGGGCCAGCGCAAAAACAAACCCACTATGAACTATGAGAAACTCAGCAGAGCCCTCAGGTTCGTTTTCAAAACAGGTTTTCTGTTAAAAATTCTCAGGGGCACCTTTAGAGCTCACCTGGTAGAGCTGGTTCCCCATGTACCAAGTCTGAGTCCTTACTGCAGCAGCCAGGGGTTTGAGTCTGACCTGTGGCCCTCCGCTGCGTGTCATCCCCTCTCTCTGTCCCTCTTTCTTTGAAGTCTCAAACCCAGGCCGAGATAATGATGATAACAAAGCTCCTCCTGGGCTACAGAAGACATAGTTCTGTTTTCACAGGTACATCACATGTCGTGTAAACTGCAAGGCAGCCTGGTGAAAAACAATCATCATTAATTAGTTTCATGTGATACTCTTCAATTGTATGTTTTTATTTTGACTTTCAGGAGAGATTCTGACTTTCACATTCTCGTTTAGGTATTACTACGATGGGGACATGATCAGCAAGGTGCAAGGCAAGCGCTTTGTCTACAAGTTTGTGTGCGACCTGAGAACTCTGATTGGCTACAGTGCGGCTGAGCTCAACAACCTGGTGACCGAGTGTGAACAGAAGAAACTGGCTCGTATGCAGATGCACGGCATTGGCCAGCCAATCACTACAGTGACCCTGGCCACCACGACACTAGACAAAGACAGTTGAAGAACGCCACGATACAGCACTCTCCGGCTGCCGCGGGCAAACATCGCTCTCCACAGCTGATTGAAAATCAAATTAACTTTCTTCTTTCTCTGACACAGCTGTGTTCATTAGACACAGAAATGCAAAGCTGATCCATGATTGATCAGTGTGGAGTAACATCATTGTTATTGTCTTTACAGTTTGATTCAAGTTATATGGAGACAGGTAAAACCTTTTTTTTTTTTTTTAACGCTAACCAAGAGAAGCGCATTCAGGATGAGAGTGTGAGTGTCTGCGATTACTGAGAGCTGTTGTTGTGTGCATGTGACCGAATGCTTGAACGTGTGACTGAAAACCCACATATGAGCTTTGTGTAATGTGTCTGTAGTTTAGGATCAAATTTCCACTGTATATACCGGTACTTCATGTTTTTGATAGACACAAGGACAAGTGTATTTTCATATTTTCCATTTATAGAGGACCTGTTTTGTATTTTATTTAGTGTTTGTTCCCTAAATTGTTGGACCTTTTTTGTCCACTAGAGGGAATAAAGTGGCAAGCATTTTTCTTAATGTTTGTGATCCAGTCATTTCATCTTTTAAGCTTTGAAATCTAAATATTTCCATTTTTTAAAATCCTGTATAAATCAGTAAGAGATTCAAAATGACAAACAGCCACAAAGTTATATGTACATTCAAAATTTTATTCATGGTATAGTGAGTGTAGAAAGCTTGTTCTTACTCTATGCAAATGGTTCATTAAACTACACACAGAGGAAGGTCACTGAATCAATGAGAGAAAAAATGCATCATTTTTTTTAAACACTAGCCTCCAAACACCCACAGTGAGCATCAATACAAATTTTAAACATTCACCTGATTAAGCGCTTCAGTTAGTGTGTACAAGTGGAAAGAATGTATAGAGAGGTGATATGTGTTGTATTTCTATGGTATAAAATGCACGATATGCATGTCACATTCATGTTTACTGGAGGTGGCTCAAATAACTTAATCAAGGGAGAGGGAAATGTGTCTACGCTGATGTGAGTTGTGGTCATCCTCCCTGTGTTTATGGTAATTCATTGCCACCTTCATGAAGACAATTTTAAGAGTCTTGACAACAAATGTGCAGGCAAAGAAATATCCACCACAGGACAAACAGAAGCACTGTACATGTATACACAGGAAATGTAGAAAAATAGAATGTGTGAGATTTGGTGAAGGAATGTGTGTGTGGAGTGGCAATGGATGGGACCACCTAGAAAACTTGTGATCTCTCTGGGCCCAAAAGTCCCATCTCTTCATCAAATACTCCCAAGTGCTGCACTGTACAATATTGCTGACACAGCCAGAAAGAGAGGATAAACAGGACAAATGGGGATTTAGAAAGAAAGATCAGATAACAGATGAACGAGGGGAAAAGACCGAGATGGGAGCTTGATAATGAAACTGGGCCATTGAGAGTTGGATCTCATCTTCCAAATATTTACAATCGAGAGAGAGACTGGAATGATAAAATCTGGAATGGTACACTTTCAGAAAACCTCCTTTCTAATATTTGACCTTTATCCTCAGTCTAATAAAAACCAGCGACGGTGTGAATTGGCATCAGGGACTTAAGAGGAATAATATTTGGTGATAATAATCAGAGTTCCAAAATGACAGAGTGCATAGAACGCAAACAGTAACAAAATCATCTTCCTTTCGGATACTATAACACTTCATATATTACATATAGAGCATTTTGCCCATGCAGCTAACACAACAGTGAAGCGTGGAGATGAGCATAACGAGCCAAGATTCAGTTAAAGCAAGTCTGTGACAACAAAGCAGACCGGATTCTGAATACTCTTTCTTCTTCATATCACAAGATCACAAAGAAGACACTAGAAATGTACAATCCTGCTAAAATATCTAGTAAGAGGACCGCTCTCGAGGACCTCAACATACAGTATACTGTATCTGTCATCAATATTGCCATGCACTACATATACTTACAGCTAATCTCTGTCTTAATATATTACACATAAAAAAATCATAAAACAAAACATTCAATATTTTTCAACTTTTACATACTTTGATTATGTATAATTTTTTTGTGTTTTTTTCTTTCTTTTTGAAAAACAAACCTGAAACACTTGGGCTTTGATAGTGCGGAGGGGCGCTCTGAGAGCCCCTCCTCCCACTGCCAGCTCTAAGAGCTGTTATGTCATCAAACACAGCACAGCTGTTATCGGAAGGCAGGGGAGCGGGATGAGTGGGGCAGTTTGAAGAAAATGGAACAAACAGTTGGAGTGATGAGGGAGTAACTGGGAATTACTTGAACTGCTTGGGTTTACATGTTTCTGGTCTCAGCCACGAGCACAGTACTGAGGTGACTTCATATAAATCATCACCAGGGTGTTGGTTTGTCAGCACAATAACTATGACGTTTTTGTTGTGATTGGCTGAAATGTGCAGGTGAAACAGGGTACCCTTGTCTGACCAATGTAGGTAAAAGTGTAAAGTGTGTTCACATATTTCCTTCCCCCTCAACAGGGTGAGAAAGCAAAGGTTTTAGGGCGAGGGACCAGAATGAAATAGACCCTACGAGTGAGAGTGTGGGGTTGGGATATGCCTGAAGAAAATGCTGCAGGCAGTTATTTAGTTCTGCATCTGCTCAAAGAATTTGTAGGTGGGATTCTCATAGCCGTTCTGCTGCATCTTAGCCAGATGACGCTCCTCTGGTGTCACCGCTGCATCCACCTACCGACACAGATGAAGAATGTTGGTAAACAAAACAATTTAACGTAGACAAACACTGATTTCTGTTCTGTGCCTCGCACAAAACCACCTGATCATAAAGGCCTTTATTCACCTCAATTACACCGTGATGAATAGAAGTGTATTGTTTCTTCCTCAGCATCACCAAAGTAATGACAATGACAGTTGCTATGACAACCCCTCCAACCATAAGTCCAATAATGGCACCTTTATTGGACCCAACATCCTCAGCAAAGAACACCTGCCAGTAGAAAAACAAAACTATTTATGTGCGCAAAGCACCGACACAGCAAGAACAAAATAAATGACATGATGATGTTTTCTTTGTGTTGGACTGGTTTTCATACCAGTTTTTGATGGTAAACTTCATAACCAGCACTTTGCCTCTCTTCAGTCTCCATTCGCACTTCTGGCATCTCCTCTGGCTTCAGGGCAGATACTGAAACAAAAGGAGCGCACACAGACAAAGTATGTAAGAGATAATAGCATTCAGTAGTGAATAAACAGTTTAGTGTCCTACATATAATTTTATATTCTCAAAGTATTTGTATTATGTATTACGAGCTATTAAAATAAAACAGCAGAAAGGGAGTTCAAACTTAAAGGTGAGTGATACGGGCCAAATTAATACTGTGATAATTATCCCAGCCATAGCTTGATATTAATGTTACATTTACTACTTATAATCACATTGTGAAAGCACCAAACAGGATGTTATGTTCCATTGAGCCAGGGTCATAAGGCAAAATCCTTAACCAGTAGTAGGATTATGGAGCAATTTTTTTATGTGTCCCCATTTTGTTTGTGTCAGCATGCCAGTGAAGCAATACACTCCCACACTATTCTGCTATTCCCTAGTGGTGGTAGTGGGCAACGCAAAGCACCACAAAGTCAGTGAAGAAGAACCCACAGCACATTTGTTATAGCTCAAGGATGCACCTAATACATTTTGTTGAGTAACACTAAATGTAAACTTTGGGACTATGTTTTGGGATTATGTTGAAACAATTATATGTAGACCATGATCAAAGATAATATTGCTTAATCTCCCAATCCTGTGTGAAGTGCCTGCTCGCAGCCCTACTGGGCTCAGAAATACAAACACACTCACCAGGTCGTGTGGGGAGTCCTCTATCTGGAATTGGGCGAGCGTCAACAGGTTCAACTGCAGAAAAAATGAAACAGGAGATAAAATCTGTCTTATCTCTGACTCAGTTTCTCCCATTACACCTTGCACGAACTTATCACTTTAAAGGGTAAGAACACCTCTGCATATTTAAAAGAGGATGAATAAACTATGTGTGATGTGGAGGGTCAGAGTGCACAGGGGCGACTGATCTAACACCGCTCAGTGGAACATTTGCACATTTATGGCTGGGTCCTGTGTTGTTAGCCGGTCTAGTGGCCCTGGCACAAACTGAGTCTACAGTTAGCTAATCTAAATGAATCAGTATCATTATGTGTGTGAACTTCACTTCAACTTCACTGACCTTTCATCTGTAAACAGTGAGTATATCATTTTATGATATTCAAAGCATCTTTATGTGTATGTGTGTGTGTGTTACCGTGGTTCTCTGTGTTGGGCTGGTTGAAGCTCTCAGGGTGGATGAAGCCCAGTCCGTCCAGGCCAGGGTCCATAGGAGCAGAGCTGTAGGCCTGATCAGGCATTAGAGCGTCATTTCCATAACTCACCCTGCCATCCACCTGCACACACAGAGGAATATTAATCTGGATCGGTCGGCGTGGAACAGTCAGAGAGGGTTCCTTTGAAAATATGATCTAATCCAGATGATTATCTGCTAAAAGGTACAAATGTCTGATAGGACCCACAGGACTCGCGTTATGTGCCCAAAGCACTTTACTAAAGCTGAAAGCCAAAAATTCCTGATCTCTACAACTGGTCTCTCAGTCGAAATCTTCCGTGCTCTTCAGATACAGCATCCTCCCTGTATATCGTATTCTTTTCAGATCAATGTGATATCTCGACATTTATTGATTCACTGTACCCGATGACATCCACCACATGATCAGCTAAGAGATTTAAACAACGTTTGAAAAACTCATTTTAGTCTTTGCTTTTTCGATATTTCTTACTTCGGCTTAAATCCACCACTCCACTACCGAGACTGCATCTCAGTATTTCTGTGCAATTTTGTCTCCTATCACTGTTCGTAGGTGACTCTATTTATATATGAGAGAGAGTGCAGTTTATACAGTTTAGACAGTTTTCTATGCATATGTGAGTGGGTGCAACTCGACTCACCCGCCCATCGCTCTGCAGGGAAGAGACTTGCTGAGACAGCTCCGACTGAACTCTCTGCACTATAACAGCTTGGAAGAAAAAGGAGAAAGAGAGCGTGAGAGAGAGAGCAGCACGATTATAGATGGGAGGGAGAAATGGTGGGAGTTTAGATGCATGCTATACAGTGTCCTGATTACTGAGGACAAACAACCTCTAACAGTATCAGCACACCATGCATCACTGAACTTCAGACATGTCGTTAAACTCGTTTTCATCTTCACTCAGCACTACAAGAGGTTGGCGGTCAGTTCATTAAGTCTGTATAGTCCCACTGCACAATAGTGCTGGTCATATGTAGGGCAGTCTAATTCAACGTTAATCCACTATGTCTATAAAATGTCAGAAAACCTTGAAAAATATCAGAAAACCAACACTGTCTACTATCATAACAGACCAAGACAATCAGAAAATACTATTCATTTTTGGCATTTGATTTTATTTATTTGATCAATAAATCAGCTAAATGTTTCAACTCCAATGCCTGCATTAACTTAAATTTAGGGGGCTCTGTGTCTAAATTACATTATGTGTCATCAGTGACCGGGATCTAATTATTCGCATAAACAAACTATATATATATAAAAACCCTGTTATGTATTTTACTGTATTGATTAATTTTATTTAGATACACAATAGTGAGTCCTCACACTCCCTGTGCAGCCAATCATTTATACAGTTAGTATCAATTAGTATGAATCAAACACTTACAGACTTGGTTTTGGATCTCACTGGCCACACTGGGCACTTTGTAGAGCAGACCCAGTGACTGATTCATCCTCTCGTCGATCACACGTAGGTGGGTCAAAACCTAAAGGTCAGAAGAAAGTGAAGAAGTTCCAGTCCAATTCTGAAATCATAATTTTCTATGCAGATGTTAAAACCTACAAGGATGTTTACATTTTAGGCTATACAAAGAAGTTACCAACTAGAGTTGCAACGGTATGAGATTTTATGGTATGATAAGCATTTCAGCACATCAAAGGTTTGGTACAGCTGGTAGGTTTGACTGTATGTGTGAGGAAGAGTACCTGTGGTCGGATCTGTGCTGCCTTCTTGGGGTCGACTGTGCGGACGTGCTCGTAGTGTTTCAGCGTGTGCTGTCTGTCCTTCTGCTCTGCACGGACGTACTTCTTCAGCAGACTCAGCACCTGACGAGCCTGGTGGTGGCAGTGATATATGTCGTTAGTGGAATTATTACACTTTCAGATGCCTTATAAAAACATATATATGATGTGCTGTTTTTACTTTACATACACTTCATTGTGTTCCTTGCCAGTTACACTTACAGAATAATCTGACACATAGGAGAAGCACTGAGAAAGCCATTGTTACTTGTCTCTAGACTCTCCCATTAACACACCGATGACTTCATGTAACAGCTCTGCTTTCATTGAAAAGTGCACAGGTGACATATGTGAGCGTGTACCCGTGGAGGGTTGGCCTGTAGGGCACTGAGGTAATTTTCCAGAGCCAGGCGTCGGCGGCTGTTGAGCAGAGCCTCCACCCGGGCCATGTGGGTTTCCACCAGCTGCTGCCTCTCTCCTGCTGCCTCCCGCTCCAGAGCCTCCACCTTCTCCTGGAAGTGCTGTAAATACAGTATATATTACATGCAAGAGATGAGACAACAAACTGTTTTTACTATGTATCCGGTTATAAACACAGTTCAGGTATAGTTAAATGTTTTCGAAGCCTTATAAGGTTCATGATACACTGTGGGGCTGTGCATAACAATGTGCTGGGAAACATTAACCATGAAGGAATGTGGAGGAAGCAATCATGAGATCATTTTATTTCTTTATTGTTTTGCTTTCAAATAAATGTAACAATTCCTTTCCGAAATTAATGTTGTTGTTGTTGTTGTTGTTGTTGTTGTTGTTGTTCTGACATAAAGGGTCCTTTACATTTAAAAATAAGATTTTTTTATCGTCATGTTTTAGCAATTATCAAGTTAATAACCAAAATTAAAAAGCTCACACTGTAAAAATTCAAGTTCTAATCCCATGTTAAAAGTTAATGAAATGTTTTTATTTTAAAATGTAGTTTGTCTTCTCCTGTAAACATTAAACTATTTTTGATGACTAATTTTCACACATAAATTCATCCAATCAAAAGTGATAAAAAAACAAACCGATTAATAATCAGGCAAATCAGCTCAAAAAATATCTGATGCTCAATATGTCATTTATCTATTATCTGTTTTGAAGATCATGCTTGCAAAAGAATCAAAATCCTCATCCTCTGCCCCTCTGGCTCCTGGTAAAGGAGGTGTGGGTGAAGGCCAACTGCCCTCTACTGCTGTGAATCTCACCCCAGCTCCGTATCCCTTCATATTCACTAAGTCACGTCTACGTTTACACCATCCGATTAAATCTGAAGGATTGGATTTACGGATTTTCTTTTAATTCTCTCCAATATAATGGAGCTCAAATATTTCTTATAACAAACACCTTTGACATTTACAAATGATGGTATAAAATAACGAATACAGAAAAGGTCTTGGTGTGTTTCCTACCTGGATGACAGCTTTCTTGTCAGCACGAGGAAGGTTCTTGGCCTGTCTCTCAGCCTCTTCCCACTCCCTCATCACCTGGAAGTAAACAGCATCATGTCAGGGACCAAAGCAACCATTAGATACTGACACATTCAGTCATCACGTCAGATCAGATATTTGGAAACCTTGAGAGGTTAAAATCCCAGAGAGAAATGTTTATGATGTAAACTGTTAACACCGGCAAGCAAACATACCTGAGACATCCTTTCACGGTGTTTGGCCTCCAGGCTTTCCTTGGCCTTCTGGAAGTCAGCGTGTTCACTGTCATCCCCAGGAGATTCGAGGTACCGATCCACAGCATCTGGAGGACTGGGGGCCATGGTGGGCACTGAAGGAGAACAAAGAACAACTCAGAGGATGATTAAAATACAAGTAAAGATGATGCCTTAAAGGTAAATGTAGGAAATACACTGATCCCAGTGCATCTGAAGCCCACACAATTTAAAGGACAGCGAGTTTAAACTAGTGTGTGAAAAACATAAAGCAGGTTAGGTACATACAGGAAACAGTTTTAATATAAACACAAATAAAGGTACAAAAGACATAAGGGTTATCAGGGGACACAGGGTGATTAGTTTCCCAGTACAAGTGCTGTGCATATGTCTTTATTTAATGCGGGAGTCTGGAGATAAGACCAAAAGTGCAGAGTCAGCATCAGGGTGTGGTGTGTGGTGTGTGGTGCTCCACTAAGTGGAAACAGCAAATCAACCCGTTAACCTTTGACAACGCCCTCCCCCATCCACACACGTACACACACACTATGACCATCAACACACTGCAACACTCAGCTAGTTAAGACATGTTGATGACATCGTTAGAGACCCTAACTGCCAGGTCAGACTACTACGACGCAGCAGGAGCAGGCACAAGACCTTGCAACTGCAAGGCATGCAAACACACTCGTGTACAGAAGTGCATGCAGACGCACATCGTCATTCAAGGTTCAGTATTTACGCTGCCTCGTCCACATGCTGTAAGAATTATCAGTTGGTGTTACTGGTTAGAAAACAATGAAATGAGTAATTAAATGATTTTAAAGTGAATGACTACAAGAGCATCATGGCTGCTTTCCAACAGGGACACTCACTTGATCCGCTTGCCGTTACATTTTTTGTTTTAATTTTCCTTTTCACTGCAATGTTTAAAAATCCTAAATTAAACTACTGACTGTTCTTATGCAGTTTAAATCATAAATATATTATGTAAATAGATGGTCTCAAAGCTTCCTAAAAGATGGTTGATTGATCTTATTGACAACAAATTCCACAAAAAGAACAAAACCATCAATGAATTGATCCGACTAACAAGTCAAAGTCTCATATAGTTTATTCCACTGTGCCAGGGGGCCTCTAGTGTAAAAACTATAAAAACACATCAGTGAGTTGCACTGGGTGATTTGTTCCTTCTGTACGATGAACATGGACACTGTAGTTTAGTTTTTGAGTAAATCCCACACTAATCATACTGGTTGCTGAAAACACTAACTAGAAAACCAAATGTGTAGTAATCTATGGCAGAAAATATTCCCCAACAGATGCTCTATTTACTCCTGTTTACAATATTTAGCCAAAAACAATAGTGATAATAGATGTTTTGAGGAAATTACTGAGCCTTTTCAAACAATAATATATATATATATATATATATATATAGGACCCGAGCTTGAGGATGACACAGATACCACCCCAAGAGGGTGAGAGGGAAGTTTTTGGGGGGTTTTTTGTATATATATTTGTTACCCATTTATAATCCCTATTTTCTATAGGAAGGAATAGGGTTGGGACTGAAAGCCACAGATCAGATTAATGCATTGTTGGTTCAATGGATTTGTTGAAAATAAGAGAAATACAAAATCATCAGCCTTATCAATGGAGCTATGGCCAACCAGTAAGCTTCATTTTTACCACAAATGTAAAAGCATTTTCTTTGCTTTTTGGGAAAGATACACAAACTATGTTATTCCGGGGTGATGGGTGATTTCCTGGCCTTTATCTTTTTCCCCTTTTACGTCTCCTTCCTAATCCAAGATATGTGTTTATCTTGCTGAGAAAATAATTGTATAAAACTTGAAACAAGACTAGAATATAAGCAACCGAATCCACTTGTCAGTGCTCCGAGTGGTTAAGAGCCAACAGTCACTCAGGACAGGCAGAGACAGAGAAAGAGACAGACAATCTGCAGTAGCCTGAGGACAGGAATCAAGCTTGTGGTGCGGACGCTTCAGGGTTTACACGGCTCTGGTCCTGGGACTTACACGAGCTGCTGCAGACGGCTAGGCAGTACTCCTCAGAGTCAAAGTTATTCCTGTTGCCCCCACAGCCCCCAAACAAGAAGGGAGCACAGCGGCCCTTCTCAGGCATGAAGTACCAACGCTCCAGCATGGCGTGACACGGGCCTGACTCAGCACGAGCCCAACAAACGGCTGAGATATGTGCACACAGGCAAACGTAAATTAAATGTCAAATAAAAATGGAACAATGCAAAATGTGAACTTCTGGATTTTATGGAAAATATAAAAGACACACACTTAAAAACAACAAATAAATGAAAACAAAGTGTGTGTGTATCCACTTACCTCGAACAACTTCCTCAACTGATTCAGTGGTGGTGGTGGTGGTGGTTGTCATGGCGACGTTAGCACTGCGCTCATCGCTGTCACGTTCGTCAGTCACGTCGTCTTCGTCCTCCTCCTCATCTTCATCTCCATCTCCATTCTCGTCCCTTTCAAAAGTGTCCACCTCTTCATCCTCGTCTTCGTCATCCTCCGTGGTGGCAGCCTCTGTGTCTGCCGGACGCGACATGCTGCAGGGAGAGCAGTTGGTTCAGTCCATGTATCAACATGTGTGTGTGTGTGTGTGTGTGTGTGTGTGTGTGTGTGTGTGTGGTGTGTGTGTGTGTGTGTGTGTGTGTGTGTGTGTGTGTGTGTGTGTGTGTGTGTGTGTGGATGAACAGTGATGAGTGTGCATGAGTGATGATACCTGTTATCAGAGTATTCGGTCTCAGCTCCACCCCACCAGACGTCTGACTCCTCCCCTTCTAACTCTGCGCTGTCCAACTCTCGCTCAGCCTCCGTTGGACAGCAGACGAACTCCACCCCCCGGAAACGGTCAATACCACATGGCAACAGCATCCCGTAGTCATGGAGATTCATGGAGCGGTCTCCGCAGGACTAATTTTAATAACAGACATTAATCATGACTTCCTGCGGCGCTTGAATGGCTTTTAACACTCGTGTAAACAAGCTGAGCTTATTGTAGTAAACCTTGAGTGGAGATGAGGAGCTCAGATGCACAGATTATTTATTATAACAGAGGTTTAAAAAAAAAAAAATCAATGTTTGTCAGACGAGACTTTGTGGGTGACTGCACATTAATGAACAATCAGAAAGGCATGAGGACAAAAGGAACACAAATCAGAACCAAGTGGCAGAGGAGGCTGACAGCAGAGTTTGAGAGGATTAAATTAAAGAGTGCCGAGTCATTCAGCAGGAGAACTACAGATAGAAAGACAATGAGAAAAATAACTGCTGTCTTATCGTCTGTCCTCACCTCTTTGGCTACAGTGTGCCAGTGCAGGTGGCTCTCACACTGGTCCATACGCTCCTGGTGCAGGAACTTACACTTGTCAGGAACCAGCAGGGCATCGCTCACAAACTCACCAACTGCAACATAAAAATGCCTTCGCTTATTACAGGTAGTTAGTGTGTCCGTTCACACATGCAACCATACACACAAACATGCTCAGTAACATCCACCTGTATCAATAAAACTGCTTACCCAGGCAGCGATACGGCACCACAATGTGTGTGTGACTGCGGCATTGCTTGCGGCCTTTCTTGCACCAGTTCTGGATGCTGACGGGCTGGTTGGCCTCCACAACATTTGTGATCTGCAACTCTGGGTACACCTGGAGAAAAGGGAGAGACTGTTCAGATTGTGTCTACTGCTCATTTGCTCTCTCTCTCTCTGTCCCTTTTTGTTTCTCTGTCTCTGCATGGCTTTCTCGCGCTGTTTAAATACCTCTTGGCAGTACTGCAGGATTCCCTCCTTGGTGCCGATGCAGCTCTTGGTGCCGGTGGGGTCAGTCTCCCATTTGCCACTCTGCACATTGATGTGCATGTTGAGCTTCCCGCAAAACATGGCCACCTGGGGCTCAGTTAGCAAACCCACAGAGTCATCAACAGGCACCTGGACAGACAAGGGAAAAGAGAGGACACAGATGAAGGCTGATCATAACACACTGGCTAAAGTATAGCTTAACCATACATTTTTCCCAGTGCAGCTTATATATATATATATATGGTATAGATATAGGCCCTTTCAGTTGATTCTACTTCCTTTCACATTTAATCCTGCCCAAACATCTGTCTCTCAATGCAGTATTATGATAAATGAATCATAAGGATAAAGGCCTCTTTACTCTTCCACTGCTGCAGTTATTATATAAATAAATACATGAAAATACTACTGGTTTAAGCCTCACCAAGGCAAGATACTCAGTTTCATCCCTTTGAGCCCGTAAGCCAGAGAGCTAAGCAGTACAGCCACTGTCAGCGCATGTTCCTATTGTTAACCTGGCTTATGAGGTTTTATTCATATCCTATATTAGAGAAAGTGCAGTGAACTGGTAGGAAAGATCATATAGCCTATTACAGCAAAGAGTAGAGAACGTATTAAACAACAAGCTACCAAAGTCCAAATGTGAGTGAATATAAGGTGCAAACAACCAATCTTTCAACAGAACTGGCTACGGCCTTCAACTGTGTTCAACAGGACATAGCTTGCTCCACTTACTGTTTTTCTTTCCTTTGTGTTTGGGGAAACAATTGGAGGAAGTCTGTTTCGCCTTCTGGGCCCTTTTCTGGCAGACATCAGTAAAGACTGATGCTGCGAGCTCACAATACTTTAACCACAAACCCATCTGCTGCCAATCTTTAAATGACTATTTCCGACTTGACACTATTTTGCCTGTGAAGATCTGCATAATATTAGCCTCCTGTGAGTCCGGATGGGCTATCCCATTGTTCCTTTCTGTAGAAATGACTCTCTTCTCCCCTAATCAGCCCATTTGATTAGATGGGAACTTCCTTTTTTTAATGTGAGCCCATTGCATCATATGGCACTTTCTTCTCATTATGGCCCATTGTTTGAACCGAAACAGTAAATTAGAAAAGTATACACTGCAGCAGTAAACAGTAGGCGCACAAACCAATACCCAGTCGAACACAGGGATATAGGAATGTACAGAATATAAAACAAGATAGTGTTAAGATAGAGTATATGTGATGGTAGTCCTAGCACCTGACAACTTGTGCCTCAAGTCACATCATGCTGAGTCCATGTGTAGTTATTGTCCCTATATTTCACTGGTTCATGTCCTTCAAGTCACATTCCTTTCGGAAAAACATTTAAGGAACAAAGTACAGTTATATTAAGCCATGTGGTATCAGTAAATTGCCCCTGTGCTTATTAGTGTAGGGTTACAGTGAGATAACCAGTCTGACCTGGTCTTACATCAAAGCTCCAAAACACTCCTGTGTGACTCTAGGGGAGTGTGGCAGCAGGCCATGATAGTGCACAAAGGTTATCACATCTAGGTACTGGAGCTGCAGGGCCTGTGAGACTCTTTCTATCATGACTAAGCCTGCAGCCTGAAACACATGCAGCACAGAACATGGAATACATTGCAATACAATGGGTGGGTTTAACTAGATTCAGTGGGTAGGCTGTACAACAAATATCACCAGATTTAACCCTATGAAAATGGCCATTTTAAATGCTACAGAAATATTACAGCAAAGATATAAACCGTATGTCATAAGATATAGTGATAGCTCTGTCAGTAAGTATTATAACAGGAATAGTATAGTGAACCTGGTAAGATTTCCTAGCCTGATAGTACAGAAAAGAATGATAATCAGGACAATCCTAAGTATATATGATTATATTTGTTGAGCAAAGTTCTTGAACTGTGAATAGTGTCCTGTATAATTCCTCTGTAGAGACATTTGTGACTTCAGCATGCTGGAGTTTGGTTTAGGTTGTAAAGCAGTACAGTAGTAGGAGTTATTATACTGAGCCTGCACAATAGGCACACTCTTAGTTACTTCAATCCCTAAATGCAGCACGGTAATGAGAAAACAGCCGTAAGTGATTTGCATATCACAACGTAGGCCCTACTCATCCGTTTCCCAGCTGGTCCTAAGCTGTGTACTCTCTGGTCCTGCACAGCAACAGTAACAGCAGCCAAGCTGCAGGCGCCATCTTGCTTGTGTCAAACTAAAAAAAGGGCTGCATCCTTTTTCCATTCTCCTCAGCAATATCACCACCCTGCAGCTGCAACGCTGGACCAAGTGGGCCAGGTCGACGCAGCAGCACCAAATAACACTAGTACATTAGCATTGTTAATAAAAATAATTTAAAAAACCCTGTTTAGTATGAATTTACCTATTTCACATCAAAGCTGAACGGCTCTCGTTGTATTTGTCAGAGACGGGTCTGTTGGAAACCGTTAACATTTGGAACAGGACAAACTGAAGGAACGCGCATTCGACGTTAGCCCGTAGCGGTTGCCATGCCAATCCCTGTTAATTTTCTGGGAAAAGGGTAGCTAGTTAACGTTAGCTTTCTACACCCTACTCATTGCAGTAGTTGTGAGACTTAACTTTAGCTAACTAGCAGTTACAAAAATAACAGACCGACTACTAGCAGAGTATTTACAGGGCATTATATAACCCACAGCCAGAAACATCAGCCCCGAGACAAACCAAAACATGTCCAACATGGCAGGGCCAAGCTGTCAATCACTGACATCTAACGGCAACATAGCTGACATTATTTAACGTTACTTTGTTAATTCTACGCAGTAAATATGTGTACACGATAAATCTGGGATTTCGATGGACTCACACAGCAATGTGTTCAAAACGTTCAGGGGGGAAAAAGACGTTTTACTGGATCAAACAAAGTGTGGGCCTCAGCCAAGCCCAGTAATCCTGTTATGTTTGGTAGCCGCTCGGTAACAGTAACTAACGTTATAACTGTTATAACATAGCCTTTATGTCATCAGTGGGACGTTATAACGGTTACACGTATATTTTAACCGCTGTTATTACACGCCATTGCTCAGACTCGACACGGTGGTTGGCGGCTGCGGTCAGTTTGGTGTCCGCTGTAAGCAACCACAGGCCCGCAGACGAGCGGAGCTAGGGGGACGGCTCACCGACACCCTCCCACCGCCTCATATTGTCTCCGTTGTACTCACCTCGGTTGAAAGCGTCAAGGTCGCCACCAGTAACAGCAGAACCGCCGTGAGCTCTCCCATGCCGTCCTCCCGGTATCCAGCACCCCCGTTATGTTCACGATTTGTCCGTTAGAAGAAATGTTAAAGCGGGGCCGGTGATGTTGTGTCGACACAGCGGCGGCTGAAGTGTTCCGATCCCGGTGATCCCTCCCTATTTAGCTCCCGACTGTGACGGTGTGCGGCTGGAGGGATGCGTTTGGTGTGGGTGGATGGAGGCGGGGGAGTGTAGCTGTATGTGTGGATGTGTGGATGTGTGTGCATGGCAAATAAAACCTGTATTTGACCTGGACGCTCTCCACCCATTCTCTTGATAAGATGTGTACACAGAACAGCCCAATAATAAAACATACCTGGAGTGCATACAGAATAAAACCACACTAGTGTATATAACCTGTGGTGTTGCGGTTATGGTATATCCTTTTTGGACCCCGTAGTGCTCAGATTGTGAACTATTCAGCATTGTCTGCGGTTGGAGGAGGAGTTCTTGTGACATCCCAGTTACTAATTCCCCATCACTAAATATATTTATGATGACTGTATTCCGGAAACGAAGGCCAACTGAGAGCTCATTCTGTTGGACTTTCATTTCTCTACCAGGGACTGACGGAAGGCGGACGTGAACGGATATCTGACATGTTAACATGCTGGGACTTTACCCACCTATGGACTCATTTGATTGATCTTTAAACTTAATTAAAGCCACACAGTCCGGAGCAGGTTAGAATAAAAAAACTTCTGCAAATAGTTAGACTAGTTTATACCTCGAGACACCTCAGATCGATTAGTTTTCCTCATCCAGGGAGCGCAACATGAGGACATTCCTGTGGGTGCTTATGGTCTTAATTGTCTCAGGTAAGCCTTATCAATCATTCAAACCACCCACCAGTGGAGTACAGCTAGTCTGGCGTTTGTAAAGTATAGAATATAGTATTGTTAGTGCTTATACACTGCAGGATAATGACACAAACGGTGCGTATACTCATAATTAAATGAGTCTGCAGGGGACATTTGGGCATATTAATGCAGACCTGCGTTACTGGTAAAGTTACTTTATATGAGTGATTGACAGTTTGTATTTTCCGTTTCGTCTACATTTATGTCTGTTTTTATGTTAAGTGGAAACGTTCATTTCTGATTGGAAATTAAAAGAGGGCTACATGGAGAAATATGGGATTTAATTGCAGTCACATGTATAAATATTTGCTTCAAAAAGCCCCCAAGTTAAGATATTTTAACTCAAAAATATTATTGTGGCACATTAGTAAAGCATTGAATAGAAATATCTAAAGGTGGCAAAATATAGTTTTATTTAGAAATATTTTTCCACATATGTCTTTTGTCATTGAACGCAATCAGTTTAAGTGGCCATAACAGATCATTAAGTTATATGTGTTAATTTTTGTTTTTTGAACACATTATTTTTAAACTTGATCTAGACTAATGTGTTCAATTTGCCTGCAAGGTTGAAGGGCCAGGGGATTTCTTTGCCCACAGGCTGTCTTTTACTATCATTTGGGCTCAGTCTTCTTTATTTAAAAAATACAGACATTGTGGGTTGATATGTGACCACAGGTTCTGATAATGCTGATTCTCAGGAACCTAAAACTGTTCAATTAGCAGCTTTTAACAGCATTCTTTTGCATATAATCTTACAAAGCAACCAGACCTGCTGTTGTTACACACGTTTGCTGCCTTGTCTGTGGTCACTTGGTTCGCTTTTTGTGCGTCTATATGACAATGTGTCCCTGTCCTGTCTTCTAAGCAGCTGCCCCCCCCCTCCCCTAGATCCGCCTCTGGACCTTTAGGAGTTGCCTCCATAAGACCATCCCCAATCCACTTTCACCACAACCATGTGTGATCTGATCTGTTGAACATTGAGGGAGTGGACAACTTATCTGTTTAAATCTCACCAATCGATACTAAACTAAAAACTACTTCCGACTTATTAAATATTAATCTAAAACAAACCTTTAAGCGTCACTTATTAGCCTAATGGAAGTTATTAACTTTACTTGAGCCATCAATAACTTTTTGCTGTATTAAAGTTTGGATATGTTAGTTGCCACTGATTCAACTCATGCTATGTCAACATAACTTTTCCTTTTGTCTGAAACCAGACTAATGTTGGATTGCAGCCAGGCTTGAGCAATATTCAGGTCAAAGGTTTTATATTGTTTACATGGTTTCTGTAAACAAAAACTAGTGAGAGTCTGCTCTTTCAAGGAGTGCCTGTGGAGTTGTGTTTGAACAACATAGCACAATGAAAAGGATCACCAAATTGACTGGGAATTATTTATTAGTTTATAATGTGAAGAGGGACAAATTCACATCCGATGTCACATAAGGGTGTAAGATGAGGAAATGTAATTGCATAAATACAAATCAACAAACAACACTTAACATGCTCAAAAAGTAAAAGACTTTTGTGAGGTGAAAGCAGATATTTGTGTGGGTGGGTGGTGACAACCGGCCTATATGACTGGATCAGTTGGAAGATATTGTTATTGTTATACAGTGAGAGCTAAGTACACTGTAAAACATCTTTATTTTCAGAGCACTAAACTTATATTCATGCATTCTTCTGACCTGACCTGAATATATACGGCTGAGAGTTCACTCAACTCATCAAATTAAGTTCAGAAACAGGCTCAGCCAACGGTGGAAGAAGTACTCAGAGCCTTTACTTAAAGTACCATCACCACAATTTAAAAATACCCTGTTGCAAGTAAAAGTCCTGCATTAAAAATCTTGAAATTAGTAATTGAATATATATTTTCATTAGTCACCTGAAAATTAGAGGGGTTTTTTTTATCAACAGCAGAGCGGGTCCTCTTATGTAGAATCCACCATGTTGAACCACCTTGTTTTCTACAGGAGCCCAGAATAGACAAATCAAAAAACTGGTTTCTGGATAAGATCTTTCGAATTTTTTGCAACCACCGTAGCTTCGCCTTCGCAGGGGTTTCAGTCAGTTGCAATCTGCAGTCTCACCACTAGACGCTACTAAATCCTACACACAGGTCCTTCCGACTTCTTGTAATTTGTATGATTTAGTGCTCAGGAAGAAGTTATCAGTCTCACAGCCCGAGTGAAGAAGCTGTCTTAGTCTTGTGATACGGCAGCCAGGGTGCGAGCGACAGGTGAGCCAGGGGGAGCTCTAGTTGTGCCATACATTTCTATTAATCTGAATCCTCATCATCTTGGATCATGCATAAAATTAGGCTGTTAAAGATGTATGATTTAATTCACTCTAATAAAGATATCAGTTATATCAAAAACTTCACTCACAGAAAAAACTAACTTTCTTTGCCCACAGTGCCACAGTTATTTAGTATCATTTGGGCTCAGTTTTCTTTTCTCTTCTTACTTACATTTCTGTGGTTGATAAGTGGCCACAGGTTCTGTAATGCTGATTCCCAGGAACCGACCGATCTCAACATTTGATTTTATGCCTGATTGATTTATGGCTGCAGTGCACATGTCCCACTTTTTTGTTTCAATGGCCAATTTAACCTGGCCATGGGACAACGGTTAGAAATTTGCCTTTTGGCTAACACTGACACATTTGTTATGGACATGTTGCTCATTGTGCATAAACTAAAGTTCAGTTCAGTTAACTCACATTTTTAAGGCAGCAGGGGAAAGTTTTCCATGTATATGTTGAGTAATGTCTCCTAAAAACAAACCAGTTGAAGAGAGTCTGAGTCACTGGACTAATCTCAATTACTTTTTCTATTGTAGGTGAAGAAGTGAATATCACTGGTGTCTTCAAAGACAGTGTCCTCCTGCCATGCAACTGCTCAGAGAGAACTTCGGAGTTAAAGTGGCAGAAGGACTATCCAGACGCGAAGCTTGTGCTTAAATCTTCAACCTTCTCTGACGAATACAAGGACAAGGCCCAAATATTACTGTCTGAGAACAGCAATAATTGCTCTCTTCTCCTCACCAACATCACCACGGCTGACATGGGGAAATACAGATGTGCCTTTTTCACAGGCAAAGGGCAATACAATAAAATATTACTAAATCTAGGCGTTGTAGGTGAGTCATTCATTCATTATGCATACCTACTGTATTTGATCACTTATTCATTCACCCATGAATTTATGGTAAAAATAGCGAATAGTTGCAAAAGAATGTTTATCTCTCACCAGCGAGCTACATCGTCTGTCAAACGGAAGATTTCCAGTGTTATGTATCGGGACACTACCCAAAGGCTGAGATTCAATGGAAACTGGACGGACAGCTTCTCACAAATTCATCCACAATCCAGATAAGCACCACATACACCTGGGAGCCTTCTACTGGCCTCTACCATTTCACCAGCAAACTCAATACTACACTCAACGGGACCTTAAAACCTACATGTGTGGTCAAGGCCGAAGACATACCGACTCACTTGAGTTATGACTGCGCAAAGACTGGTAACTATTTGTTTTTATTTATTTCAGAGAGGATGGGATTTACATATTAGCAACAGTCCTTAAACAATATTGTGAAATAGGATGTCATCATCAGCATCATATGTTTTGCATTTGTCTTCATTGTCCACAGGACCCCGAATAGGTGATCCTCCCCCGAAACTGAGAAATCGGTACTTCAAAATCATTCCTATCATGTTGGTGCTTGGATTTTCCCTCGTCATGTGGCACCGTTGGAAATTCTCACAGTAAGTTGTAAAGCTGTTTGTTGTAATGCCAGAGGTCGTTATCAAAACTAGTTTGACACACTGTACTTGAGCTGGTTAAGTCAGAGTTGCACAACACTTGTTGAATCAAGCCACAACCAGTTTGCTTTTTTTGTTGTTCCTGCATCTCTCAGTGGAATTTGTCTTTCCTTTCTCTTATGTCTCTGATGCAGGATTTCACCAACAATAAGGGAAGTGGGGACTGACACCTTTTAGTGCTACACATACAAGACGAACTCAACTGTGAACATTTGAAAGCACTTTCCACCAAATGGTGGTTATAACCGTGGCATCATGCCAACCGAGACTGAAAACAGGCAGGTTACATCTTGTATTCATCCCACTGAGGAAATGGCTTGTTCTGGAAACTGACGTCCATTTTATGAGCTTTTATTAGTGTTTGCATTGTAGGTATTTATGTTCTTTCTTTCAAATTCAAGCAAAAAGAGATTGCCCAATATGATAGTAAGATTAAGTGATGTAATCAGTAACAAACACAGCACTTAAACATTTATGTTTATTAATCAAATTCACTGTATATATTTTTTGTTTATATATATATATATTTTTATATACTACAACATGAATTTCATCATACAACCATGTGCTGTAAAATAAAAATTAAATTACCCCGTATCCTTCCTCTTTGCATTGTGGATTCTGTAACTGTTGAACGGGATGTGATCACTCTAATCTAATATAATCTAATCCAATAAAAATAAGATCTACTTTTTAATTTCTTCAAGTTACTGAATAAAACTGAGCCATTTAATGATTTCATGTACCTTGGTATATATATATATATATATATATATATAACTGTGACTGTTAAATGTGAAATATATTACAGCGATATTTACTCTTTTTATGATTTTATGAACACTTTGAAATAGTTGTGAAAAATATGAATTCTGGGTTGATACGAAACAATTTTATAACCTGTTATTACTGACCATTTTATCATTAAGGTGATATTTATATAGCACAATATTGTTCATTTTGATGTAACTGAGATATTAAAGGTCCAGTGTGTGACATTTAGTAGGATCTATGGGTAAAAATTGAATGTAATATTCGTAGGTATATTTTCATTAGTGTATAATTGCCTGAATATAAGAATCGAGTAATCAGTAACTGCCTTTGTGGTAAACTGGTTACATTGAATGTTTGTTTCACGTAAATAAACAAGGTAAGGTCATTGTATGTAATATATAGCACATCGAGTTTCAGAGGGAACCCTGTGATTCAAGAGATATGATACCAAAAAGTAATGCCTGTATATCATCCTGATCAACTGATCAGCAAAACATAAAGTTTTTGGATGTTGTTGAACCAGGGGAACTGGGAAACACACACTGCTGGTCCAGAAGGCCAGCCCACCACTGGTCCCATATTCTGTGTTTGATCAGCAGCCATGCTTCTGTAGCTGCCGGTATAACACACCAAATCTGAGGCAAGCTGGAAAAGAGGAAATTGCAATCGTATGTAACAGTGTGAATAAGTGGACTGTTTCAAGGTCAAAAAAGGGTTCAAATGAAACAATGCAGTGGTAATGGAAATTAAATGGATCAGCCTTTAACTCGCCCAATTAAAGCCCACGGGTCATTTTGTACCATTGTCTTTGTTGTTATTTTGTATATTGTCATCATTGTTACTACGTGTTGTGTGTTCTTTCGGTGAATTGTTTGATGTGTGCTGAATAAATGTTGTCAAAGCTTATTGTATTGTTATTCTTGGCCACGGTGTACCATCATTAATCAGATCATTTCTTCCAACTGGTTGAGACTTGTTAATGGAGCGTTAACAGCGTACAAATTCAGACATATTTGTCTAACTGAAGGAAAGGTGGAACCTTTTAGCATTATGTGTGTGAGATGACAGAAGCGATTAATAACAATAAACGGCATAGACATTTGTTTATTATGGCTGTCTACATTATTAACCTGAAATCAGTTTAGACATTTCACTGTACATTTCCACGACTGCAATACAATTCAGCAGAAATAAGCACGGCAGGCAGTCTCATTTCCCTTTGAAATATTTCATTTCCCTTTTTTCCTTTATCAAACCAATAATAAAGACGTACTTTAGCAGATCATCCATGTTCATATAAAACTATTAAACAGTAATAGCAGTAAAAAATATATATAATAATATATTGTACATTTTTGTTTGGTTTACGTCGGCTAACCTCAGTCATGTGCACTGGCGGAAGAGAGTCTAGTTTAGTGTAAAACTGAGATTAGTAAAACACAAACACATGACGTCCACTCAGCAGATGGCAGCATCAGCTCCGTGGACGTCACTGCGTGTGACGTCGGTGCACACCAGGAAGTGACACAGGCGGCTAACTCAGCTAGCTCAGGGCTAGCCAGTTAAAATGAACCTACAGCGGGAAAAGTGTTTTGTGACTTTTCCCAGCCTGGAACAAGACTGACATTTTGTCCACGGTAAGACAGTTCGGACTGGGAGAACTACCGGCGTTAATGTCAGTGGTTGAATATGAAGAAAGTGTGTTAGCTTGATGCTAATGTGTAGTGAAAGAGAGGAGGCTCAAAGCTCGTTAATGTAGCTAACGTAGAGAAGAACAGCTGGATAATAGCTTACATTGTATTAGATAACTAACGTAGTTTGTGGTGAGTGATTTTTACTATCACACCATAGTTAAACGCACATACAAGTTAAAGGAACAATTCACTGTAAAACAGGTGTGATGGTAACAGAGTCAGTGAGATGAGACAGGGGCTGAGAGGGGCTTTATACATATACATACATATATATATATATATATATATATATATATATATGTATGGGGAGATAAACCCCTACATCTCTAGATGGGATTATCACCGTCAGATATACTATCATAGGTGTATATGTTGGTCAATATAAAAAAGAAAGAAAATGTTTACTGAAAAGTACTTGAGGTAATTTAGAAACTGCTCTGGATCTTTGTTTACATTAATATCTGAGTATCATATCTCAGTACTTAGTCACTGCTGGGGGATATTTTTATATCCAAAATATCAAATATTGTCTTGTATGCTGCGGCAAAATACATCTATCATCAGAATGTTGGTGTAATTAGTGCTGAAATGATAAATCGATTGATTGATTAGTTGGACAGAAAGTTCATCACTATTCCTTAACTGTTATGAAACGGATGTCACCCTCGGCTTTGAGAAAACTTGATGAGCTGAGGTTAACTTTTATTCTCAGAAAAGACGTAATCTTAGTCAAGGAAGAAAGAAAGAATTTGGAAACAAGGATTGTTTGGGCATCATTTAGTTGTTTCTGCACTACTTATAATTATATATATTATTATTATTATTATTATTATTATTTCATTAAAATATTTCTGTCATCAATTCATTTTCTTTCTATTAACAAATCAATGAACTAACTAATTGTTTCAGCACTGATGAGGTGCACAGCCACAGAAGGAATCTACAATGGGCCAACGAAGGAGAGCGTCAGCTGTGAATAACTCTTCCTCTCAGAGAGTCTCTGGAGCTCCTGCAGAGGTTGCCAGGGTCCCCAGCAGGAAGCACAACATCTGCATGGTGTCTGACTTCTTCTATCCGAACATGGGAGGAGTGGAAAGTCACATTTACCAGCTATCCCAGTGTTTGATTGAAAAGGGACACAAGGTGGTAATTGCCACCCATGCCTATGGCAGGAGGAAGGGTGTCAGGTACCTGACCAATGGACTGAAGGTCTACTACCTCCCACTGCAGGTGATGTACAACCAGTCCACAGCCACCACTTGCTTCCACAGTCTCCCACTGCTACGCTGTGTGTTTGTAAGGGAACGCATCACTGTGGTGCACGCACACAGCTCATTCTCTGCCATGGCCCATGATGCACTGTTCCACGCTAAGACAATGGGCCTTAACACGGTATTTACTTATTATGATCCAGATCTCAAAACCCTACAGTGTGTTTATATCACTTTACATAATCTGCTTACACAAACCTAAACAGTGTTATCATTTACAGGTGTTCACTGACCACTCGCTCTTCGGCTTTGCTGATGTGAGCTCTGTGCTGACCAACAAGCTTCTGACTGTGTCACTGTGTGATACCAACCACATTGTGTGTGTGTCATACACCAGTAAGGAGAACACGGTGCTCCGTGCGACACTCAACCCAGAGATAGTGTCTGTTATTCCAAACGCTGTTGACCCTACGGACTTCACCCCCGACCCCTCCCAGCGCCAAGACGGCAGGATCACTATTGTTGTGATCAGCCGCCTTGTCTACCGCAAAGGTACGGAGAAGTTGTTGTGTTAGACATCGCATTTGTTCATATTTCTGCGGGTCAATGTAACGTTAGGCTGTAATTGTAGCAGAATGAGACTCTGCCCTTTTGTAGAGGACCAAAGTTCAAGCCTTCATGTTTGCACAAGTGATTCACACCTAAATATCTCTTCCAGTTCTAGCGATTGAGTTAAAGTGGGTCAACATTATGATGAAATTTGATATATAGATATGTCAGCTTGTGTGTGTGTGTGTGTGTGTCAGCTGAAATAAATATCATATTTTTCAACACTCAAATATCAGTGTTGGTATCAGCCAACAAACAATATTCAGTATTGTTCATTATTTGAGTACTGCATCAGTGTTGTTGTCAAAGCAGGTGCTCACAATCTCTCCCTCTGTTAAGGAATTGATCTTCTCGGTGGGATAATCCCAGAGCTTTGCCTCAAACATCCAGATCTGCATTTCCTAATTGGTGGAGAGGGACCGAAGAGAATTGTGCTGGAGGAAGTGAGAGAGAAATACCAACTGCATGACAGGTAACAACCGGATGCTCGTGTATCCTTAGAATATTTGTCAGGACACAGGGTCACTGTTAAAACTTTCATTATTGTTGCTGCAGTCACATTTGAGGAACTGAAATTTGACAGCGCAGTTTAGCATTTATTGTATATTGTCTGGAAATGATTGTGGTTAAGCAGCATGCAGTGTGTATGCAAATTCAGCGTGATGCTGCATTACCTGTGTTTTGTCCAGGAAGTCATGGAGAGTCAAACACAGGGGGTTGTGTGTGTGTGTGTGTGTGTGTGTGTGTGTGTGTGTGTGTGTGTGTGTGTGTGTGTGTGTGTGTGTGTGTGTGTGTGTGTGTGTGTGTGTGTGTGTGTGTGTGTGTGTGTGTGTGTGTGTGTGTGTGTGTGTGTGTGTGAGAGTGTGTGTGTGTGTGAAAGTTTTACATGTGCCTTACATCTTTGATTGGGTCACTGCAGGGTGCGTCTACTGGGGGCTTTGGAGCATAAAGATGTTCGTGGAGTTCTGGTGCAGGGTCACATCTTCCTCAACACATCTCTGACGGAAGCGTTTTGTATGGCCATTTTGGAAGGAGCCTGCTGTGGTCTGCAGGTTTGTTGCCTTTCATACAACAGTTTAAGGCTGGGAGAGATTATGTGCCACATAGGCCACATAGAGAGAGAGGTGTAAATTGATCGTTGATAGTCCCTTGTGTATTGTCAGATTGAAGTGGGCCAAACAAAGCGCAGTTTCATATATCTAAGAAACAAAAGTTAAAGTTGCATTTTCTGTAGAGAGGACACCCTGCCTCTCTTCCTCTCTGCTCCTGGCTGTCCCTTTCTCTGTCTCTTTGCCTCCCTTCGTTCCAGTCTCACTTTCTCAAAATTTGCATACAGTCTTGTTTTGTCCAAAAGCATTCACTTGATTCATGTGGCAACACAAAGTAAACCACTGATTTCTACAATTTATCAACTATATAAAATATATTTATGTGATTGAAATTACCTTTATTATTTATGGCTATAAAACAGTCACAAAACAATAATTTTCTAATCTCAGTTTTATAAAAAGCTCTGTTGAATTGGCTTGACACAGCTGAAGCTTGTCACAGATTTCCTGTGGGTGTGTGTTCGTAGGTGGCTGCTTAACTCCATCTCATAGCACTGCTTAAAAAAAAACTTAGCATATAAGGGGATAAAAGATGGGAAAGGCAATTTCATTTGAAACTGTTAACAATGATAGTTACAAGTCGCAGCAGCTGACCCTCGAGACAGTCACATGTGACAGAGGAAGTTGGGTTTGGAGTATCTCAGGAGGAAGAGAAAACTGCGTCATCAGGATGTCATAACAGACTAATGCAATAATGTCCTTACTGCTCAATGCGTTGCCCAAGCCACTAAACTAAACAGCATACCTATTTAAATGTTGAAGTTACTTACACATTGGGCAGACAAAATAAATGACAGGAAATAGTTAGTTGTCTAGATTTGAAAAACACAAGGCAGCCTCCTTGTGGACAACATGGGGGCCATTTTCTGGATTTGATTTCCCAACTCTTTACAAGAGAGGTGGTAGGTGCAAAGTTAACAACCCCTTTGAGACATGCACTTCTTTATGATAATGTGATGGCAATTTAGCATGTCTCATGGCAGAAATAAGCAACCTGGCCACTTTTACGTTAAAGTCAGGACAGCAATCCTACTGGATAACTGAATTAAACGCTGTCAGATTAATATTAAGGCTGCAGCATCACAAGAAGATCAAACATGCAGGGAGACAGAAATGTGCATCTTGTACTGTTATCTATTACTGTAATACATTTTCATTGGTGTGTGACCAGTAGGAAAAAAAGGTATTAAAAAAACGTACAGTACAACATACAACTACAGTAATAATCTGAACAACATGCCCTCTCTATATTTTTAATTTTAATATATATCCAGCAAAACAATTTTAAAGAACCAGTGTCATTGTGTAGGATTTATTGCCATCTAGTGGTGTAGATACAATCTGCAACTAACTCTCCCCTTCCAAGCATAAAGGAGAGCCTATGATAGCCGCAAAACATGCGAGAAAAAGCAAACGCCCTAATCTAGAGCCAGTGTTTGATTTTTCCTTCTGCGCTACTGTAGAAACATGGGGGTTCAACATGCCTGCCCCCACAGAAGTGTTTGTAGATGTAAATGGCTCATTCCTTCACATAAGCACACAGCTCGTTCCCGAAATGTCACATCTGAATGAAGCCATAAGGCACATTAATGTAAGAGTCATAATGTCTCAGTGATAAAAAGCCATCACAGACTGATTAAGTCAGCAATGTTTGACTCACCATATCTGAACAGCCTGAAAAATGAGACATTCTCTTTAACAATTTGAAGCAATGTATTGAGACACCAATGAAAACATGAGATTCTTGTTTTTGTTGACCTGCAGCATACTCTTGGTGTACACCCTGACATCACTGCAACAGAGCAAACTTATATCTGACCCCACCCAACAGTGATGCAGGGTGTGGTCAGAGGTCAAACAGAAACATTTACCCACAAGAGTTCAGGAAAGTTATGCTTTTCAGTTGTTAATTTACTCTTGTAAAGCATGGCTATTTGCCTTTTATATGATAGGAAAAGCACTTTCTAATCTTAAAAGTGATAGAACAGATGCTGTTGTACTCTCACATTGTGGATAATGTATACTGTGTGTGTTTGTTGTGTTCAGTGTTTGCATCCAGCTTTTGTTTTATTTCTCAGGTGGTTAGCACTCGCGTGGGGGGCATTCCTGAAGTGTTACCTGAGGACCTGATTACCCTGTGTGAGCCCACTGTGCGGTCGCTGTGTGCCGGTCTGGAGACAGTCATTGCCCGGCAGCGATCAGGGTCTGTCCCCTCCCCCGCCTCTATCCATGCTCGTGTGCAAAACCTCTACACCTGGAGAAACGTTGCAGAGAGGACTGAAAAGGTAAGTCCACGAGCACCAAAACCAACTGTTCTGTTCAATTGTATTCTGCTGAATGTATTTAAGATGAACTATATTTTTTCACAGAACAAAGCTACAGATTTAGTTTGTTTTTGGATGTAAACTTGAATGCTGTTAAAATGTGGATAGTTTAGTTATTGAGAGGGTGTTCTGTGCTTTGCAGTGTGTTTACATGTGAAACCGGTTTACAGCCGTCTTCAATCTTTCTTTGAATGTCATGTAAGTGAAAGAACAGATTTCTGTAGTCTGGGTGAGAGATTAGAGAAACCTGATCTCTAGAGTGTTCATGGAGACCATTTCTTGGCCATGTTTACTACAGCCTGACTGATATGGGATAATAGTACATGACAGTACATGACATAACAGTCTATCAGCATAATGTATAATGTTAACAGTCTGGTTTAAGTGGAGGGAGTCCAAGGATAACTAGTTAGCTTAGAGAGCAGACAGACAACAACTGAATGGTGATACTCACACTGATACATGAACAAAAGAGAGGGAGGCAGCACCACCTTGTGGCAATAGTCAACATTACAGTAGAACCACATTATCTAACTGACTGTCACTCTTACTCTTGATTACTTATCATCAGACATTAACATCGAGACCAATATATATCCATGATAAACTAATATTTTATCATTCTAGTTCTAATGTTTACATGTTACCAGATTCTCTTTTCTAAAGATGTGTTTATGAAGTTTAATTTTGTAAAATGTACCTTTGCACTGTTCCCACTACAGAACATCAGGCCCCCAACACACACACACACACACACACACACACACACACACACACACACACACACACACACACACACACACACACAAATACACATCAGGCAGCAGCATCTTGTATCACTAATGCAGTTATGATAAGAAAGCCATGCTTTCAAAATAAAATATGAGGAAGGGGAGCAATCTGATTATTGACATGATGAATGTATACGTAGATACAGTAACCAGGTAACTACAGTGCATGTAATCATGTTCAGTGATTTCTTCTGTGCAGGTAAATCCACTGATTGTTCGCACAGCTGAGGCTGCTGTGATTGAGCTTCACACAGAATAATAGACGGTGAATTGCTTGCCGACTCTGATCATTGTGTTCTCCCTCTCAGGTGTACGACCGAGTGTCTGGAGAGGAGGTGCTTCCCCTGGACAGACGGTTGCGGAGGCTAAGGGCTCACTGCGGCCCCGTGGCTGGCTCCATCTTTGCATTCGTGGCTGTTTTAAACTTCCTCTTCCTGCTGCTTCTGCAGTGGTTGGCGCCAGACCGGAACATGGACATGGCTGTGGACGCCACCGGCCTTCAGAGATTGTGGAGGCAGGAACCAAACAGTAAAGTCAGCCCCATGAAGCGAGCAGCAGAACGAGAAATTTCATCATAGTGACCACTCCACCACTCTGCTGCACTTCTAGCTGCTTACATGGTTTTAAATGTCCTGAGTGATATTTGAGATGTGGCTACTGAATGCTGAAAGTGCTTATGGTAACCCCAAACATTGTTTACATTTACTTAACAAAAGGGACCTTGTATGAATACATTTTATCAGGAGAGTTTTTTATATTTAATGATTAAAATTTATCAGAAGCACTTGTTGGAGCTTTAAAAGACACTTTTTGATTTGTTATAAACTGTATAGATTGCACTGAACAGAGGAAGTAAAAGGGCTGGTTTAAATGGCAGTAACATATTTTCAGTTAGATGCATACCTCATATAGAACAATGATTTTGCCGGTAAAGTTTGTGCAGAGCTGTATATTGGTGCAAATGACCTGATTTTGTTATCACAAATGCCACTCCTTTGTTTACTAGATTTAGATGTTGCATATTTATATGAAACTTGTGTTTTCAGATGATCACATGATTCCAAGGCAAGCCACTCTGAAAAATAAAGCATACTTTCTAATGTTTCACCTGTTTTCACGTCATTTAATTTATGTCCAGCGTTGTAGCAGTTTTATCTTCTAGAGGCCGTTATATGATGCAGCACACCTAGAAAGGCATTAGACGACTACTTTCTTAGAATTGGTTTTGCAAAAGAGACGGCTCTGTGGAATGAAGAGCGCTAGACAAAACACAGAGTATCTGTGAAACAGGAGGTGATAGAGATTGGATGGCATGGCTTTTCAAGGTTAACAATGGGGATTTGCATAGCGTCGTGATTGGAGGTTGAACATTGTATCATGCCTGCAAAAAACCTTGTTATTTGAGTTCAAGTAGAGAGACTTTTGTTATGTATTCAGGAGATGTACATGTAGAGCTAGTTCTAGGGTCATATAAGGAGCTGTGTTTTTGTTTACTGTGGGTTATTCAGGATACATTTTGAAGAAAGGTGTGTTTTAGTGCATTTCATTGTAAATAATCAGATCATGTAGTGACATTTAATTTAATTCTCATTCACATAGCAACATTTACTGTCCCTTTAGCTGAAAATATGTTGTGTCATAACAGAAGACTTTCACACATAACAGACTTGGCAGGATGAAATACAGTACACTGCTCTTGTATCACCCAAATATCTACAGTGTGAAACTTATCCAAAGCCTGTTTGCATGGACAAGTGCTTTATTCAAGGTGTATCATCAGCACAGACCCATCCTAACAAGCATTGTTATGCACATACTGTAGACTGCATCCATGGACTGGGACAAGGGTGGGCTGGAGGTGGCAATGTGGGGGAGGTGGCCAAGGACCCAGATAAGAGGGGGAGGAAGGCCGACTTCAGGTTTGTGTATCCGACTGGGTGAGCTTGAGTCCTGGATAGTCGTGGAGGAGTCTGCTGTTGTTTCATTTTTGTCATGGCTGCTGTTCAAACCGAGGTTTCACTGTGCTTGCAACCATGGCACAGGCCCCTGTACATCTATGGGGGGTTGGCATGCAACTCACTGATGGCTGGTAAGTTTTTTTCTTTGTCTTTTTGGCCCATTTAGCATATTTTTGTTGTGTTATGAGGGAAATCAAGAGTCCAAGAGTACATTTGTTATTTCTTGAGCAAATGGACAAGCTTTCTAGTAAATATGGTTTAGCTCAGCATGTTTTTGCATTAAGCATCAAAACCCCACATCCTGATGGTTTTGGGGGATTTGAAAGTTACATTTTTGTAATCGGGATTACAGGATTGGTTGAGACCTGAAAACTTTGCACAAGATCAACAAGACTCTGGGTGTGTGTAGCTCAGTAAATTTGGTGTTTAGGGTTGGGAAACCAGATAAACATGCATTCAAATGAGGTCATCTTAACATTTCAATGAACAAAGAGCCAGATCAGTTGGCCATGAGCGTGTCACTGTTTTCTGACAGTGGAGACCTTCCTGATCTTATTTTCTCCGTCTCAGACTTCCTGTCGGACAGAACTCCTCTCCATGAAGCTGCCTACCAGGGCAGACTGCTACATCTGAGAAGTCTCCTCGCTCAGGTAGACGAACACGGGCCTTTTTTAAATAAAATGCACACAGAATACAGCATGTACATGGTCGTCTCTGACAGTATTATTCTCTCTGATCCGATCTTCCCTGCAGGGCTTCCAGGTAGACACACCCACCATGGACAGAGTCTCTCCTCTCCATGAAGCTTGCCTTGGTGGCCACTATGCTTGTGCCAAGTTCCTGCTGGACAACGGTGCAAATGTAAGAAAATTGTGTAAATAGTTTAAAAGAAGGGCTTGTTTTTAGCGTGTTTGTGTTACCAGTAGTTATGTAGATATGTGTATCCAATATACTCCATCTGTTTTGACTGGATTTGTGAAGAAAACTTCTTCCAGTCTAGAGTATTACTGCACAGTTGTGTAAAGCCCTTTGTTGCTCCAGAGGGAGCTGCAGAAATATTGATAAATTACCTCAAGTGATGTCACTTGAGTCAGCGTCGGTTGGAGGTGAAGACTACAAGTTTGAGCTCACCAGACCCCTACAGCCCACTCCTCACCTCTGGTTGCTGCTAGCGGCTTGAGCCCACATTAGCAGCAACTAGCATAACACACCCGAATCACAGACCAGATCAATGAGGTGCATTGTGGGTAATGATTGTGACAAAGAAGAAGAAAGTGTGGAATAGCAATTTATTTTGATACATTTTCCCAACTGTCCATCATGAGTCTGACAATGTTAAATAGATGGAGCACTCTTTAAACAAACTCTGGTAGAAAGGGGTCAGGGGTCATCAATGTCTATATAGTGTATCGGTCTACATGCCATATTTTTTAATATGTCTAATGTTGGTCCCTAATAGGTGGAGGCAGTATCAACAGATGGCGCCACACCTCTCTTCAACTCCTGCAGCAGCGGGAGTGCTGCATGTGCCAGGCTCATCTTGCAGCACAGTGCCTCCATCCACACCCCCTACCAGCTAGCATCACCCATCCATGAAGCTGCTAAGAAAGGTGTGTCTGTACAGACATGTATGAGTGTAAAGGCGTGTCCACACACGCACAGATTCTCATGCTGTGCTGGTTTCCCCGTTCAGGTCACAGAGAGTGTCTGGAGCTGCTGCTGTCGTACGGAGCTCATATCGACATGGAGCTGCCAGTGGTTGGGACGCCGCTGTATTCTGCCTGCATGGCCCAGGCTGCAGCCTGTGTAGAGCTGCTGCTACACTCAGGTATTGCTATCTGCAAACTCTGCAGTGTCACTAAAGGTTACACATTCAGTGTTAACCTATGAAAGAATGGGACATAACACAAATATAAACCCAGACAATCATCTGCCTCCATTTTATAACTGCTATGACAATTAAATATTAATGAACATATGGGCTTAGAGATCACTAGGATGTCTAAAGAAAGCAAGTTTCCTTGACAATCGCATGTGGATACTGAACATAAATGAATATTTTAATAATTTTTGATTGAAGCAAAAACACCAAATATTTCCTGGTTCCAGCTTCTTAAATCTGATGATTCTTCAGCAGCAGCAGTAATATAATTGAAAATAATTGTTGGTTTTGGACTGTTGGTCACACAAGAAGAGAAGAAGAGAAATTACAAGTTTCACACATTTCTGACATTTTATAGAAAAAACAATGAAACGACTGAAAAAATAATTGAGATATTTTTTTGCTTCTTCTTTCAATCACTCTCATTTTCCATGAAAAACAGTATTTCACAGTTCAAAGCAGCACATCATTTTTCTGGCATGTCTACATTTGTCGGTCTAATTTGCAGAACTGTCAAATCATTTTATTTAAAATTATTCATAGCTCTGCTCAAAGGGGTTGAACACACAGTGAGGACACCTGGAATGGGTCGGGTGTTTATGTTCTGAATCACATAAATTGTCTGTTCTGACGTGTTAACTAGGGTCATTGATGTTCAACCAGTTCTGTTTGTGTGCACATGTAGGAGCAGATGTACGAATAGGGTGTGGGAAGGACAGTCCGTTACATGCTGCAGTTCGAGTTGGAGGAGCCAACGTAGTGGATCTTCTGCTGGACTTTGGGGCCGATGGATTTTGTAAAAACGCAGAGGGAAAGACTCCACTGGATCTGTCGTCACCAAACAGCGCAGTGAAAATTGCACTGCAGAGAAGAGGTATGTTGTGGACACAAACACACAAAAGCCACTTTATTTATTCTCTGGAAAGTAAAACAACTCCATGCTCTGTCTCTGCCCCTGTCTGCCCAGGTCCCTGCCCTCTGTCTCAGCTCTGTCGGTTCTGTATTCGCCGAAGTCTGGGAAGGAGTCGTCTCCACAGAGCCTCCAGCCTCTTCCTTCCTCACAGTATCAAAGACTTCCTCCTCTACCAATGAGATGTCTCTGCCTGTGGCTCTCCGTGTGCCACGTATGCTGAGTTGTCCTTCACATTTGTGCCTTGTCACTGACTAACAAGTGAAAAAAAGACATCCACATTTGGACAATAGGATTATGTTTCCTCAGTCATCTGTATTTTCTAATACAGTTGCTTGTAATATTATAATAATGTTATATTAAGCATGGGAAGTTTCATTCATATTGCAGTGACTATAATGGATCAGGTTTTGTATTTTTATACCACTTTCCATTTTGTGTCCATGGATTTTACATTATTCAAAAATGCTTTTAAAAGGAAACTCCAGATTAAAGTCTGTTGTTGGGGAGGGCCCCTGCATATGAGGAAAATGTTGCATAAAGCCTGTTGTGGCTCCAGCTGCAAGAAATCTGATAAATTACCTCAAGTGATGTAACTTGAGTCAGTGTCAGTTTAAGTCGTGTATGAAAGAAGTGAGTGTACCAGACCTCTGTGCCCGCTCTTTGTCTCTAACACTACTAGCATAACACATCTAAAAGGAAGAGGAATGTGTGGAACAAAATCAAAGGACCTCACAAAATTGGTAAAAAGTGTAAATCTCTGTATCCATATTTTTGGTGATGATTCGGTGAGAAAGAACAGCCTAGCCATGTCAGTAAGCGTTGCCATCATGTCGGTATCTGTACTCTACAATACAGAGCAGAAATAGACCTGAACCACTTTTTTCAAGTTTTCCAACTGTCTGTGCGCAAATTAACATAATCTTTCTGTAGTGTTTTAGTTTGGCTTTTCAGAGATAAAGTTATTTTCCAGTTGGTATGAAGGCTACCACCTGAATGTTACTTTGTTTGTTATTTGATCTGTATGCTATAGCTGTTAGCATTAAACATTTGTATTGTGATTTATGAACAATAATGTAGATTCATTTGCAGTCATGTGTCCCAATGTGCAGTAGTACATGTGCAATAGTTACAGTACTTGCTTGGGGAGTTTTTATTATCTATATCTTCAAAGCTAGGTACACTTGCCTGCTACATTCCTATTCCCAAATATAATTGCATTCTTATTCTTTTTTGTAGACCACAAACACAGTCCATATAGACATCCTGCACATATATGTCTGTCAGATCATGCCTCCTGCCCGTTGACTGAAATCATATCCATATCTGCTGAAACAAACCACTTATTTCCCAAAGACCCCAGAGTTCATTATACTATAGATCACACGAGTAATTGATGGGCTGTAAGAAAGGAAACTCGGAACCTCATCCTGAAATTAATACTTGGTGAATAAACTATGACGTACTGGAGATGAGTTGTGTGACGTGTTTAAGATTTGATGGACTTTCAATGTTAAGCTTCTGCAGCGCTGTCAAAGCTGACACACAGGATATGTTATATAGATTAAAGGACAGGGCAAAGTAAAAAAAAAACACACTAAGTACAAGGGAAAAACAGTGGGAAGAGAAAAAGGTCTGAAGATCAGGGTGGGTTCGACTTTTATAGCTCAAGGGGAATTAATTACACATATTGAAATGCCACCTAGAAAGGTCACCTCTGCAGTGACCCGAAAAATCTTATTTGAGCTGAGTTAACTTGACATTTCTTTACCATACCAGCAAAGAAAAGCCTCGGCCTTCAGCAGAAGTTCTGAAAGAGGGAAATATGTGGTGATTTTGTGTGTCTGTGTACGTGTGTGTGCATGTTGATGGATTTCCTGCTGCTCACGTCCAGATCCAACTGTACCAGTGAGAAAATAATGGCACAAAATATCGACAGTCTTTCACTGAAGTCTCTTCTTTTGAGGGTGCACAGAGGGCACATAGATTAACATCTTTGCTGTTGACATTTTCTGTGAAGCCACAGTTCTCAGGGGGTTTATACTGAGCGTCCAGGTTTCATACCAAGAGAAGATCCAATGCAGTAAAAGTAATCATCAGTTCAATAATTCATTCCTCTGCTCTGAGCTCTATGCACTGGTGTTGCTCCATGGGAAAAGGTCAGATATTAGGGATGAGCGAGTACACTGTGATCTGTATCTGTTCAACCAACTAAATAATCTATATTCATATCTGTACTTGGAATGGATGGGGGCTTAATCTGGGCATGGACAGGGCTTAAGAAACTACAGAACAGAGTTTCAGATTTATTATAAAAGACACACTTTTAGCACATTATCTGTACCGGATACTTGTTTCAACCGAGCACTCGCTCAACCCTGTCAGATATTATCTGACAGACTCTCTTCTGTGATACAAATCAATTTCTCTAAAAGTTTTGTTCTTTTATTCATTGACATCATTAACAGCTTCACAGTCACAAAACTTTCTCATGGAAACAACGTCCAGACTGTACATATAAAATTGTATAACTGTATATAAACATCCAGATATTGTCAATGTGTAACCATGGTGAAGACGATACAAAACAACAACAAATTTACATTGCAGTTATGTAAATGTATGTACTCCTATCTGTCACGTTTAAATGCTATTACTAATATATTAGTCGAGCTTAAACAATTCAGAAAATTAACCATCAATTATCTTAATAATCTTTCAAGTCTTTAATCAAGAAACATGACTAAGAGTTTACAGCCATGCTTGTGTGCACAATGGTGCTTTGAGATAAATGCTAATGTCAGCATGCTAACATGGTCACATTCAGTACATGAACCAGGTGAAAATGCTAACACACAGATGCAGGTAGGTTTAATGTTTAACATGTTCACTGTTAGCTATTTACATTTTCCTGATTTTTAAAAATGTCAGAATTTGCTGCGTTTATCTGTTTTATATCACAGTGAATTGAATAGTTTAAAGTTTTAGACTGCTGGTGTGACAAAACAAGGCATTTTATATTTCTCTTTTAGACTGAACAATTGATTATTCATAAAAATAACCAATAGATTAAACCATAAGCCAAATAACTGTTACTGGTATACCTATATATTAAACACACACTGCTGACATGTATACGAAGTAAAGCCAACCAACACACTATTAACTGACACATAAAAAACATCTGTATATACACAATATGTGACATTTGACAATTATAGAAACTTAACGTTTGACAAACATTCTGATGTTGCCAATAAAACCTTTCTGGAATAAAACAGCAGAAGTTACAATGCTGACTTTATTTTTTAAACCATTAAACAACCAGTGTGTAGGATTTAGCAGCATCTAGTGGTGAAGTTGCAGATTACAACCAACTGAATATTTCTCGCCTCTCAAGCGTGTGAAAGAAACTACACGCGAATCAACGCAATCTAGAAGCGCTATCTGTTTGGTTCGTCCGTTCTGGGCTACTGTAGAAACACGGCGGTTCAACAATGGTACAACTATTCTTATTTTCATGTTCATACTCCAATGAACAAACCTCTGAGTATAATACTCCAGTTCTCCTCCTGAATGTTTCACACTGGACCTTTAAACCCTCAAATGTCAGAGCAACATTTTGCTCTATCGCCAACATTTTGCTTTTTTTTTTAAATAAAGGCATCATGAAAACCTCCACCAGCTGATCTTTATCTTTTCATGACAGTTATTCAAATCAGTGTTGTTTTTCTTATCATTTGAATCCATAAGTGATCATACTTTCACTTTATCTACACAGCTTTGGGTTAAACAATAAATTCTTATAAATATTTTTTCTTCTATTACATTTATTCAAGGAATAATAAATGGAGGAAATAGGAAGACATCAAATATTTATCTCAAGCAAGGAGAAAAGATGTTTTGTACCAGTGTTTGTTATAGTGATCTACAGTGATACTTCTGTCTCTCACTATTATTATTATTTTGTTATAAAGAGAGTGAGATGGCTCGACAACAAGGACAAATGATAGCAACAGTGTCCATTCATCACACTGAAGTTACTAAGATCTGAATTAACCGTCTGGTCTGTTGGTATCCGTGTGAGCAAAGGTGATCAACATAACTCCAGTCCTGTTGCAGCACAGGTGTTACGAAGTTTCTGAAAACACGACTGCTTTCAGACGGTGGTTATATTCGTACTCGCACTGTTCTGACTGTACAACCGGCTGGGAGACGTGCAGCACAGGAGCTGTTTTTTGAAGTGCTTGCGGAAGCTTTTGCTCATCAGGTAGAGGGCAAACGGGTTCACACAAGAGTTGGTGAAGGCCAAAATACGAGCACACACGCTGGCGATGAAGTGGCCCAATGAGGTGTCCACCTGGTTGTAGTGGTAGGAGCGGTACAGGTAGATCACGTGACTGGGCAGCCAGCAGACAGCAAACAGGCCAACAAACACCAGCACAGTTTTGGCCAGACGCTCTCTGGACTTGATCTGACGGGAGAGTAGAGAGAGCATAAATCAGTTCCTACAAACAAACAAAGCTACAAGAATGTGAAGTATCTATGTGATATTTGACGCACCACCAGAACTTTGACTTCAGTGAAAAAAAGTGAATAACTAATAAATTGCTATGAATTTTAGCACTGAAAGGGTGTCAGCACAATTGCATGAGCATTTTTGAAGAAAGGGATATGTACCCATTTCGGAAATTACGCTTATTTGCTTTCTTGACTGATAACTGCTCCTAGCTGGAGCCAGCAGCCAGTTAGCTTAGCTCAACACAAAGAAAGAGGAACAGCTAGCCTGGTACTGTCCAGATTAACTAAATCCACCTACCAGCATCTCTAAAGCTCACTGTTGTATTTTGTGTAAATATTTTTGCCATTTTACAGGGTCATGTAACCTCATGTCGAGTCATGAGATCAAAAAGTCACAAAATAATGCGAGAATCCATCTTGCCAGCCTTCAATCCCCCTGTGTCAATCCAATGACTTGTTTTATCAGAATTTGATCCATTCAGCCCAGTAACATTTAGAAAGTGAAGTTTAAACCAGAAGTCAGTGTCTATTGTCTACAGTCTATTGGTGTGCGTGCTCTGTGGGCCGCTGTCATGCATTCATCCAGAACTGGAGAGTATTTCTTCACTGAAAGAAGAACAAAGAACGGCACTAAAGGCTTTTCTCTGTGGAAAATATGCTTTCGTTCTTTTCCCGACTGGCTTCAGTTTGACTAAGTTATTATCAGTCTGATTGGTTGATGTTCACCCCGATAGACTGATGGTTCATCCAATCACCTGCGAATTGAGTATTATTTAAAAGGGCCTTTTCCAAACTGTTTCCAACACTGATTTTCCAGATGGTTCTGTTTAGCAAACCATCTGGCGCAGTCAGGTTAGGGGTTATATCCCAGACCGGGAGCAGAGGTTAGACAACCAGCAGAGACTCCAGCGAGCCACTGGTCCCAGCCAAGAAATAGTCTGTCCCATAACCAGCAGCAAAATGTCAAATTATAGTTTTTATACTTTGGGTTTATTACAAATTAAAGTCTCAATTAATTAGTGAGTTTAAGAGGTGATAGTAAGTGAATTGTGTTACCTTTGGACAACCAGTTATGGAGAAAAGCATAAATAACAATGAGATAAATAAGCAGAGGCCAGGCTCAGACCTGTCTCTGGAGGTGCAGGTGTCCTTCAGCAGGGATATCCACAGAGCTCCTAACCAGACTGTGAGCGATGAAGCAGTAGTAGACAGATATGATGAAGAGCGGGATGATGTAAAAGATTAGGAAGGAGGCTGTGGAGTGGATTTTTGGGTGCAGCTCCCCGGCGTGTGGGTAAGGGGCACAGGTCACAAATGTCTCATTGGTGTGGCTGGTGGTGAAGGTGTGCAGGTCCGAGAAGACGGCCTCAGGAATCGCCAGAGTCACAGAGAGCAGCCAGATGGACCCCGCTCGGAAGCAGACGCTGAGTCTTGCGCTGGACCTGTGGATGTCCAGCGGTTTGACTATAGCTTTGTACCTGGGAAGAGACATTTGTTGGGCAGCACTATTTTTGTCATTGTGTGGGGAGACTGTTCATATGAATATGAACTCTGATGAGCTGATTATAATTTCTTCATTATGTGTGTAATCAAAAACAACTGCAGAAAGATTCTTTATTTATTTTGTCACATCACTGATTTGACTCCAACACTTCCTACTGAGGGAGACTCAGTTTGTTCCGTTAATCAAAGAAAGATAAGCTTTCATAGCTTATATCGCTGTAGATTATACAGCAGAGAAAATTAAATTAGTCTAATTTAATTAGCCACAGTAGATAATATTAGCTCCTGGATAGGATGAGTTAGGCTACTGATCAAAGAGACGGTTCCTTAATCATAACTGGTATTAAATGTTCTTTTGCTCCCAAAAGCTGAGACATCTCCAAAGGTAAAATTCTGAAAATACTGTAGCTGTTGGCAGAGCTCCCAAAGCATTTTCAGATGACTTTTCTTGCCAAAAATCTGAATCTGGACCCTCCTTTACCTGTAATAGACCTAATATTTTTAGCTGTTTCATCACAGATCAGCTTCAGGAGCCGTATAATCACTGGAGTTCTAGTTTATGTCCCTTTGTTATATGATTCATTCAGAGGTAAAATCATCATTTGATGTTGTAACTTCAGTTAATCATCCTGTGACCTTCAACACTGTATTATATCAGTCTAACTCACAGCAACTCAACATCACATAACATCACACTTTATTGCACTTGAACTATAGTTGATGTATTTGTACAGTATCATACTAATCACAGTAGTTTTTACAATTTAACAATAATTCTCACAACTTAAAATATAAAACAGATGGGTGGGGAGGTTGCTCTGGATGAATGTTGGACTCCTTTCTACCACTGGGGATATAATAAGACCATGTTTGTTTGCTATATTGTTTTTAGGCTGATCCAACAATTTTTAGTTTTACACTCATTTTAAATATTCAGTGAGTATAACTACGTTTTGACAAACATACAAACAAACAAAAAAGCATTCAGACCTCATGCTGAAGAATAAAAGAGTAAAGCTTTATTTTTCCAAGCCTGTAATTAATAATTTTCTCTTTTCCTTAAAAGAACTTCGATAATCTGACATATTAATTACAGGGTTTAGTCACTTGAATTTCGTTATAATTCAAAATATAATTAAACAGCCAACTTGATTAATCGTTTGTTCTTGGTGCCTGTTTGTTGATAAATGTGAGTTAAATAATGAATAATGATAATGTCTATTTGAAGCCGCAGCCGTGCGTCAAACCCTCCTCACCCACTGTAATGTCGCATCAGTGGAGTATTGAAACTGTTGTCCCACTCTCTGCAGGTTTATTCAGCCTAAACGGTGAGAAGAAGTTAAAAACACTTTCAAAAGCATGCACCGACTAACTGTGTGACAAGTATACCGGTCAGCGGAGAGCGCGGTGAGGGTGAACACGGAGACCCCCACCGAGGTGAGCTGGATGAACGGGATCAGTTTGCATCCGACGCGGCCGAAGAGCCACTCGTCCACCAGGTAGCGGCTGGCGTCCACCGGGGCGCAGGTGACCAGCAGCAGCAAGTCCCCCAGAGCCAGACTGGACAGGAACAGGTTGGGCACCGTCCGCATGGACTTCACCGACAGACACGTCTTCATCAAAGTGACATTCCCCACTAGACCCACGACGATGATGATCCCGTAGACAGCAGCGATCCCGATACCCGGGAGCCAGATGAAGTACTGGTGCTGCTCTCCCGAGTCCCAAAACCCTCTGGAAACATTCAAAGCCCTGCTGTCCTCTGAGTTCAAGACAAATGCATCCTCCAGAGACATTGCAGCCTGCAGCGAGAGGACAGAGCTTGCACGAGAGTCTGAGCTCTCCCGGCGCCTGCATTTATGCTCTCGTGCTGTTGCGCGCGTCATTTCACGCGCTGCAGATTACACGCTGTCAAGATGAGGGTGTGAAAATGTCCACAGGGAATATATTCCCACTTTAATTCCCTCCTATAAAGTAACTTTACGGTTGTTAAAATGTTGTTCCTCATTCAGAGGGAAACTTTTAAACTCTCCTCAGTGCATTTAATGTAATTCAGAGTTTATTGTGAGACATGCACACAATGTTACCACGTGTACCAGTACAGTGTTCTACACACTGATATATAAATGTAGGAACCGGGAATTGAGATGAGGAGTACTGGAGTAACAAGTTGGCAGAAACAAATGTGCCCTCTTGGATGTCTCTGGTAGATAAAACATGATAAACTGCCCTCTACGGTGGCCCAGTGGGGTTTTTCCACAATAAATGCACCACAGCTCTCTCCCCACTGATGCCCCTCCACATGCAGCTGGTGCCCTTTTTATTGCCCCGGCCCCTCAGACAGCCTCAGTCCGCCACTGGTCTTGGCTTCAGATCTGCTCAGTTTTGACTGCAAGTTGGAATAATTTTTCCATACTGAGTTCGAATGTGGTCATATTTCAGCTGAGATCTTGTGAAATGACACTGATCCTGACACTCAGGTTCTCAGTTCAGCTGCATGGACCTCCTCATAAAGAAATGTCTCTATTTCCTGTATAACAGCAATGAAATGCACTCAGTGTAACAACAGTGGCCATCCACTCAAAGCCCGGAGCCAGCTAACATACACAGTAACATCTGATCATAAAGGATCAGTAACTGAAGATGAGGTATGGAGGTGAAGGTCAGACCTTTGTGTTTGTTCATGTCCAAAATGCTTTTAGTCCACGTCTCATCCTGGAGACGTATAGCAGCGTTATTCACTGGTTCATCAGATGGTGCCAGTTGGACAAAAATTATTTTCTAATAAAAATGCAAATTGAATTTCGTTGTATCAGGGCAGCAGATAAGACCGATGGAAATATCTTTCTTTGAGCGTGACTTGAACAATTTTAATTTTCCAGACCCACATTTGAGAACTTTAGTCAGAATTGCCTAATTTGTTTTCAAAGAACAAAATGGCTGCAGAGTTTTGGTAATTCTCAAACGTATAATTTGTTTCCTGCTATTTGTACGAGACTGAGAGAGAGACGGTCATCAAAGTAAAACGCCTGCTTGGACTCGAACCACTTTTCTCTGAACTCACAAACAGAAATACACAACACAAAAACTGACACTGATTCCACTGCCTGCTATTTCATGTAATAACTAGATGGACCACACTGAACCAAATTATGTTTTTCAGAGCTCTGAGTGCAATTGCATCCACTTGTCTTCTCCCTTGATGTGACCTCGTCACCATCTCGCTCTCTATTACTTTCAGCCTTTGTGTCTTCTCTATTTCAGAATAAACCCACAGAAAAGTCTTCCTTCAATTTGCACTGATTTTGCTTCATTTTACCTTCTGAAGAAAATTTGAATTAGTTTAGAAAGATGCCCTTTGCTTCCACATTCATATCTCTGTGGCATTCATCTTCTTTTTATCTCTTTCTTTAAAAATTTCTAATTAAAATGTGATTCAAAGCTTTTCTCACACAGTCTCGACTCAGATAACCACTTGAATTATCTTGGAAATGGCACCAAGAGTGATAAAGCTGTAATGAACGCGGCTGATACCTGTGATAAATCTGAATATTTCAGGTGTTTGGTGATTTAGAAATTGATCAATGCATCGTGTTATATTCTATGAGATTATTGGGTGTTTTAGAAAGTCTTACAGAACAAAAATCAAGTGAAATAGTAGTACCTCAAAATTGTGCTGAGGTAGTTTTCCGGTGTAAGATTATTGTTTAATATCCTTCACTGTGTTTAGTCCTCACTGCGAACAGCAAGTAATATTATTTAAGTTACCAAAAAGATAACAAAAGTATTTAAATAAATAACTGAATCAAAGACAACCAAAAACTATTACAGGATAAGAACAAATCAATAAAAAGCCTTAAAGAATAGATAAGATTTGAGTTTTGAGAATCAGATCAGAAAATAACTTGGTCACCACTAATGAAAGGCCTAGTGGACAGTTGCAGAAGTATTATCAGCCAAAGTAAAAGTACTTATTCTGAAGAGAAGTGTCCCCTGTGTCTGATATATGATCATATATGACATTATTAGATTGTTAATACTGACTAGGGGTAGGGCCCCTCCAAAGGGTAGCAAAATAAATTTGTGAGATGATTAATAGGAGAGAAGAAAAATACATTTTATTACATAGATTTGAATTATACTTGCTTTTTTTTTATTAAATAATGAATAATTTGACCTCTGTGCCTTGAACTGTTGTTTAATGAGAGAAGTTTAGAGGGGAAATTTCTTTTAGGGGGAACTGGTAACAAATTGTAGACATCTGAAGTGTGGAAAGAGGACACTTTTATTTTGTAAAAAGTCACAATCTTCTTTAATCTTTAACAATATGTTATATGTGTATGTATTTATTTTATATAAATTGTCAATCTGCAAAAGTAACTACAGTTGTCAGATAAATGTAGTGGAGTTAAAAGTACAATATAGCCTTCTGAAATGTAGTGGAGTAGAAGTATAAAGTGGCAGAAAAGGGATTTATTTAAATAGTGAAAGTAGAAATCACTGAAATATATAAGTTAGGCTACTTACCATATCCTACCTCAGTAAACGTTACATATTCAGCACCATGGACAGCTGCCGGCTGTCTGCCAGCGCCTGTCGCTACCTGGTGGCCAAGATACTGAACTGACAGCTGAAAGAATAACAATGAGAATGAGTTAACATTTTGATTTCCTGTAGAAATGACTCGTTGTTGTGGTGCCACGGGAGGTTTTCAACAAGAAGTACAAAAGCACAAAAAACATCTGTTGCAAATAGCAACCACTGCGGCCACAGTGCCAGAGCAGTTTAACTGACAGCGTTACATCCTCCATTTGTTCAGACCTGTAACACCAACAGCGACCTCAAATACACTGACAGTAGGTTGAAACATTATCTGTAGACCCAAGTGTGAACCATACGGTCAATGGGTAGACTTTTTATTCCTCCGGCTTTGTCATTGTTGGTTTAGAAGAATTAGTTTTTTCTGTAATCAGCTTACTGCTAACAAAGCTGTCAGGCTAATGTGTGCTAATACAATGTTCCAAGTAACTTTTTAACGTTTGACAGTGACTCTTGTTGACTGTGAGTATGTGTACTAGATGAATTACTGTCTGGCTTTTCACTGGTTATACTTTGTTTCTTCCTGACAGGAAGCATAATGTTACAAGTTAATCTGATAGCTACTCTAAACATTTGTGAATATTTCTTTACAGTTACTCTACTAACTCACTTTACCTTCTTGTTTATATTATCTAATCGTTTTGATTTAAAGTGTCCAGGCCTGGTGATCCCAAACTTTTTCATGTCAAGGACCCCCACAGTAGATGCATTATACCAACTATTCCAATATTAAACCATCAAACATCACTTCCAAACTATTTGTGACATTCAAATAGTTTCTGTCCAGTATGCAACTTATATAAATGTGACAGAAACCTGAAACCTGCAGTGCACAAACACTCGGAGACATCATGTGTCCAGCAGGAAATCTTTAGAAATTAACAAAATTTGTATATGGATAGATTCTAGTATTTTTAAAGAAATAGAAGAGTAGATTTAATGGGTTAGGGTTGGGTGGGATTTATGGAGATTGAAAAAATGCATATGCCCTGCCCTTTGTGGTGCTGAGAGCTGCACAGATATGTGAAATACACATTCATGTCCTCTCACTGGATAATAAATAACTAAATTAGCATATCCATAGATTCAGATTTTTTTCTTAAAGAGGTAGAAGGAGTAGATGTCTTTTTAAGGATATTAATCTTTTATTCTTGTTTTGTGGAAAAAACAAAAACCAAACCAGCCACACATTATTATTCCAAGCATGTCTGGAGGAGATCTTTAAATAATCAAATGACCACAAACCTGTTGACACACAGTGAACCTGTGAAAGGCTTTCTGGACCCATGAGTAGATGTCCAATTTCACCCGGTGGTAATCCTCTGAAACAAACTAATACTTTTTACACTTTTGAGAACTGATACGTTTGTACTTTTACTTAAATAAACATGTTTAATAAATAACTTTTACTTGTATGGAGCAATTTCATACTGTGGCACTGTTAATTAGAATAAAAGAGTATCTGCACACTTCCTCTACCTCTCCTCCTCATCAGCAGACATTAAAGGTTAAATGATCAGGTCAGTGTGGGCAGACAGGTTGCAGGTCCCATCAGCCAATATGAGTCCGAACCATCACCGCTGACATCCAATCAGCTGCGGGCTGCCAGGATTGGATGAAGCGCAGTTTCCTCTTGCATCCTTGGATACCTCCGAGCAGGCAGACACATCTGCGGCATTAGCGTGGTACTGCAGGAAGTCCCGGTTCTGTTCATCGGTGATGGAAAACACCCGCTGCTTTGCCAACCGCTTCACCGACTACAAAGGTGCGCTGCTCCCGGACCAGGGCGCCCAGGCCATCGTGCCCGTCATCGTCGCCACCGTCGACCAAGTCCTGAAAAAGGTTCCCATCGACATCAACGAGTGCGACGGAGGGCTGTACGATGGTCCGGCCGGGGTGGCTTACATGCTGTATCACGTCAGCGAGTGCCCGCGGTTCTCCGAGCACCGGGACGCCTACCTGAAGACGGCCAAGCAGATCATCGACGTGTCGGTCCGATATGTGGATGCAGAGCCGGACAAGAACATGCGAGCCGCCTTCCTGCTCGGCGGGGCGGGCATCTACGCGGTGGCCGCTCTCATATATAAATCCCTGGGCTTGGCTGATTTCGTTAAGCCGCTGACCAAATTTCGCAACCTGTGGGAAGTGTGTGCGCCCATCCATTTCCTGGAGTGCGGCTCGGATGAGCTGTTTGTGGGGCGGGCTGGGTACCTGTGTGCCGCCCTGGTCCTCAGGCAGAAGCTGTGCATAGAGGTGAGCTCCTGAACAACCTGTTAACACCCAGAGAGGAAGTGACTGCTCTTTAGATAACAACTCTAATGGATGTGGTTATTATGTTGTTAAAAGGCCTAATGTTTAAACACTTTTTAAAATATATTAATGCATTGATTAACAAAAACAAAACAGATCCAGACTGATAAGTTGGTTGACACAGTACATCGGCCAGTGATGTCATATTGTGAACATCTACTGTAGGTTATTGGTATTGTTGTACTTGACCTTGATCAGTAAGACATTTCAGTGTGGAGATGCCTCATGAAATGTATGGAAGCCAAGAACAGCTCTCCTTGAAATGTTTTGATGCTGGTATGTCAAGATCACAAGTGTCATTATCTCTGGATCAGAAGATAATCGACGATGTATCAATGAATACATCTGTTTTAAAATCTGAAATCAGACCAATATTATTCAATTATGACATGTAGAGAAACAAACAAAAATGATAATGATATATTTTTATATACCTATAATTTTCATGGCCATAAATTACTTAGTTTGTTTATATCCTATATCTGTATTTCCAGTGATGATAAACTTTGCCTAATAACTTTCTCTTATATTTTACAGATTCTGAGCAAAGATCAAATCAAATCCATTTGTCAGGCCATCATCGAGTCAGGAAGACAGTACGCCAGGAGGAAGAGAAAGCCTTTCCCCCTCATGTACTCGTACTATGGAACAGAGTATCTTGGTAAGACCTCCGTCTTTGAGCGTTACCATTTAGAAGTGAAGATTGTAGTCTCCCTTTAAGAGCTGCTGTCCTCTGACTGCAGGAGGCTCTCCTGTTATCACACTGTGACAGACACAGGGAGGCTTTAGAGACAGCTCTAGATGAAGGGCTTGCTGTGTTAATGTGTGAAGCTAACTTTCCTTTCCTTGATTGCATCGGATGGAAACAGACGTGAAGGTTGGAGATCCTCAGTAACTTTCACACCAGCACAGAGTTCATTGTAAGCATAGCCTCGCTGGCCACTACTGCATGGAAATGACGAGGAGGTGAAATAATAGCAGAACTGTTTAAACTACAAAATATCTCTGGATGTTTAGTGAACACACCTGGTTACAGGTGCTGCATGTGTTACAGTTTGCTTGTCCTGAGAGATTTGCTCACAAAGGGAGTTTCTCATTTGATTTGCTCAACATCAAAAAGCTACAGAATTCCTCTCTGAGCTTTCCCTTTATATGTCCGGCTTTATTTAGGAAGACTTGGCCCAGTGTCCCAATGACTTATGTCCATATTTGAGGATTCTGCACCTCACGATTTACGTCCAGTGTTTGGCGCCAGTGCAGGATGCATTGTAAAGGTGTGGAGGTCAGTATGGTGGATGTGTTTATAGGACATTTGACTTTAATGCAGGAGAGTTTGCTTAGCTTAGCACAAAGAGTGGAAACAGGGGAAACAGCTGGCCTGACTCTGTCCCAAAGTATCCACCAACCAACACCTCTAGAGCTCATAAATTAAAATGTTTTATCTTGCTTGTTTAATCTGTACAACAGCTATAGTGTAATAACAACAAACTGCCGTTTTACAGGATGTTATGTGCTGTGGACTTTATCTTCATCGGGACCTTCAACTTCCTGAACTTCCCCGGCACATAAATCATGTTTACATTAAACAAACTAAATACAGCGTATTCATTAGTGAGCTTTATAAGTGTTGGAAGGTGGATTTTTTGCCTTCAGACAGAGCGAGTGAGCTGTTTCTCCCTGTTTCCAGGCTTTATGATAAGATTATGTAGCCGACTGCTGGTGTAGCTTTATATATAACAGACAGATATGAGAGTCTAACTATTAGTAAGAAAGTAGATGAGCTTATTTTTCCAAAATGTCCAATGTTTCAAATGTTTTTATGTTATTTGCCACAACCATGATCTTTACCTAACTGTAACTTTCCATATCTGCCATTAACATATATTGTAGAGAGTGAACATTTAAAAAAAACTTTGCCATTGAACATAAAAAATATTCACCTTGAACGTAATCTGTGGTTTTGCAGAATCGTCCAATGTCGACTTTCTTGTCTGGGGCTAAAATTGGGATTACAAAAGAGCTGTTTTATTTTCACAACTTTATTTATTTATTATTTATTTATAACTGGCATTTTCAGATGGAAGCATGTATGTTTCTTTGTCAATCTAGATTAAATTAATATCATGTCTTTGAATTGTCAAAATTACTGCGTTAAAGCAATTTGAACTATTACTACTATTAATCTGATACTGCAAAGCTTAAGACACTACATTTAGTAATAGTTCTAGTTTTATTTAAATAATTCAAAGGACCAGTGGGTAGGATTTAGTGGCAACTACGGTGACTATGAAAATCTGCCAATAGATCCTCCTCAATGTTACACACTGGCCCTTTAATATACAGTTTACGATGCTGTTTCAGCACATATCCTCGGGTCAACTACATATCCTGACAGAGTGTCTCTGTTATTGAAGGGTTCTTTAGTGGGGCAGTGATTGTGCAGTTGATTATGTACTTGACAGGAGCTCAACTGTTCTAAAACCATCAGGTTTAGGCTACTAACCTTTTAACTTACATTACTTCCTCTCTGCCAGAAGACAAAACACTTACTGTCAAACTAAACTGACAAGTATATATTGTGGGCTACAGACGAGAAGATAAAAAACAAACGGAAACCAACACAAGTCCTCCAGTAGTCCTTTGTGAATGTTTATGCTTGGATGCTTGGCTGTTTCTGTGCCTGGCATGGTGCCTCCCTGCATGCCTGGTTCGAGGGGTGGGGGGTGTGCATGTGTGATCCCCTCACACCTCCTCTCCTGTCAGGTGCAGCCCACGGCCTCTCCTCAGTGTTGCAGATGCTGCTGAGCTACCAGGACGTGCTCAGTGGGGCAGAGAAGGACCTGGTGTGGCAGAGCGTCGATTTCCTCATGAATCAGGAGCAGAACTGTAACTGGCCTCCAGAGCTGGGTGCCATGATCGAGAGGGAGAACGAACTGGTGCACTGGTGCCACGGAGCCCCGGGTACACTCAGTATTGTACACACATCACCATGAGTGTGCACAGTTGTTCCTACATCATCTTGCTTCTGCTGTTTATATTCATGTCTCCATTGTCTCATGCAGGTGTGGCGTATCTATTTGCTAAAGCCTACCTGATCAATAAGAAGCCCCAGTATCTGGATACGTGTATCCGCAGTGGGGAGCTTGTGTGGCAGAAAGGGCTGCTGAAGAAGGGACCTGGGATTTGTCACGGAGTTGCAGGCAGTGCTTACGTCTTCCTCCTGCTCTATCGGCTCACAGGCAACTCGAAATACATTTACCGTGCTCAGAGGCAAGAAATCCCTCCTGCTGTCTCCCTTTTCTTTAGCGCCACCAGCAAGTTCATGTTTTTGTTGTTTGTTTTTAATTGAGATTTCCAGATATTGGATGGATTGCCATTAAATTAGATAAACCCATTCCTTTCAGGATATATTTGATTAGCTTTTGTGATTCCTAAACTTTTCGTCTAGAATCATCACAGAGTCAAAATGTTACTTTGTCCAGTACCTGAAAAACATTCCCATCAGCCTCTGCTGTACTATGTGTTAAGTGCATAGACCTGACACTAGACTCCGCTGGCTCCTAGCCAATCCAAAAATGGGCTAAGATGTGGAGTGTGGGTAGAGCTGAGGCTGAAAACATCTGCGTGTGACGGCACCCACACATAGCTTTAAGCCTTAATATAATTTAAATGGGCGAGTTATATAAAGATAAACCACGTACAGTAGTCAGCTAGCTACAGAGACCAAAACCGTTTTTATAAACCAGTTTATTTCAGCTGTAAAGTTGGGCATTTTAATTAGGGCCTCATGGAGATTGACTCACTTCTGTTGCCAGCCTCAAGTGGCCGTTTGAGGAACTGCAGTTTTTGTTACTTCCATGTTGGCTTCATTTGCTAGCCACAGAGTTCGCAGCTTGGTTTTAGTATTATTTAGCTAATGTTAGCATGCTAACATGCTAAACAAAAAGGTCAACATAATAAATATTATACTTGCTAAACAAGCATCTTAGCATGCCGATGTTAGCATTTAGCTCAAAGCACCACTGTGCCTGAATCCAGCCTCACAGAGCCGCTAGCATGGCTGCCAGAAACTAAAAGAACTACAGTAACCTACTTCCCCATCAGCTGTATTCACTTAAAATGTCACTTTCCATTCATGTCTCACCACTCTTCTTCTCTTTCCTCCCCAAAGGTTTGCAGAGTTCCTCTTCACTGAGGAGTTTAAGATGGGCTCCCACTCAGTGACCAGTGTCTGCAGCCTGTTTGAAGGCCTGTCAGGGACTATTTGTTTCCTCGTCGACCTCCTGCAGCCAGACCAGTCAGAGTTCCCTCTGTTTAGTGTCTTTGTGTGAATGGACCCCGGTTCACTGACCTGAACAAACATCATCCCTTCCCTCTGAAATCCCTCAAGAACTGGATTGATAGAAGCCACTGAGAACATGGGTTTAAAACTGTGAGCTGAGCGGGAGTGCGGGGAGGGATGGTATTTGTTTGGGATTTAGAAAATCATATTTGAGTACAGTTGGGGTAGAAAAATTGTCAAGATTTGTGTCTATACTAAAGTAGATGTTCAGCTTCTATGCTTCACCAGATTCATTCCACTTACTGTAACATTGTCCATTTCAATTTACACTGTAGTTAATACACTAAAGCAGAGGTTTTCAAACTGTGAGGTGTGCCTCCCCCTGTGGCGTGGGAGGCTTGGAGGGAGAGACGTGAGGCAAAGATACTGCGTGAGGTGAATTTGAGTCAAAACTCTTTCTCTGGGTCATAACTCACTGTCAGACTTTGGAAACGTCTGCACTAATGTATTGGCAGTTTTGAAACGTGGTACTGCTGGTAGACTTTCTTTATTGAAATTGCAGCGTAGGCTATATAACAAAGATGTTGCTCTCAGGTCAGACAGACACATGCACATATAGTACTGACAGCTAAAACAAATGGCAATCACACCCAAGTCACAAAAAAGAAAAACAGAAAACATTAAAACAAGTGTCACATAATGCCTTTAAAATGTTTCTACTCCACCAGCTGAGCATCACGTATCGCAGACCTTTGAGTATATTATGTCTTTAGGGAATGTGATCTCGAATTACTGCTGCCACAACCTTTAATGATTAATACAAAGGAGGGATTTTGATACTGAACTTGCAAAATGATCAAAGATGGGTAGAGAGGTACAACCAACAGATGCTTAAAGAGAAAACTGTAGATTATTATTATTATTATTGTTTGCTCTGTGCAATGTGTGTGAAACGAGGTGAGTGACAGCTGTTTGTAATTGATGTTTCAAACTGTGTCAGCAACCGTATGGGGATATTTGAAATGTTCAATACGTTGTGACGTCTACCCCTTGTAGTATGTTAGACTGTATGTTTGTGATGGAGACCAAGAACAAGTGAAACATGTTGTCAGTGTGAGAATTTAATTTTCTTTCCAATGCCATCTGTTCAAGATGATACTCAGTTATGTTAATTAACAGTTGACAAAGAATTTCTTTACATTAAGTGATAATGAGGCCTTAAAAATAAATTTCTAGCATTTGGATATGATCACATCTCTCAGAGTAAAACAGACTGAGAGGAAGAAGGAAACTGAAAATGCTTTGGGAGTTTTGTGACTGAAGTTGGTAAAAAAATTTGAATAATAGCAGTTTCCCAATGCTAACTGTGCCTGTTGTGGAACATTTATAAGCTGCGTGTATGTCTGTGTGTTGTTTTTGGCTGTCCACAACAAAGTCTGTGTGATTATTGTTATTAATAAAGTGTCCTGATGAAAAAAGTTTGTTCTCATCCTCAGCTGACTCCACACATAGTGACAAATGAACCTCCGACAACACTTCCAGATAATTGATGATGATGACCATCACCTCGGGAGGCTGGAGAATAACTGATCATCCATCACTACGTCACTCAATTTCGGTTTCATTTTCAATTTGACATAGCAGAGAAAGAAGAAAACATTTTCTCATCAGTCACATACAGTTCAGGGACGTGTGAAACAGTTTTGATTGATTTCAATTGATGGGTCTCAGAAAAGAGACAAAAGGACATAAGAAAGGGGAAAATAAAGAAAAAGTTCCCTTATTAAATGTGTTACAGAACAGCGCTAACAGAACGAAGACATTTGTTACTTTATTTTTATGAATAATGAAAGATTAAAGTTTAGTTTACAGTAGAACAGAGAATACAACAAACACACTGTATTAAAACATTAAAACATTATTAGATACAAAAATTATACTTATATAAATAATTCTTGCGACAAATTACTTGCATGTACACATATTATTAATGATAAGCTCACCAGACAATGTTCAGTAATAAATAATAATAATAGAAAAAAGAAATAACAGTCAACAATTGAATGGTTTTATTATCCACCTCCACCTCTTTGTTCTTCTATTTTATTATTCGTGATAAAATGTGATGAAGGTTTGCTTTCTGATGTATCTTAAAAACTCAATAGAAAAAATAAAATGTCCCTAATTAAATATATATGATCTGTGTAAAGAAAGATGTAATAAAGTTATTACAGCTTTGTTACAGTTTTTATTTTTATTTCGTTTAATTTGTATTCAACTCAGTTTAGTTCACAGAGTGGGTTTACTCGTTTAAATTTGGTTTCTTTTGTTTAAAAGTGTTTTCATTAGTTTCAGTTTCGGGTTGTATTTGTAGGTATTGCAATACAGACACATTGATTCACAGTTATGTAGACATCGCAGTCTCAATAAACAGATACACCAACACTTCCTCCTGCTTGTTGTGTTGACACATTTGACCAAATTGACAAAGACTAAAACTGAAGACATTTATTTATTTATTTTTTATTTATTTATTTATTATATTCATTTAGGTTTTTTTTAATTCGTTTATTAATTCGTCTACTCTTTTTTTTTCAGTACAATGTTTTTACACACCTAGTTTTAGTTAGATTTTACATAACTATAATACCCTCGGTCAGAACAACCCACACCTCGGCCTGCAGGGCGTTTTCTGGAGCCCGCAGTGCCTCTTGCGCCCCCCGCAGTCTCTCCCCGGGACAACACCCGGCTGTGAAAACATCCCTGCCTGCCTCCACATCTCAGACGTGCTGCAAGCGGCGGCGGCGGCAGGCGGCGGTGCGAGGGTGAGCCAGCGCCGGTGTCCTCCCCCATCCTCCCTCCCTCCAGCAGCGGGCTGTCCGACCGACCGCTCGGTGGAAACGGTATGGACGTGCGGACCCCGAGATGGCGGAGTGAGTGAGGATGCGACTCCCCAGTTCCATCTTTGTGTCGGTGTCTCTGTTCACGGCCGAGACCACGGCAGCGCTCTACCTCAGCTCTACGTACCGCTCCGCTGGAGACCAGATCTGGCAGGGGCTCACGCTGCTCTTCACGCTCGTACCGTCTGTGCTCGTGCAGCTGACCCTCACCTTCATCCACCGGGACCTCGGCAGAGACCGACCGCTCGTCCTGCTGCTGCACATCCTGCAGCTCGGACCCATCGTCAGGTCAGTGGCGGCTTGTTTATGTCCACGGCTGGCCCGCGCAGAAGCCCTGGATAACATTGTGTGTGGGGGGGGCTAATCTCCACGGTGGCACACGGTGAAACGTCTATTATTACCCACAGGTGTCGCGTCAAACGGTGATTTTTCGCGTTAAAAACATGTCCGGCCTGCCTGTATTTAGGCTGCTTGCTGGTGGTTTGAGGAATACATTGCGCACATGCTGTTGTTTTTATTTTCTCTGGCCTTTTTGTGGCCGGGTGTCTGGCTGCTTTAATACATGCTGCTGCAGTGGACATATGTGTGTGCCATTTAGTTCGGAAATAAAAGGCTGATCAATGCTGCTTATCGATATGTTCCATATACCCCCCCCCCACACACACAGCTGTCTGTGTGCTCTCCATAGGATCTCCTCCCCCTCACATTTTGATTATGTTCAGCCATGATCTCTCAGGCCAAGCTGTGTGTGATTTATTCATGATCTCTGTCTGACAGACTGGCTGTCAAGCACTGATGGAGGAACCTTTAAAAACATCTCATCACAAGTGCTTTAACCCATAATAGGCCTGCTCTTTCACTGTGTAATCCCTGACCTGACCGGCTGGACCATCTGCCTCAGCTATAGGAATCTGAGACTAATCCTGCATGTAGAAAACCTCCCTCCTACTGTACACACACACACACACACACACACACACACACACACACGCACAAAGCATGGTAGTGTTATCAAACATACAAACTGGTAAACATGGAAACTCACTCATCTCCACCAGGTTACAGGATTAGCTGATTAATCAATCAAAATGTCATTTTTCAACAAAAGAAGGCGGACATGTGATTATTTAAACTTGTTAAATGTGACAATTTGAAAACATACAGTATTGAGGAAATCTAATGTTCTAATTAACCTATTAGACAAGATCCCAGATATTCCTCAAGCTTCTCAAATGTGAATATTTTCTGGTTTTCTGGTCAAAACAGACAGTTTTAATGTGTCAGTTTGGATTTGAACTGATTGTTTTTATTATTTCAGACGTTTTGTTGATCATTAGAATAGTAGATTTTTCTGTTGATAATTCAGTCAAACATTGATTAGTTAATCAACAGAAAATAAATGAGCAATTTCAATAACTGATTGATCATTTAAGTAAAATCCCAGTTATTCACTGGACCCAGCTCCTCCAATGTCTGCAGTGTTTTATATCCTGATAGATTCAATATCTTTCACTATTTTCTACCATTTTATTGATTAATCAATCTGTTAGTTGCAGTCATAACTAACTTATGGCCTGTCACTGTCCACTGAGCTTTGAGCTTGTGGATATGAGCCGCCACCTTTAGCAGCTGATGGAGACAGTTATAATCATGTCGACTCAGTAAGATCAATGATTCAGTTTGGTCTTTGGTCGACCAGATGAACAGACGTCTCTCACAGCTCGTGGATTCCCCAGCAGAGTGGCCTTTGTGGGCCCGACCCTGCCTGCTTCCCCTTCAGTGTGCATTCAGATGATTACTGTTCAGACTGCTACATCTGTCCTCAGTGAAGAGCAGATCTAAGAATAGCACGCCTCTGCTGGCTCCTTATCTCTGACAACACAACCGGAGAGGGGAATGTCTGTCTCTGCCGACAGCAAAGGCAGCACTTCCTCTTTCTCAGGGGTGTCTCTTCCGCTCACAACAACTCTTCTAATATCTGAAACACAGTCTTCATTATTATATGTCATTGCCCCAGTGACACTGCTGCTTGATACTGCTGACCCCAGTTTTTTATTTTCTTCATTTCAGCTTTTGTTTTTATCTAATTAGCGACTTTATTCCTCGTGAGTGCATGTGTGAGCTCTTCTTTCATTACTCTAAACAGAAGTTGAGTTTAATCTGTCTGTTAAACATGAAAGTACATTGTTGGCCTGGAGAACAGTAGTTTGACAAGATATTCTCAACTCAAGGTCCAGGTCCACTCAGAACTGTCTTTAACATACACTTACATTATGTTAACGTAAAGGAAAACTGTCTTAATCTGCTGATTAAAGAAGGAAAGTTTCTCTGTTCTCACCTTAAAGAGTTAATATTTAACATTACTGCATTAAAATGTCTATACAATAGACCGATATTGTATATTTTGTTGAGTTGTGTTCTTACATTATCCCAAGTGTTTCCAACAATGTTCAAACTCAGAGAAATATGTCGTTTTATTCAGGTAACAGCGTTTAACCGGTCGCCTGTCAATGGCGTCATCAGCATTGTGGTTGTCTGACAGAAATACATGTTTATTTTTTCCAGTTTTAAGCCACATTTTTATGATACACTTTAAAGATCTTGGTTGTTTTTAACTATATTTGAACCAGATGAGGGATTATAGTCATCGGGGGTCTGGATCTTAACTTATCAGAGAAACAAGCTGAGCTAATGCTAGCAGCAGCTCGGCTCGCAGCCTCTCCAGGACGTCCATCGTCAGCTTAGCAGCGTCAGAGAAACACAGATTTTTAAGGTGAAACTGCTTTATTTAGTGTTTTTACCAGTTTTAATCTGCGGGTCTGTTTGTTTTGGAGAGGAGACGCCTGCGGATAATTTGGCTCCGGTAGAAACTTCCTGAACGATGAACACTTGAATCCTGACCGGGAGAAGCTGACGACAATGGTGGTGAAGACAACAACTCCCATGATAAATTATTGATTATAGTCGCTGTAAGTGAAAATTAATTTGTCAAAAACAATTTTCAATTTTAATTCTACTTACTCCTTTACCTAAACACACACAAACACACACACACACACACACACACACACACACACACACACACACACACACAAACAAACACACACTTAAAACATGCTGAAGTAAGCAGAGAGTGCGGGACTGATCTTCATCACATCATCCTTCAGAGAGATTTTGAAAAGCTGCTCACGTAGTCAACCTGTACAGTTTATTTATGTTTATTAATGAAGTGATGCGTTCACTGTGCAGTTAACGCCAGCGTAGTTCAGACTGATAAACAGTCTGTCCCTCAGCACCCCTGTGGCCCAAGGCCTAAATCCCTCTGCCTTGCTGTTTTATTGGCACTGTGTATCAGTGCTGCCTCAACCTCTGGCCTTTTGCCCACACTCAGCACTTCAATGTGTTTAGTATTTCACAGGCAGATGACTCGCTTTAGAAACCCATAATAACAGAGAGCTAAATGCTGGTGCACATGTACTAAAATATACTGATGCATGTTAAAAAGATTCCGTCTGGTCTGTGTTCTTCAGCTGCATTTCATAAGTCCTGTTACACTTAGTGCTGAAACAATCAATCAGTAACGTGGACGTTAATTGAAGCTCTGTAACGCTGAGAGCTCAAATGATTAGTGGATTGAGAGAAAATTAATCTGCAACAGTTTGGTTAATCAATTAATAGTTTATATCAATTATCAAAAAAAATGCATTTTCTGAGCTTTGAATCAAAGTATTTGCTGCTTTATTTGTATTATAAATGTAAACCTAAGATCTTTTTGTCATGGACTGTTCGTCCGACAAAACAATGAAGATGTTACCTTGTGATGGATATTTTTTATTTTTTAATGATCAATTAATCAAAAATCCTCAATCAATAGATTAATAATGAAAATAAGCTTTAGTTGTTGCTCTAAATAGCTTCAGTTGTCTGTAAAGTAAAAGCAAGAGAACGCACAAGAACACATAACTGATGTATTTAACAAGAAATTTTCATCTTGTGGACAAAAGCGGTTATATTTCCTCTTTTCATTGATTTCAAGAGGAAGCCGACCCAGTCGAAGCTTTTAAGACTTTTAAACTATATAGAAATAATCTTGTAGCTTAGGACAACTTCAGTGTTCAACTACAAGAAGGAGCAATATTTTGTCCACAACTAACAGCATACATACTAAACAGCAGTTTCTTTAATACATTTTTATATCATCATTTTTTGCAGCCAAACAACAAATGAAGCTGTGTATTGGCAAGAATCTGACAATACAATACATATCACAGCACAAAAGTTAAGAGTCAGTACAGGTACTACTCGGAAAATTAGAATATCCTGAAAAAGTGCATGTATTTCTGTAACTCAACTTTAAAGGTGAAATTTACATATTATATAGACAAATAGTATGTGAATCAATATATTTCAAGCTTTTATTTGTTTTGATTTTGCTGATTAGGACTTGCAGCTTCAGAAAACCTCAAATTCAAAAACTAAAAAAATTAAGAATACTGCTTGAAATCAATAAAAAAAAAAAAGGATTTTAAATACAAAAATGTCAGGCCTCTGAATGTAAAATCTTGCATCTGTACTTAGTACTTGGTTGGGGCCCCTTTTGCACGAATGACTGCCTTAATCCGGCGTGGCATGGATGCTACCATCTTGTGGCATATCTCAGGTGTTATGGAAGACCAACATGCTTCAATCGCGGCCTTGAGCTCTTTATTGTTTGGTCTCTTCCCGTTCAGCTTTCTCTTGGCAATGCCCCACAGATTTTCTATGGGGTTCAGGTCAGGTGAGTTTGCGGGCCAGTCAAGCACTGTAATCCCATGGTAGTTGAACCAGGATTTTGTACTTTTGGCAGTGTGGGCAGGTGCCAAGTCCTGCTGGAAGATGAAGTCCGCATCCCCATAAAGCTGCTCCACTGAAGCAAGCATGAAGTGCTCTAAAATGTCCTGATAGACAGCTGCGTTTATGCTGGACTTGATAAAGCACAGAGGACCAACACCAGCAGCTGACATGGATCCCCAAGTCATCACAGACTGGGGAAACTTAACACTGGACTTCATGCATCTTCCATTTTGCGCCTCTCTGGGACCTTTGTTGCCAAATGAGATGCAAAACTTGCTCTCATCAGAAAAGAGGACTTTGGACCACTGGCCAACAGTCCAGTCTGTCTTCTCTCTAGCCCAGCTAAGGCGCCTCTGGCGTTGCTTGCTCGTGAGGAGCGGCTTGACAACAGGAATTCGACATTTGAAGCCCATGTCCAGCATCCGCCTGCGTGTCGTTTCTCTTGAAGCAGCAACTCCAGCCTGAGTCCACTCCTTATGAAGTTCCTCCACACTTTTGAATGGCCCTTTCCTGACCATCTTCTCCAGGCTGCGGTCATCCCTCCGGCTTGTACACCGTTTTCTTCCACACTTCTGCCTTCCACTTAACTGTCCATTAATGTGCTTTGAGACAGCACTCTGAGAACACCCAGCTTCTTTTGCTATCACTTTTTGTGTCTTACCCACCTTGTGCAGGGAGTCAATGATGGTTTTCTGCACAACTGTGAGATCAGCAGTCTTCCCCATGATTGTGAATTCTTCTAAACCAAACAAGACACACCAAACAGACTTTTTAAAGGCTCAGGACCCTTTTGCAGGTGTTTTGGATTACTTACCTGATTAGTGTGTGACACTTTGAGCCTACAATACTGAAGCTTTTCACAGTATTCTAATTTTCTGAGTTTTTGGTTTTGAGGTTTTAATAAGCTGTAAATCATAATCAGCAAAATTACAACAAAGAAATGCTTGAGATATCTCACTTTGCATGTAATGAGTCTATAGAATGTATTGGTTTCACCTTTTACGTTGAATTGCCTGAATAAAACAACTTTTACACAATATTCTAATTTTCCGAGTAGTACCTGTATACTGCAATACTGTAAACAAGTCTCTTATTGAACAACAAGAGTTTATATCTGCAGGAACTGAAATATCTCAGCAACTATTGGACAGGTTGCAATAAAAGTTCATACAGACATTCATGTTGCCTTCAGGTTTAATTGTAACTAATATTTTGGTTTATGACCTAAAATCAAATAGAGGCATTGTCATCAGCCTCAGCTGTTTGTTTACTGATGTGGACACCGTGGGGGAATAGCCTCAGTTTTGATTAAGCTGATGGGGAGCCTAATAATTGAAATGAACGGGGGGGAAATCATCTGCAAATGAACTGATAATGAAAAGTTCTCTCTTAATGGTGTGTGCTGTTGCTGTGCTGCAGGTGTCTGGAGGCGTTCTGTATCTATGGCAGCGTGGGCCGTGTGGAGGAGCCTTATGTCAGCATCACCAGGAAGAAGCAGATGCCTCGCGGGGGTCAGTCTGAGGAGGTGGAGCGGCAGGTGGGGCAGGCGGAGGGGAAACTGTTTACACACCGAGCAGCCTTCGCCCGCACCTCTGTCATTCAGGCCTTCCTGGGATCTGCCCCCCAGCTCACCCTGCAGCTCTACATCTGCGTACTACAGCAGGGGTTGTCCATCGGAAGAGGTGAGGGGGAGGGGAGGGGAGGGGGCGGTATATGTGGGAGTCAGTCCTCCCGCCCTGTCACTAGTCCACAGCTCTACTACGGTGTGGGCTGATCAGCTAAGTGCCATATTGGAAATAAGAGGATGGTGTTTTTATGAGTCAAAGTGGTGTTATGTAACTGCCTCTCTGATATCGAGGATGGAAAACGGTTGTTCTCTCTGCCAGTTGGTGCAGATCTGGGGTCAGGCTGTCCAACTCTTTATGAGTGTGTGTGTGTGTGTGTGTATGTGTGTGGGGGGGGGGGAATTTCTATTTCTATTCCTGAGAGAGATTTAGTAAAGGTTCACACAAAGTCAAACTAGGACATCTGCTCATGGAAATAGGACAAAATGGAAGATGTTATAAATACATAAATCTTATTTCTGCAGGTCTCGACAGTCTGACACTTCCATTTCACGCTCTCAGATTTAACAGCCTGATTGTGATGAACATGAGCTTCAGACCTTAAAGGATAGGTTCACAGTTCACAGGTTCTGTCTTAAAACTATAGTCACCTGCCCATATGTACATTTAGTTTTTGCTTGCTGTAATCATTCCTATTGTTTGTGCTGGCAGATAATAGATACCTTCATTGTGAGTTTCCAGTGTAAGGTAATGAAGCTTCAGCAGTCTGAGTTAATTGAATCAAGTAGGTATCATCCAAAGTTACAGTGTTTATAGAGCAAACTTCCCTCTTTATGTTGCAATCCTTCACTAAAAAGGGAACTTTGTACTAAAAAAGACAAAGACTGATTTTTATCAACTCAGACTGAAGCCTCGTATTAACTTCAGATAATCTTAGGAGTATATTTTCTGTTGTCCCCCGTCGCTCACACTGGAAGCATGTTAGTAGAGGAATCCCTTAATGGGCAGTTTGTCTCTGTGTGTCTGCAGTAACTGTGGCAGAGACATTATTTAGTTCTGTCTATCCCATTCTTGTAAGCGTAGTATCTCAGGAACCTGTCCAAGGAATTTCTTCAAATTTTGCACAAACGTCCACTTGGACTCAAGAGTGAACTGATTAGATTTTGTTGGTCAAAGGTCAAAGTTCAAGGTTACTATAATCTCACAAAACACAGGTTTTTGGCCCTAAGTCAAGGATTGATGACCCTATTTCAAAATTGGCTGAACATATATTGTTACATTTTCGACTCCAAGGCCACTTTGACCACAAAATGACCTGACAAACACGTTTTTTGGTCATAACTCAAAAACTGATTGATTTTATTTATAGATTATCTGACACACACTCAAAAAAAATGAAACACTGACTTTAATTAAATTTATTTTTAGGTTCCACGAAATTGTATTAGGTTAGTTAAAAGTAAAAATGTAATGGTCCTCTAACTTAATGAAATAGTATTATAGTTACACAATCATTGTGAATTGAACCAAAAAAATTACTTACAGACTACATATTTTACCTTTGTCCTTTAAACATATATTTTATTTTTAGTACTAAAAAAATACATTTAAGTTCAGTTAATTAAATCATTAGGTTTTTATCCAATGCACTTTTTATTAATTAGTTTGACATAAATCTAGTTTGTCAACAGGTTCCACACAAATGAATTAGGCACAACCAACATATTTCTGTCATTTCCTTTATTCACCAACAGAGCACTGAATTAGTTAACATTTTGGTGCACTTGGTCAGAAAATAAACCAATACAGTAACATTTCTGGCATCCTAAGCGTTATGTAGATTAACTGACTGACAGAAAATGAATTGCCCACTACTTACATTTCTCAATCGTTTGAAAAAGTGCTAAATTCTCTGGTTCCAGTTTCTTAAATGTGAATATTTTCTGGGTTCTGTAGTCATGTATGTCAGTACACTAAATATATTTGGGTTGTGGTCTGTCGACATATGAATCGACAATGAAAACAATCACTAGTAGTCCTACATAAAATAAACCATGTCATTATTAAACTAACATTATGGTGCAGCATGGTAACACTAACAGTTATAAGATGCCTTAATTCATCATAAAATCCAACAAAACATCAGTTTATTTGTCAGAATTATGGTCTATAGCTGTAACTGACAATTTCCTTTACTGATTAATCTGTTGATAATTTTCTCAAATCAATTAGTTGTTTGGCCCACAAATTGTAAAATTCTGTTCAAGTATTGTTTATTTTTGAAGTTTTGGGTATAGGGAAGACAGTCAGACAATCCAACTTCTTTGCACTTGTTTTTGGTGCAGCTTGGTGTTAAAAGTCTGCAAAATATCCATCAGCTGTTAACAATTGAGCATATGTACCTTGGTTGAGAGTCTGTGAGAATCCACTTGAAGGAAGAAGCTTGTGAAGTACTTGAAAGAAGGCTTTTAGTTCCTGAGGAGAACAGGTTCAGTGCATATTACACCCATTAAGAGTGCACATGCAGAGATGATGTCTCCCAAGTCACGCAGAACTTCAACACCCTCGATCACAATTCCAACGTTGACTGAAGGAGTGGCAGCATCACCTCCCTCAACACTGATGCTGTAGGTACCAAGAAAAACTTGTTGAAGGTCCCTCTAAACAGACGTAGCATCTGAATCATCTACATAGGAGAGAAAGAAAGAACAAAACCAAACTATGAATTAACAAACAGATTTTGCTTAATTAAAAAAAATAATAACTTGCATTTCTGGTTTCTCTGTCTCTTACATAATAATTTAATGAAAATAGCATGATACTTCAAACAGTGCTGGATAATTTTATCAAAATTATAAAAGAAATAATTTTATATTATTAATTATACACTCTCCAAGCACTTTATTAGGAACACGTGTAATCTAATGCAATCCAATCCAATTAATTTTTTACTTTTATTAACCTTAGAAAATGTTCAGTTTTTGTTTACATTGTGTCAACAAGTAAATAGTTACAAAATACAAAATATTAACTTGTTGGGGCAAACACAATATTAGGAACACATTTGAGTACAGTACACCACCAGCACACACTACAACCTCAGTAATAAACTACGTAACAAGAGGAGTAGTAGTAGTAGTAGTAGTAGTAATAGACTCAAATTACTAACCTGGTGTTTTCTGAAGAGGACGTTCAGGTCTTCAACAGTTTCATTCTAAAGAGAGACAGAAAAAAAATACAGAAATACTTTAGGACTCCAAACATATACACCTTACATTGCTATAAGGATGTTAAATGGATGAAATTTCAACTGTACAGATAGACATGTACCCAATGACGAACCAACATTCACATGGACATTAATGGTTACCTTGTCACACATGGTAACAACCACTTTAACTAGTAAAGCATATTGCTCCTTTGTTTCAGTATCTCTATAGTCATTAGGTCGCATTCACAGATCTGATAAATAAATGATTAACATAAAGTGCACAACTCGCCACATTAATTTTTTTGAGTGCAGGAACATAAAAAACCAACAACCTAATCCTGAAATCCACAACTACATTTAACAAAATCTGAAAATCCTCCATCAAAACAAACAAGAACAACTAAAGTAGCGTCACTTGTCAGACAGGTTGCAGTGGAATATGTTGCTCTGAAACCAGACAACACACAGACGACATACAACAGTTTTTTCTTCACTAAATACTCCTCGACCTGTTTGAAAACCTTGGACATGGTTGTTTATTTCCAACATCTGGTTTACTACTCTTCTTAAAAAGTAGAACAACCCTAGCTCTCTTCAGTTCACAGGGAAACTGAGTAAATACATTTACTATATGAGTAACTACAGTACAAATTACAGTGGCACTATCCCTCAGAAATCTGTCTGGAATAAGATCCAACCCAGTTGCTTTGTTTGTGGGAAATGCAGCTCGACACACCCTTTACCTTTTCCACAGATAACAAACTGTATCTCCTTAACCACAGGGGAACTTAACAACTACAACCATTGCAGCAACTAACAGCAATGGTTGTGAAAAACATATTAAAATAGCTAGCGACGTTCCCTTTATCAAAACAAATCTTATCCTCAATTGCCAGATTTCATTTTGGACTTTCCTGCTGAGCTCATTTAATTACTTTAGTACTTTCCATCGTTTTTTGGGCTGCTGTGAATCTTCAGCCATGGCAACCACATAAAATTGGAACTTTGATTTCTCTATCTCATATCTGGCTTGATTTCTAAAAAAGTCCATATCAGTCATACTCAGCGGGCAGTTTTGACTTTGTAAAATATAAATCTTGTTGTCTAATAAAGTCTCAAATCTCCAGTTTGCACATCTCTGTTAAATTCTAGTCTCGTTCATTGGAGCAACAGAATCAAGTGCAGCTATAAAATTCTCTTTAAAAGGAGCCTTAAGTCCCTCACAGACGGGGTATGTTCAAACCCCTCGGTTGTGTAGTGTTTTGTGTATCTGAACCTAATAGAGCGGTGATTTCCAGTATTTATCTGTGGTTTAGATGTCTTACAAGTGCAGTAATTTGGAGGCCAATATTAAGTCCAGTATTGACTGACTATTTAAAGACACTCTAGTAGATTCAGTAATTAGTTGTTGTAAACCAAACACAATAACCAATGATTTAAGAATGAATTGGGCTTCCAGATTTCACACACATTGGGACGACACAATGAATAAACAATAAGTAGCACAGTACATACTTTAATCTTTCCATCTCATCCAACTCTGCCTTTCACTTTCTGCCTCATTCTGAATTTTAACCGTGATCAGAATCACGAATTACAAACATATTGGAGTGCGATTAGTTAATCATGATCCTGAGAGTTTCACCTACAGCTCACAGAGAGGCTTTACGTGTAAAAATACCCAGAAAAAACAAAAGCACCACATTTTGTATTTCTATACTCTACAAGGATCCATCTTTACATTGTAATCAAACGACGTGAACCTGTTCAGCCAGAAATGATACATATGTACCATTGTGTAGTGATAAGATCCATTTAGCCAAAAATACACTTTATAACCTTTATATAATTAATTCAAAGTCATCACCACATATATTATATAAGTCTGCAACCTGACTGATTGGTGGAGTGATACAACCACAGGGCTGTGTGGGTCAGATTTATGTCTGTAAAATTGTTGGGAAGAAATTTAAAAAAAAACTTTTTCATTTTAAATGTATATCTTTTCAGTGATTTACAGGCTCACTTTGTATACATTAGTTTTATTTCTTACATCTTTTTGCTGTATTTGTGTATAAATACAGTAGAACCAATATCTTGAGATTGAGAACTGTTCTGTGTTCAATATAATGTTAAATGTAATATAATGAGTGTAAATTCTGTCTCATTTTCATGTATGTTGGATTCCTGGCAGCTTCAAACTTTTGTTAAATTGACAAAGTGAAAAGTCAGACTTACGGCTGCTGATGGACTCCAGAGGATAGACTTTTTTTTTTAAAAAAAAGGGGTAAAACTATCCTTTAAATGAAGGTGTCCTAATATTTCTCTCTGTGTTCTTCAATGTCAGGCACACTGATGGTGATCTCCCTCCTGTCCATTGTGTACGGAGCGCTGCGCTGCAACATCCTGGCCATAAAGATCAAATACGATGACTATGAAGTGGACGTCCGACCCGTGGCTTATCTGTGCATTTTCCTGTGGAGAAGCTTTGAGATTGCCACTCGTGTGGTGGTTCTGGTTCTGTTCAGCTCTGTGCTGCAGCTCTGGGTCCTGCCCGTGGTTCTGCTCAATTTCCTCGTTTTCTTCCTCTACCCCTGGATCCTGTTCTGGCAGAGCCACTCACCGTTCCCTGAGAATATAGAAAAGACTCTGACTAGAGTGGGAACCACCATTGTACTCTGCCTGCTCACCTTCCTCTACGCCGGCATCAACATGTTCTGCTGGTCAGCTGTGCAGGTGAAACTCAATGACCCAGACCTCATCAACAAGTCCCAGAACTGGTATCGCATGGCTGTGTACTATATGTTGCGTTTTGTGGAGAATGCCTCGCTGCTCCTGCTGTGGTACATCTATAAGACCGACTTCTACAAGTTCATCTGCGCCCCACTGCTGGTGCTGCAGCTGCTGGTAGCTTACGCCATCGCCATCTTCTTCATGCTGGTCTTCTACCAGTTCTGTCATCCGTGTCGGCGGCTCTTCTCCTCCAGCATGACCCAGGGCCTTTGGAACTGCTCCTCTCTTATCTGTCTCATGTGCAACTCTGCTTCTCCGCAAAACAGGCCAATGGGAAAGTCTGTCCTGGAGCCGGCCAGCTCCAAGGAGCCGACTAACGACAGAGCCCACGACACAGCCAGTGACAGCACAGACGACATGCCTAATGACACAACGTATGACATGCTCAATGATACAATCTATGACACGCCTAATGAAATGAGCAATAATATACGCGGTGGAATCAACGGGGACATTAGCCACAGTGTATCCTGCAATGCTTAAACAATTGTTTGACGTGCCATTCGGAGGAACGACTCTGACAGTTATCACACAACCCCTCTGTAACCTTTTAAGTGCCACATGAATCCCTCTGTGAGTTGAGTTTACACTTTAAATCCTTTCTTTGAATCTTAATATTCATATATCCTCTATATCTCAACTCTGTCAGCCACTCCTACATGAAGCAAATGTGTCCTTAACCGTAGGGATCTATTCTGGCTGCAGACATGCATAGTGTCCACTCGGGTTATCCAGAGGTGGTGCTCACCTGTCTCATCAGTCGACATCCTGGACAACGTCATTCTGCAGCCTTTAATAAAAAGTCATGGACAAGCACCATTACGTCTTTGGTTTCAGAGACTGTGTCCACTTATATGCTGCATTACTGATCACAAGGAGCCATGCATTTGAATTGATTGTATTTAGTATCTCTCTTTGGCATGGAGGTGTGCATGTGTGGAGCCTCAGACGAGGTGTTGTTCTGCAGGGGGGCAGCAAGGTTGTTTTGTACAGGGTTTTTTCTGAACCCCCCCTACCACCACTACCACCACCTCTGTAGTTTTATGGCTGCAAGCAATCAGCTTTTTTACTCCTTGATAAGAGCTTTATCATTAATATGCGCTGCTTCTGTGATGTATTTGTGCTTGATGACGAGATGAGAATCTCCACACATTGTTAAAGAGCCTCTTTGGTCACCAAACACGTTACTGTAAAGCACGGACATCTCCAGGCGTCACATTTTTGCACGTTTACAAAATGGATTTAAGTGGCTTTGGTTTAACTGTTGAGCAGCAGCAGCTGTAGTGATGTGAAATGCTTTGTTTGGATGTATTTGCATTTTTCTAATTCATGCTTGTTACGTCTGTCAGCTCTGTGTCTGTATGTCTCATTAGTTAGTATATTTACACCGAGTGCACATACAAATTAATTATATCTAATTGAAAAATGTTTGGAATTGTAACGAGTATTTTTTTGCTTATTTTCAACCTTTAGATGTATAACTGTGTGTGAGAGAGAATGTCAGTGTTGCACTAACTCCTTTTTGCAATGTATCTGCACTGGGACGACAACCCTGTATGCTCCTAATGTTTGTACAAATAAGACCTTTGAAGCCAAAAAAAAAAATATGAAAACCCTATTATACACATCAGACATTCTCATACAGAGCAAGATAAAAGGCATTTAAAAGAAACTACTACTAAGTCTAAATAAATTTATATTCATATGTGAAAGTTGTATGTACTGTTATTTATAACTAAGAAGCAGCTACTACCCTGGCCTGTGCTGACCTCTAGTGGACAGACACACAAACTGCAGAATAGTAAAATATTTCTTCTTATAGTTTGTAGAGATCCACACTCAGACACAAAAGCTTTTTAATACATTTAATGACAGCTCTAACAAATAATTATTGACACAGGCTCTTTGAACTGAACAGTTTTACAGAAGAATTTCCATGGTTTCTACAAAGTCTAGAAAAAGTGCATTTGTTGTGGTGACCGACCATTAAACTGTGTAAATCAGTAAAATATTAATGCAGACAAGGAAAGACACTTTATACAAGTTGTCACTAAAACATAAAACAGTCAGACTTTTATTAAATAACTAACATTTTACTACAGCAACAGTTCAGTCTGTTTTATTTGGGAATGTACTGAAGGAGACAAATTAAACCAAGAGTCTACGTGGTCAGCTGGATTCTGACCACGACCTCGGCCCATACAAAGCAACATTTTCTCACAGTCGATGAACGCAGACCGACGCAGGCCGTCGACTCACAAACCACAACTCTTATTCTGAAGTTATGTAGTTTAAGCCGGGGGGGGGGAGAAATAAGCTACTTGTTCATGATCTTCTACCAGAGGGTATCGTCAGAGGATCTTCATGGTGTCGCTTCGAGTGCAGACATGTTAGGAGGAGAGAGAGAGGTGCAGCTCGGTTCAGCTCGGTGCTGCTGTTATAGCGTCACAGCAACAGCAAACACACTGACCACACAGTAAATGGTGCGGTTCTCCCACCTCACTGTGCAGCTTCCTGAAAGAGACAAACAGAAGAAGAAATTCGGTCCACAGAAGATTTCTAATCGGTTCCTGTAGAAAACGTCTAGTAATATTATTTATAAAGCATGTTTCTCCACAATGTATTCAATAATCTATAATAATATACATACATTTACACAAACCAAGCACCTAGAGCTGGAACCATTAGTAGAAAATGATCAACAAATATAATTTACTACTACTATATGATATACAATTAAACTTACAACTTGTACCAGTATCATTGGTATTACTGAAATGTCTTCATCCTTATCAGGCTGCGTATACGCTGATGTTAATCTCTAATAAGCTAAAACTGGCCTGGATAATCAATCTATCTTTACCCGATACCTTCAAAAGACAAGCTAAGTATTAAATGTCAACACTTTAAAGCTTGAATTGAATGAATGGTGAGATTCATAATCACTTATTTTTCAATCAGATTCTTCCTGATTTAAATAAGAATTATATTATTGAGGCAAAGTTACTGTATCACTGTGTAGACACATTTTGGCTTCTCTTAATAAAAAAATACATTTTTCTAATCCTAAATATTCTATATTACAATTGTATTTTAATTATAAGTCACGTCTCACCATCAGTGGCAGTGTCCCAGTAGCAGGAGTTGGCTGTGTGGAGACCAGCGCCGCTCTTCTGCATGATCGTACAGTTCACTGTGAAACATCAGACAGTAACAGAGTTACTCAGTCACACATAAACTATATTTAACTATAACTATATTACTATATGTAAACGTTATGTCCTTATGTTACTGTACGATGGGCAGTTAGTTCACCTATGTATTTGAATGGCCGTCCCTGTTTCACCAGGTGAGTCAGAGAATGCTCCACTATAGTGGCCGTCCACTGGTTCACTTTACTCTGGTTATAATCTGTTCCACCGATAACACCTTCAATACACTGAGACAAAACCACATACACTGTCAGTAAAACAATAACACAATAAAATACAGTTTGTTAATGTCTCCAGGAATCAAAAGGTACCTCTTTAACTGAGATAGTGGCGTCATCGGCACTGAACACAGCCTGCAAAAAAGGAAAACATAGTTCGTTGGTGTGATTTAATTTCCTTTTTTAGGGTGAATAACACCATACCAATAACAGATCATAGTGGTATACAGAGTTTCAGATCAGGCTCTCACGTTTACAGGCACACTAATAATTTAGTCTTGTTTGTGTTATTCGGATTTAATTGGATGTGTCATGCTGTTTGAATGCACTCATAAAATATGTTGTTTTGTTAGAAATTAAACTATTTATCAGCATATACAAGTACGTGAAAAGATAATTCAAATTATCATTTAGTCATTAATTAGTTAGAAAATTAATTGCCAACGATTATGACATTTTTTGTTATTTAGTTTATTTTTCATTCAATCTCATTTCAAACCCAACAATAAATCGATTAATTGAGATTTAAAGAGTAAACTCTGCTTTTACATGAATGCATCAATAACAATATAATGATATAACGTTATAATGTAACGTTAAGTTAATATAATGAATAATATAAATGTAATGTAACTGTAACGGTATAACAACCAATTCCTGATTATATTAAGATACTTTAATTAAACATTTATAATGCAGGACTTTAATTATAACACAGTATCATTACAGTGTCGTATTAAAAGTCTGTTAACATTATAAATAAATCTGAGACCACACCCCGATGGAAACACCGTTAGTTAGCAGCTAACAGCTAACAGCTAACAGCTAACTGCTAACAGCTAACCGCTAACTGCTAACAGCTAACTGCTATCAGCTAACAGCTAAGAGCTAACTGCTATCAGCTAACAGCTAACTGCTAACAGCTAACCGCTAACTGCTAACAGCTAAGAGCTAACTGCTAACTGCTAACAGCTAACTGCTAACTAACGGCTGATCAAACTAACGGCTGATAACAACGCGTCTTTGTAGCGTCAGTTAACTGCGGAGCTTTTCAAAGGATTCATTAAATGTAATTCATAGTAACTTCACCTCATCTCCAGAGCTGTATTCCTCCATGGTTACCGACAAACTGTCTGTTTATTAGCACCGTGTCTGTAGGTTATTGTTCCTGTTTACTTCCTCTTCTTCTTCTTCCTGTGATCTATTCCCGGCAGGTTGTACGCTACAAGGCGTACTGCTGCCCTCCACCGTAATTCAATCTACATCACTTCTGTTTAAATTTTGAAGTAAAGTCCGGTTCAACCGCCCAAAAACAACTCAAGATAACATTTTATTATATTATTAAATTATTCCCAATCCCTGCTGGTCCCAGACAAAGAGCACAGGACTTATACTCATCATGGAGCTGCTCACTGGTTGAATTCAGAGACTATAACACCAGGATCAACATTAGAGGGCGTCTCACTGCTGTATATCTCGACACATCTGAAGAATACTGTAAATATCTGCTGTTATTTCTCAGGTTGAAGGTTCAGTCCTCACAAGTTTATAAAAACAAATCCAGTTTAATACTCTAATTATGGGCTAGGTTCAGTCTTCCACTGTAATCACAAGATTGAGAAGGATGCTCTTAATATTTGGAAACAGGAAATGTACTGTCTAATAGTGTTAATACAGAGCAAGTCATTCATTCAGTCTTTATAATCTCTTGGGATGGTTCCTGATATAGCGGACAATTAAAGCTGATAACTGGCATTTAGTTACTATTTTAAAAAAGCACAAATTGTATTTCACATGTGTATTTGAGTGAAATACTGTTTATATTCTGACAAAATGCTATGCCTGTGTGAATGAATTTTCTTTATTTCTCATTGTGAAATGGTATCATGTGTGCTTTAGTGTAAAGGTTGAGTTCCGGTGATGTAATGTGACAAACATGAGTAGATTGTTTTGGTTATTTATTTAATAGTAATAACATATGTAAATGCAGTTAGCTGTAGTCTCTGGACAGATATCACACACAGACAGAATATGTAATTCTGTTAGAAATGTAAAATATATAATTAAAACACAAGGACATGTGCATGCAGTGTAACAGGAGAAATGTAATGTTACCAGAGATAAGATGTGTTATGCAGGGCGTTATTATTCTACACTGACTGGTACTTTCTGCAGCACAGAAACATACAATACAGAGAGCAACATATAAAACCAATAAATGCATAAATAATAAAAGCAAGGGAAGAGCCCACAGTGAAATACAGGGAAGGTAAATAAGCAGCTGGCTGACCTGGAATAAGGTCCTCCTATTGTGATAATGTGTTTGCCCCCATATGTTCACAGAATATAACCAACCCATTTATTTCACATGCATACAGTAAATAGACTGTCACTCTGCAGCCGAGCTGTTCCTTTGGCCTCAACCACAATAATAAAGCCTCCCAGAGGATCCCAGAGGGGAAATCCATAATATACAATGTGGCACCAGTGACAATAAGGAGTTTCCCCTGAACCTGCTCCGAGCCCAGCAGCGCTGCAGCGGATGAACTACACTTAATGACCCAGTTCAATTGGCGCATTTCATAAGAAACAACAGGAGTCTGAGTTTGTGCGGAAACAACTGTCGCATTGTGAGAAATAAGCCTATTTGTGAGGATTGCATGCCTCTCTCTCTGTGTCTCTCTCTCTCTCTCTCTCTCTCTGACACACACACACACACACACACACACACACACACACACGCCCCCTCCTGTCGGGAACACCCTGGCTGTGGATTTGCGCCTTCAGACGGTGCCGAGGCGCACCGACACACTCACGTACGGTCCCCGGACTCTCCCGCCTGCCGTGCTGCCCTGCCGGCTCCCCGCCGCTGTCCGCAGCCTCCAGGTAAGACACCGCCGCTCCGCAGGGCTACCCGGTAACACTCCGGGACACCCGACACCACCGTGTTTCCTCTGGCATATGGCACAGTCAGCCGCCTGTGTCTCCCAGGTAGTCATGTCTTATTTGTGTCTTTTTTCCTCCTTGTATGTTTTGGGGTGACATGGGGGCTGTGAGATGGGGGCTGTGCGTCCACCATCACGACCACATCAGTGGGACCACTTCCCGGTAAAGTTAGGCGCGTTTGGGGAGGTGCAATGCAGCAAAAAGCTCCTTTTCTTGTTTCTAGTTGCCTCGACGGTAGCTCAACCTGCAGTTTGATAAGCTGTTGAGAATATGTTGCTTGCTCCAACAACCGACTGTAGAGAGAGAGAGCCATCGTGTAATGACATGAAGGACAGTAGTTAGAGAGGGGAGACAGCTTTAGATCAACTGATCACCTGTGTTAATATGATACCTAATTTAACAAGGAGTCACTGGTGAGACATCACTTTAAATATGTCTGTGGCTCACAGCTGGTAATTAATGATGACCTTGTGTGTGGTAGTTGTGTATGGACTGACCAGGGTGTGTGTGTGTGTGTGTGTGTGTGTGTGTGTGTGTCAGAGCTACCTGAAGGCAGACTGGTGACAGACACACAGTCTGCAGGGCTGGTTTGGGTTTATCTGGCTCAGTGTTCAGTACCAGGACCCGAGAGGTGAAAAGTCTGCTCTGATGGAGCAACACGCTGAGCTCATTTCAATTCAGAGGTGGGTTTTTGCCTCAGATTAGTCGGTGTTCTCTTGTGTTTGATGCTGCCACTCTCGGCACTAATGGGGGGAAATACTGATGCGAGCTGTGAGATCCAGTTAAAGATAAAAGAACTGAGAAGTGTCTTTTGGAAGATGGTTGTCAGCAGCAGGATTTGAAGCCTCTATTCAGGAACCAGAAGTCCTAATAGGAAGGTTTGAGTCTGCATGTAGGACGCATACTTTACAAAAGGGTTGTGGGGCTGATTAGTGTTTTTGTTCAATCAGTTTAGGGCTGTGACTATTTATTATAATTAATTATCAGTGACTCTAATCCTATTTGATATTTGAATCCAATAGACCTGTCAGACAGATTGGCTGCCTACACTGACACTGTCTTCTGTCAGCCATCAATCTTGAGTCTGGCAGGCTAACACTGTGTTTAAGACTGGAAACAGCTGTAAATTAAAACAAAGCAGTTGGTACTAATGAGTAAAAACACCCATGAGTTCATATATTATCATTAGTTTCATTATGAAGCCCTGTAAGGGGATGTAATATTAAAGTAAGCACTCTCTTGAAGGTTTACATACAGTATGAGATTCAACGAGACCAATTTTACCATCCCTGACTAATTTTACATTGCCGTTGTTTCCACGACCGGGCCTCTGCTGTGTAAGGTATCCTTCCATACTACAATTTGTCATAGTGACGCTTCCTTAAATTGGTTCATTTGGCTCCTATAAGCAATAGATGCAGTATCTGCTGAGGCTGTTTTATCATTGTCACAGGGAGAATGCCTCCCTAATGATAACCAAGCTTTTATACAGCTCGCTCTCACTCTCTCTCTCTCTCTCTCTCTCTCTCACACACACACACACACAAGGCTGGAGGGGGAATAAATGGGTGAATAAAGGAGGAGAGAAGCCAGGGAATGAAGGGATTCCCTGATTCCTCCACACGCAGGAAGCAGAGCTCATCCAGCGGAGCATAAAGAAGCCCTGGGGAGTGCAGTCACACAGCATTAGAGGTCTGTGTCTGCAAGATCTGGAAAGACAGAATATGAGTGCGTGCGTGTGTGTGTGTGTGTGTGTGTGCGTGTGCGTGCGTGCGTGCGTGCATGTGTGCGTGCGTGTGTGTGCAGTAACATACATTCACACATATCAGCATTATTATTATAGCAGGCATTTCAGTGACGGGCTGCAGCTCATGGTGCCAGACTGATGTATTCTGCTATACAGAACCAAAATGCTTTACATATCTGGTCAAAACTGAGTTTTTGTTTTCTGTTTTACTTTCATTATATTATAGAAATGTACACTCTCCATGAAAACAGCATGAAAAATTTGCATCAAGTAGAAGCTATATGGTGATATACATATATATATATACTTATATATGACCATGTAGTCTGCCATCGTCCCCCACTCTATCCCCTAGTACCAAGCTCACTATTAGGCGGACTGGGTCCAGACCCAGACCTATAACCAATAAATTATTGAGAATTATTCAGTTATGATGTTTTATTAACGTTTCTGTTTTAACTGGTGCAGCTTTTCTTGCCTTTATGGCGCTGGTTTAACAGCCCAGACCAACTGTATGTGTTGTAATCATCTCACATTGATCCTTTACCTGACTGACATTAGTTAGATTGCCCCCGAGTCCCGTCCACAGCTCTGAAATATCAGAATTGTGCTGTGTATTGACAAATCCATGGTGCTTTGATTTGTAATTATGCTCTTTTCTCTCAGTCCCACCCTTCTGTCAGTCTGTAATATTCTCTAAACTATAGCTTATATAGTGTGTTACTCAAAAGATCTGATCTTCTCATCACTATGGTGCTACCACTGTGGCATTTCCCCGTACGTACAGTACAGTGTGCCTTTAAAGTGTGAGCCACGTTAGATATTATCCTATTATATCAACTATAATTGTAATAATAATTTTTATAATTTCTGAGATCATATACATAATTATATCCAGATTAACTCTGCTGATGACCTGAGCTGCTGTAACAAAGCTCGTCTGTGCTGCTGCATTGAGTAATGTCTGATCTCTGTAGTGTTGTGCGGGGTTTCCCTCCCTCCCACTCACTGACGCCTTTCTTTTCCATGGCTCTCCAGTGTGTGCTGTGTGCCCGTTTGGTATGCAGCATATAGCCCCATGCGGCCTCAGAGATACCTCATCCCCCGTTCAATCAGGGCCGCAGCACGGCAATCAGTGGAAGCCCGTCTACACACCAACACTGCAGAAGTGGGAGGGGAGAAAAAAAAACACCTCAAAAGCAGAAATGTAATTTGGAGGCAGTGCTGAGAGGAATGACTCAGTAGAGTAATAGATTGCTGGTCAGGGAGTGATGTGCCTCTGTGTCGGCCTCCCTACACCTCTAATGTGTATGGGCACATGCCTCTGTGGGCGCTCTGATGTTGACCTGAACCTCTGAGGGGGGAGGTGGGCTGTGAAAGGGATGATGGGACACTTCAACCAGCAAATCAGGCAAAGAGGCGTGTGGATATTATTTCCTAGAGCCAGCATCCTGACCAGGGTGTGCTGTGTGGAAAAGTCAACACAGCAGAGAATACAAACAAACACAGACTTTAATTAGATTCATTGTTAGCAAGTTGTGCACATCAAGGTGTTTAATCAATAAATACATTTAAACAGATTAAGACCGGCTGTAATGACATCAGTAGGTGTATGGGACCAGCCTCAGTGTTACGCAATAATAAACATTAAAAAAAACAAACCTGGACTGGATTCAGTGGAAGACTTCTGCATTGATAACACTGATATGGCTATTATCAAATTAATCATAATAATTAAAATGTATTTAAAACAACAAGGAATTATTCTCAACATTGGGGATGTTAGTTTGACAAAATAATCTTGACTCAAGGTCCATTTATTACAGTAGCTCTTTCCAGAGCTGTCATCTGTGACATGCATCCCAAAATGAAACCAGGTATCTGGATATTTATGTTTTTAGTTTGTTATGAGAACTTAAATTGTTAATGTATTTTACTTTGTCATGTTTAAAAGTCACTGCTACTGACATTAAGTTTTGTTTGAAGAAACTGAATTCATGTTTTAAAAGAGGATAGACAAAATAAGCTTAGGCTTCAGTCTACACCTTTTTTTCGGTCAAAGAAAACAAAAGAGAATAAAAGAGAGAATAAATAATTTGTAAGAGAAACACAGGGATGAGGAAAGAATGATGATATATTAATTGTTTTGTTTATATTATATTTATATCTTGTCACTTTTGTCTCTTATCTTTGTTTTGTTTGTCTTGTTTTGTTTGCATGAACATCTGTTCAAGAAATTATTCATGGAAATGATTGTAAATTCATTTTTTAAATGATCGGAAAAATAAAACTTACCTAAACCTAAACCTAAACATGCTGTTGAAAGTTTTGGGAAAAGCTGCTGTAGTAATTGGACCTTGAATTAAGAATATTTAAGTAACTGAGGGTTATGTGTCGGACCATCTCACAGATTCAGGCTAGCTGTTTCCCCCTGTTTCCAGTCTTTATGCTAAGTTAAGCTAAGCTAAGCTAAGCATCTCCTGACTCTAGTTTCATATTTAACAGAAAGATATCAGAGTGGTTTTCCTAAAAAATGCACTTAAACTGTTAATTTGGTTACCTTGAAGCATTTAGACGATGTTTTGTTCTCCACCAGGTCGAACTGTACAACATAAGGTAGGACGTCACACACTTTATGATGTCATTACGGGTGGAGCCCCACAGCTGTAGGAATAAAATGTCTTTCTCAGTGCTGTGCACATTTTAATCACATCATCTTGAGCATTAATCATTAGTTTGAGTAGAATTTGCAGCCGACCTCACCCATATTTGTTGTAATGGGCAAAGTCCATATTGAAATTTCCACTGTGCTGGTTCATACTGGGACACGTGAATCACCTATTTTCCTTCTGACTGGTTCTGTGTGTTAATACGAACAACCTTAGGGTTGCCAACCTCTACTAGACAACGTACCTTCTAGGAAACACTGCAGAACATCTGGATCATCATACATTTATAACAACTTATTAACATTTACAACTGCAGACCTGATAGATCAGTGTGTGAGTCCTTTATTAATGACATATTAACAAGTATAACTCTGGATGGCTTATTAGAAATTGTTGTTGGTTTATGAGAAAGTAAGAAACGTGTGGCCCTTATTTAATGACTTACTAACATTTATGACTACAAACAGGATGGCTTTTTAGAAACCAGGAGTATTTATTTATCATTTACCAACATGTTGTAGTCA